ATCCCTACTTTCACGTACCATACCTACAAATCTTGCACTCTTCCAGCAAACAATAGAATTCGTTCCGGGATTGAGCGCCGACTAATTTACCTCCGGCAGTCTAGTTTGTGTAACCCTTCAGTCTGTGTAACTTCTTTAGTCTTGTGCCTTCACCGTGATATGTGAACTTCGGCATCCGTATCTGTGTGGGGACCGTGCTCTTTCTTAAGCCATTATAATGTATCTATGTTACTTTTCCTTATTAAATTCCATTACTAACTGTATATGCCTATCTCAATTACGATTACTGTTTGTCTAGATAATGTTATCAGTACCTTTGTCGGCACGTGTTACTCTCGCGTACCTCAGGCTATTATTCTCCAAACGGCATTTTGCGTCGGTTCACTATAAACAGCGTTTCACTTTTTAAATTCTTGCCTCCAAATATTACCGCCTTTTATTATATTTAAAGAAATTAAGTAGTGAAGAACCTGCATGGATGTGCGTATGTTTCTCGCACTGTGAAAAAACGACGGAACCTAGAGCCATCGAATTTTGAATAACGTAATCCGCCACCCGAATATTGCCACATAAGAACCCGAATTCGGAATTTGTTTTATGATCTATTTCATATTTTCTAAACTTTAACGAATTTTTGATTAACAAACTCAACGATTTCAAAGCGAGCAGTGACAACACATTGTGCGGAGTAAGATATTTTTATCTCCAGCGCGCGAGACTGTCTATCCAAAAGTCCAAAGTTATGCTGTTCTTAAATATTTTTAGCCCAAATGGTTCTCGAAAAGTGTATGTATGTGTCAATTAAAAACACGCCCTTTTGGGCGTAATATAAAGTCTGAACGCTTTCAGACTTTTTTTAAGGTAGATTTGTTACTTTAGGATCATAATTTAGAAATCATACAAAAAACATCATTGGGCTAGAAATATTTTTCTTTTATAATTAATGTAAATAACTTTAGGAATCAGTTGTATGCAAATACTGAAGTCTGCCATTGTTTCCTATAATATTTATTCTCTAAATTTCGATGCATATGATCTTTTGGGAAAAAAAAATCCATCAAACCTTTTAATGACAGTTTACATATCAGTGCTTGATTGGAAACTTTTTCCTACTCTAATTTTAGTTACGTAAGAAATTAATATTTCAATCGTCCATTTATGGTATGCCTCCTGAATTTTCAAAAAATTTGATTTCAATTTGTATGGGAATGACGCAATTTTGTGTTTTATGTTTCGTAATAAATGTATCAAATTCTAAATATTCCTATAATATCTTTCTTAAACGACAGCAATGTGATCTCACAGATTTCGGATAAGAAATTTTTTCCGGATAATTGAGCTAACAGCGACGTAATGTAATGTTTATGTAATGATTTAAAACCAGCATATTTGTCACTCGATTCGTCAACTGCGAATACGATCATAGGTTACGATTTACACTAACGGCGACGTAATGTACTATTTAAAAACCCTGAAATTTTTATCACTCTATTCGTTTTCTATGAATATGACCACAGGCCACGATATACACAACAGCGGCGTAAAGTAATGATCTTTTACATTTTTCAGGCAACAGCCAAAGCATATATGGCGATTTTCAATGCGAATTGTGTCTGAAAGTCATCGATACTACCTTCAAAGTTCACACGTTGACACGTTACTGATATTATTTTACTAAATATTACTATATGGACTACGGTATCACATACAAAATTAGAGTTTTAAAAAATTTTTGAAAAATGGATTTGTTTAATTTGATGTTGCAGTAAGAAGACTACTTCCTTTATTTAAAACAATTTTGTGACTTTTATATCTTCGATTAACGGTTGCTAAAGTAAAGGCCTCTGTGATGTATGGGTGACGCCAACCAACAAGATGTATAGAGGGCGCTGGCTCCCAGTCTGAGAGCGCAAATTTTAGTTCCAAGGAGCCGACAGAGAGGTTATAGGGAAGACTCGGAGTCATTAATGAAACCGAAGTTAACTTGTATTGCTTTATATATTTCAGTTATTAGATTGTAGTTTTAATATTAGTTTTGTGTTTGTGCAATAAATGTTCAAAATACAAGAAGGTGGAGTTATTTCTCTGTGATGCGGAGGATGAAGAAAGGGGTGATATTACAGCCTCATAAGGGCATTTTTGGATATGATATAGAAAATAAAACTTCCACTATTTTAGGTTTTATATTGTATCTTCTAGCGACAGTAAAAAATCGTTTTCAGTTGCGATAGTACCCTTCTCGTGAATACAGTTGTATAAAATTACAGAAATCACGTGGAGAATAAAGTATCATTCTTTTATCGGTCAAAGGGGTCCAAACAAACATCAGCTGAGAGAACTTCAGTTTCATCGACTTCCTAGCAACGGTAAGTAAGGCAGTTTATCGCGCGGCGATGGAGGAGGAACCAGACGATACATTTACCTTCACCTGGATTATCGAAAATTTCAGCATGTGTTATCACCCAAAGAGAAAATATATTTGCAGTCCGAAGTTTGCCATGCATACTTTACCAGGGGTCGAATGGAATATAAAGTTATATCCGCAAGGGACTTCCGACGAAAATTATACAGATGTTTATCTCGTTAAGGATAACACTCCGGAAGATATTTTCATATATTGTACTATTGAAATGCTAGATTCCAACGAAAAGTCAATTTTTCGACATACTGATGTGACTGCCGCATATCAAACTATTGTATACTGCAGAAAAGAAAGAAAATCTCTTCTTGAGTCACTTATAAATGATAACCTGCTCATAAGAGTAAGTTTCCTAACAAGATGTGGACTTTGGGATTCAGAAATATTGCCATCACTTTGTCATAAAAATGTATTCGAGGATCGATTCGCGGATGTGGTACTACGAGCCGGTGATGCTATTTTCAAAGTTCATAAAGCTCTTTTGTGGGCGAGGTGGCCCAAAGTCGTTGAAAAAATGGAAGCGGAACAAACAAGCCATCGAGATTTGGATATGCAATCGGATGTGCTGGAGGCTATCATCGGATATCTTTACACTGGAAAAATAAATTTTAAAGAATCGGAACTGTTAGCGGCAGACATTTCCTCCGCTGCCTCAGAGTACGAAATTTCTACTCTCAATTCTACACCTGTAGTGGCACAAAAGGCGAGAACCTTTGTAAATGCAGAGAAGATATCATTTGAGTGGCCAATAGCGAATTTCTCTCGTCTGCCTGTTGGAACGCTATTACGCAGCCGCTTATTCACCGTCCGTAATCTGGCATCATGTGGATGGAACTTAATCTTAAATATATATGAAAGCCCGTCCTCCGTTAGAGTTTTCGGTGTCTCTATTTGTAAAACGTACGAGCGAGAATTCAAGCCTATTTTCGTGACTACCAAGATACGGTGTAATTGGTTTAATTATTTTGAAACTTCAAAGTTAACGCTTTATGAAAATTCACATTTATTTCTATCAGACAAAATTTGGAAATGTGCAGATATTTCTAAAAACGTTTGTCCAAATTCAAAGGATAGGTTAATACTAACATGCGAGTTTAAATTTTCGAATTGCAGTCGATCTACTGAGATCGTGGAATCTTTTTGTGAATTTGTACCTACTGTGAACTGCCATTATTTTAGCAATGACTTTCTCAAGCTTTACAAAAGTGGGAAATTCTCGGACGTTAGTATTATTGCAGGTTGGAAAATATTTTCTACCCACAAATTTATTCTAAGCGCCCGTTCATCGGTATTTCGTAGAATGTTAGAGGCCGAAATGATAGAATCAAGAAACGGTGTCATAGAGATTTCTGATATAGATCCTGATGTAGTAGATAAAATGCTTTCTTTTTTATATACTGGAAAATTGGAGCCACCGCTGAAAGAAACGATTATGCAAAAACTGTATTCCGCTGCCGATAAGTATGATATTCCCGCTCTTCTCAAAATTGGGTCGTCCTTTTTGAAATCAAATCTGACCGTAAAAGGTGTGTGTGAAGTGTTGCACTTAGCGCATTTACATTCCGATAAGGATTTGTACAAAACTGCATTAGCGTATTTTAATGCTCATTCTAAAGAGGTTTTTGCAACTGATGAATGGAAAAATATGTCCAAAGAGAACTTCTGGATGAAAGTACTGGAAAATTCTGTAGTCGAATTTTGAAACCTTCCGGTCCAATACAAGTCAAGGCTTGTCTTTTAAACTATCGAGATATTTTCGAAAATATTTTATAATGTGGATTTAGAAACTCTTAAAATTTTCTGCTTTACTTACTTAAAATCGAGTGTTATGATATACATGCACATTCGTATTTAACGAAAGAAAATAATTTGAAACGTCTTAAAACATTACTTTGTATCCAGGAAACCGCGAAAAACAGAGCCTTTTCATTAACAGATTGGGAAATACAGTATACTTCTTTCAGTGACACGTGAAAGCATAGTAGTTGAAACGTTGCCGAGAAAACAATGTCTGAGCTAAAGGCCTCGTATAAAACATCGTGAGAGGAAAAAAAAGAGAGAAAATATGGCAGGTCTTAAACATCGTGATTATAACGCATCATGGTAAAAAATAAAACGATGCAGAAATTTCGCAGTTTTAAATTATGGCTAAACAAAATAACGAGATAAAAAATAAAAATCATCGCCTGATGATACATCGCAGGTATGTAGTTTCTGACTATAAAACATTTAAGTGAATTTTTGCATAGTAATTTGTGAACAGAAGACGAAATAATGAATATTTTTATATTTCATATTTTTACATTAGCTAATACATTTATACTTAAAAAGCAAGAAGGAAACTTAAACGCATTCAAAATGTATAAAACAGTTAAAATTAATGCTATGTATACTAGTTAAAATTTTTTAAAATTTACTTCTATTCAAGGTGTGTGCTAACTATTCAAGGTGTGTGTATGTATTTAATTATGGCAAAGCACACTAGGGCTATCTGTCTAAGGGAAAGGGATGCCTTCGTGGAGGGCTTTCTAAGGGAAACTGACTCGTATACACGTTACACATGGGGAAAACCACGAAAACACCCATGCAGCCAGCCCGTTCGCGGGGATTCGAGCCTCGGACCGAACTACCAATGTTCAGCGACTGGGCCCCTGATAACTATTAAAAGCCGTTATTTCATTAACACTTTTTATAAATACGTGTTATTTGTTTTCTGATGAAAATATGAACTGCTATACATAACATTCTATTTTTTAATTTCCAGATTTTGAAATGTTAAAGTTTCTTCCTTGTTTATTCAGTAAACATTTATTAAAACAAAAAAGCAGAAATATTTTTTCTTCTTGTGCTTGCTCACAAGACTAAATTTCATTAAAATTTTTTGTAACCAGGAAATTTATACCTGCATGATTTGTAGGCACTTTGGTTTTTTCCACGATATTTTGTACAAGGATATTTTGAAAAGTGCGAAGTTTTTGCACCGCTTTATTTTCTACCACGATGTTACAACATCGTGGTACATTTTATACAACAAAAACTGCAAAGTTTTTTTCCATTTCTTTTCATCCACGATGTTTTCTACATTGGCGTTTTTCCCTTGCGTTGCTTTTCTCTGCAACGTTTTTGTCTTGATGTTTCCGGAGGATATCCTTCTTTCTTCTCTGCTTTAAAGGTATCCAAAATTCTCAATACTTCTTGCATGTTACGAAGGAATAAATACTTTTCGATTTTAGGTAAGCTAAATTTTGGGAAATTACATATATTTTGTGTTTATCAATTTATATATTTTATATCTTTACTGTTTTATTAATTTAAACTAATTAGAATTTGTAAGGTAATGTGTAGTTCCTGAGGATATTCCTTAGATTATATTCAGATAATACCAAAGATTCGCCGATCTCATGTTCTGTATATTATTGTTACTCTTCTTATTATTATTACTATGTATAATCAACTAACATATGGTTACTCTTGATGTTATCATTATCATTGTGTAATTTATCGAATGAATGCCAGAATATTAGTTTTTTTATATTACCCCTACAACGTAATATTATTAAAAATGTTCAAGAATTTCCAACAATATTTTTTTAGCCCAAAGGGGCAATTTACACATAAGGGCTATTAATTTCGGTTTGGCATTTTGCTTCGTCCACTATAAAACGGCGTCTCACTTTTCAAATTGTTGCTACGAAATATTAGAACCCTGCATTATATGTAAAGAAGTTAAATAATGAAAAATCTGCATGAATGTGCATATGTTTCTCGCATTGTGAAAAAATAACGGCACCCAGAAACGTCAAATTTTGAATAACGTAATCCTGCACTCGAATATGGGTGTTTCAAAGCCCAAATTTGGAATTTGAAGTTTGTATTATGATCTGTTTCGTATTTGGTAAAACTTCAAATATTTATATACTTTGTAAAACATTTTGATTAACAAACTCAACGATTTCAAAGCGAGCAATGGCGACACTGCAAGGGAAAAATTTATTTTTTATCTTCAGCGCGTGAGACTGTGTATCGGAAATTCTAAAGATATGCTCTTTTTAAATTATTTTGTGATATTGCTGTTGAATTGAGTTTTACGGTTTGCGAAGAATATGATGTTTAATAAATGAAGGTAACACAAAAGACATTTAAAGAAACGCCCCTTCAGGCGCAGTATAAAACCTGAAAGCTTTCATACTTTTTAAAATTTTAAAATTTTATTTTATATTTAAATATCTGCATTAATTTTGCATAGTTTCTTGAAAAGTGATTTTTCAACATGTGAAATTCTAAAGCAAGAAGACATGCTTTTTGTTCAGTAGCAAAAATAATGATATAAAACCCAATAATGTATGCCTCTAGCTGAAAAATAAAATATAAAATAATGATGCATACTTCTCGTTGAATTGGCCAGACTGTGGAACAAACCACTGCTTTGAAGAACGTATAATTTTTCAAAAAAAAAAAAAAACTGAGGATATAAATATAAAAGATTAAGTTTACCGTTTAATTAGACGACCCCTTACGTTCCAAAAGCATGATTTTACCAACCACGAACGTTCTTAAGCTCCAGCCTTGGACTACTCTGTGGGAAAAGTAAAACTTTCTTCTTTTTCTCTTTATTCTTCTTCTTTATTTCTCTTAGAAAATTGCATTAAGAGTAAATTTTAAAGGAGTGAATATGTTCCTCTAAGGTTTTTGATAAATTTTGAATACCAAGGCAGATCAGGTACTAACCAGCAAGTTTTATTGTGTCTGAAAATGCACAATATTTCAGAGGTAGTTCAAGAGATTCACCTTGGTTGCAACAAGTTGTAGGAAAGGTTAAATATTTTGATAGATTATGCCTTGTTTGGATGGTTTGGGTCACTTGTCCTATAGTTTCACACCTTGGGGATCTTATAGTATGATTTTGGTTGGTATGAAACAGTTCTGCTCTAAGATGCATTCGAAAACCCGTCTCTTCTTTAAATTTTGCACAGCAGTCGGTTTCTGGCAGATGAACTGGCAGTCGTTCCTCTTCAGGCAAGATGATGAATTCACGAACTAAAAGAAACTCTTAAGAGATTTCTTTTCACATTTTTGATAAACGGCAATATTTTGTTCGTTTTATCAGTTAGTACTACTATTTGATAATGTGGTTTTTCACCTTGACTTATAACTATGTTTATTTTCGTCTAGATGTTATCAACAAGCAGGTCTGTTGCGACAGTAACACTTTTAGAATGTACATTAGATAAAAAGAAGTAACTCGAGCGAAGATTAGAAGTTTCGTTTCTCTTGTTATCTGAAGAGTAACTTGCATGAAATAAATTAGACGCATTGCTTTCTTTGTAATGTACGAGTCCTAAAATTGAATCTGTTGTTTGTATTGTGCATAATGCAGAAATCTTGAGCAACAGAGAGATGATAAACATACGTTCAGCATTTGATTATTGAAAATATAGCAGGGGCCATCACTCGAAATGACATTGTTCGAATAGCTGAGAATTTGCTATCTATTCCTTCCCGGTGTAAACTGGCGTATAGAACTATGTCAACTATAATGATATTCACAGTCATTAGTTTACTTTTCTTTTCTTTTTTTTGGGGGGGAAGCAGAATGTGTGAAAAATATGCGATGCTGTCGCCGGGACTCGACCTCTCGAACACGCGCCAAGTGTGCTTCCAATTACACCACGAAGGCATGCGGAAAGGAGAGAGGATATACCTTATAGTATTCTGAGGAAAATTACATAGCAAACAAACATAACTCCAAGCTCGAACTTTGAATTTCGAATTAGTTTTTTTTTAATTTACTTTACATTTTGTGGGAACTGAATGAAATTCTGATTAACAAACGCAGCGATTTAAAACCAGTGCGTTACTACTCGGCAAAACATTGGAACTTGAAACACAATGCTTCGGTAGGCGTTTGCAAGTTGAAGGAGTTACGCACATTTTATGGAAATCCCTAAGGCCCTAAGGCTTTGGCGTGCATCACCAATACAGTGAAACAAAAAATTGCCATAAAAGTGTAAGGCGATGCTAGAAACTGTCGAGCTGGTGCATGCCCTGCATATCTAGTCCATTTTAGCAAATTTCTTCCAAATTTCAGCTGCTTTAAATTTTAAAATTATTTTGTCTAATTATTTTAAGAGGCCAATTATTTCTCTGATATAGAAATGTATGGAAACTTGTTGCAGCTTCCTTTTTCTAAGCATTTTTAGACTGTATTCTTCATAAAAAAATTATCAGTAAAACTTTATAAAAGAGGTTAATTTTTTAGTGACCTTTGTTAATTAACTATGTAAATTTAAAATTCTGTTAAGTTCTATAAGCTGCATTAATTTTCAACTCATTTTCAATTTTTAAATGCTTAAGTTTCCTTCTTATTTTTTCAGCAAAAATTTATTAGTGCATTCAAAAATATAAAATATATAATTAAATGAATCCCTCTTTCCTTCTTGCGCTCCCAAATCATTATGCGAACATGCACTTACAACATTTAAAACCTGAAAACGCATTGTGCGATGTTATCATCACGCGATGATTTGTAGGTACTTTATTTTTTACCACGATATTTCGACGAAGATATTTTTAAACTGCGAAGTTTTTGAACTGCTTTATTTCAGACCACAATGTTTTAGAACTGCGATGTGTGCTCTTTGCTTTCTTTTCTCCCATGAAGTTTTGTGCGTTTTAGTCTTGCGTTGTTTTTTCTGCGATGTTTTCGGAGGACACCTTGTATTGGCACATAGAGTTTGACTCACTTTAGAACTTAGTTTGACTTGTATTGGCATATAGAGTTTGATTTGCTTTAGAAGCGTGAACGAGTTTCAGTCTCCTAACAGGCGTAAGACGAATTATTGCTGCGTTTGAAATTCATTACAGAGACTTAAAAAGGTTTTCTTTTCTTTTCTTTTTTTTTTATTTAACAGAAAATGGGGTGAGAAAATACTAGATTCTCTAATTTTTAAAGAATGTATATTTTAAATTTAAAATTTGCGTAACGTAAAAATTTTTGTAACTGGAAGTTAATGTCCATGACCAATGATTTCGAAAATAAAGGTTGTATAAGAAAGAGTTTGTGGTGGTATATTAGTCACACCTCTTTCTAGTCACATCCGGGGCTCGGATATTAATGACCTAAAATGTTACTAAAAGTGCCTTTAAAAATGGGCAGAAAATGTACTTAAAATGGCAAAAAACACCCTTAAATGTTTTTTTAACCAAAGTCCCCCCCCCAGATATAAAAAATAAAACTATAAAAATAACACTTTTGAGAAACATTGACAAATGGATTAAAACCCAAGCAGTTACACATACCTGTCAGTTGAATTTGTTTTTTTCTTCTCATTTTCAACCTTACATAAATGTATTAGAACTCCCTAAAATTATTAAACTCTTCTTGATTTTTTTCGAACGCGAAATACTTTCTGTTGTCAGTATACAAGTTTTTATACCGTGAGAAGCTTCTGTGGATATTTACTGCTGTTATTGGAGCAAACTTAAAACAAATTACATCATTTATCATTTATTCTTCGTCGGTTTCAAAAGTGTCTACTTCTCCCATCAAGATATGAGATATTATCCGCATAGTTTGGAAGCCACTGTTTTTAGTCAAATAAATGTTGAATTTAACAAATGCAATAATTTGAAACTTTCCCTTGACCTGTTTTGAAACTTCACCTAACTTATCCATTTAATTTTTTACATCAGCAACTTAGGCATTTTCTCGAGGGAAAAGAATCGTTTGGCAAAATATTTTGTCGCAAAACTTCTTTTGCGCTGACAGCATTTCTAATCGGATAGTCCATTTTAAGAATGGAAAGACCGGAAGTCATTTTCAAACTTACCGTCGACGGACTATACCAGCTAAAGGAAAAAAGAAAATATAGAGGATTTTACTTAGGTAGCAATACGTATTGCATACAGTTGCGTGTGTGTAATTCCAAGAATGTGTCTAGGGAATAGCGTTTTTCCCTCTGCATGTAATCTTATGAAAATGAACATCCACAAAGGGCCTTAAAGAGGATAAGAAGAAATGTGGTTATGGTAAGATTCTGAGAAGTGGAACTAACCTTGTAGAACAATTAGGTCGGGGTAGGTCTATTAGGTGGGTTATGTTCTATAATTAGGAGATTGTGTTCTATAATTAATTAATTTTCTATAATTAGGTGGATTATGTAATGAGTCTTCGCCTAGTAAAAAGGAGTTATTGCAATGATAATTTTATTTTTCAGTTTGATTAATAGAATATGCTACAAAATGTTCTGAAATGTCCAAAAATACCGTAAAAAGGCCCTCAAAAGTCTTTAAAGTCTTAAAAAAAGTGTTTTAAAAGAGACAAATGCTCAGGAAAATAATATATGCAATGATTTTTTATTATACACAATGGTTACACAATAAAAATCGAAATTTTCATGAGCGCAATATAAATTTTTCCTTGAAGAAGCACTGCGCGATTGTTTTGATTTCTTTCATGTAGCTAAAATTTCGGATTAATGACAAATCAAAACTTAGGATTAAAATCTTCAAATACTGAATTAATTATCACTATAACGTGACGAGAGACTCAGTTAAGATATGACTTTCTTCGCGTCTTTTAGGGTGTCACCAAAGAACACATTTATTCTTCGGATTCATTGGAGTTCCCGGATTACACTTGTAAGCTCTGGCGAATTCCTTGAAGTTAGCCAATGGCACATTCACTCTAAGATAGGGAAAGAAAATAAAAAATTTAATTTATTTTAAAGAATTATTCATAATAATATAGGGAAACTTACTAAAAAATATCCAAGAACACTAAAACACTTTTTTATTCATATTCCTTATAACCAGTGCTCCAATTATCAGGATTCCTTTTTATTTTTCTCGCGCCAAATAAAGTTAAGATAGTTTTTATTACAATTCAGCGAGTTTCAAATTTTTTTAATAATAGAAAAAGTATAATACATTGTAGTATGTATTTTTAAGTTGCATTGCTTAGTCAGTTCCTATGGATATACATAATAATCCATTGTCACTGACGAAAAATTAGGTAGCTGCAGTAAAACACTAATCCGAATTTCATATATCCGGTGCTCGAGTTATCCGGATTGCCTGTTCTCCTTCCTAAGCCGCATAAAATCAAGCCTCTTTCTGTAATTTAAAAGCGATTTTTAAATACGTTTCTTTTGCGTGATTAGTACAAAAGAGTAACACAGTATAGTACATATTATTTAAAGGTATATATATTTTGAACAAAAATTATCCGTACTGCAGATATCCGGTACTTGAGTTATCTGGATCATATTTTATCCTTTCTAACAACATGAAATTAACTTTTTTTTGTAATTTATCATGTAGTTTTAAATTTTTCTTTGACATGATTACTACAGAATAACAATACAATGTGGTATACGTTCTTTTAAAGTTATATATTTGTTTCGTTATTATCGATAATCGATAGCGTATTCGGCAGCAAAAATCCTAAAGAAATAATTATCCGAACTTCAGGTACCCGGCGCAGCAACAATGCGAATAACCTGTTTTTATTTCTAGGCGAATAAATTAAAGCTCATTTTTAATTCATGAAAGGGTCCCAGAAGTTCTTTTTTAGAGTATAAAATGAGATACTATACCATAATATACACTTTTAAGAAATTGTTCAATTAATTCACATTCTCGCACACCACTGGACTTAATTTCAATGTCTAAAAATGCCGAAGCCCTGTACGAAAGGCTATTATTAAAGTTATTAAATTTTTATCGCTTTATTTTCAAGTGCCTGGTTTTGTTACAATTATTTTAAATTTTGAAAATAGTTAAATTTAACTTAAATGCTGTCCTACCTTCCCTTCGATTCAGAGCCTCTCAGGCCAGAGTTTATGGAAATTAAAGAACCCGCAAGAGAGTTTAAAAGTTACAAAAGTTGCTTATAACCTTTTCAACTTGAAAGAAGAGCGCCTTTATGTTTGTAATTGCTTGAAACGCTTGTTTTATCCTTTCTCATTGGTGTGCTGAAAAAAAAAAAAAAAAAAAAAGAGTGACTTTTTATATCTTCTTGAAATAGTAGATTATGTGCATACATAAGGATTAAATTCAGACTGAGATCGGCTGCGCTACTTCTTAACCTTTGAGCGGAATTGTAATTCCAACCTAAGCCCCAAATTAGACGAGGTCCGATCATTTGTTTTTCATTAAACTATTTATTATTATCTCTTTACATTTCTTATGATTTAATTATTTTAGTTTTTCGTTATTTAATTTATTTATTTACTACTTTGTTTCTGACAGTCTTCCATAGGACTCCCGCACTTTTAATTTTAGAAACTGAATCCTGATTGTAAAAAAAAAAAAAAAAATTACTCTGAATTACATCCTCAAAAAAAATTACTCATCCTCCACGAACATTTACTTTTACGCCAACAGAGGGCGGCACTAGCAATGCCAAGATCTCAACCTCGGCATTGCATTCCTTGATATGAACATTCTCCTTTTGTCCATTCAGATCACTGTGAGATTGCACATACATTTTCTAAATACAGTAAAAGAGTATCATTATTATGCACTGGTAAACATATCATATAGCAGAAGCCTGTAGAAGAAAGAAGTTCCAAGTTCCAATTTGCGCTGAATGCCGAGCCTAAGCTAGTGTAAATAACTAACCGTGTGTCGTCTCAGTGATGTAGAGTGCTCTAGGACGATGAAAGTATAAAAATCCATCAGTAGAAATAAAAAAAATCATGATGTTAAGAGAATGGGAGTGAAAAACATAACTGTCATATAAGAGAAAATCGATCGTGAAGCTCTAAAGATGAACCTTGCTGAAGAGGTGGCGCCATCTAGTTTACACAGGAGAAGTTAATTTCAGTCATCGCACAGTAAAGCTGAAAAATTAGAAGTTCAGCTCTTCACTTAAATCAATGAACTGCAGAGAAAGTTGAAGTTTTCTCTCTTGTGAATTCAAATTTTTCAGAATCTTAGCAAATTATAGAATTTTTCCGAAGAATCCAGCAAATTTATTCTGAATATTTTCAACAGACGTTAAACCAAATTGCAACTCATATGTTGCAGAGTAAAAAGCCCCATGTTGTTCGTAAGAGCAGTGCCAATGTTTTAATTGTCTTCTTGATATGAAATAAAATATTTTGTAAGAATAATGTAAATATTACCTGAGTTTATTTGGACTGTGTTCATCATAAATCCGGAAGCCTCTGATGTAATCATCTGTCATATTACTGCACCAAACCTACAAATACATATAATTAACTATGCATTAAAATCACGTTGTTTCTCAATAAATTATTGTATATCTGTTACTTAAAGAACGTTTTATAAATATGAAATTGATAAATGTAGAAAGAAGAGTCATGAGAAGAGAGAGAAAGAAGAGTCATCATTCATAATATAATTGCTTTCTAAATAAAATGAAGTATCCCGATCACTGAATCCTCATTTTCTACGTCTTTCTATCATTGTTGTCAATTTCGATGATAGATTGGTAATCAGAAAACCGGGCAGAAAAAACAACAAGTATCTGGATAAAATCTAATCTGCATCCCTTCGAAAGTATTCGCTTCTGAAATTTTCTGCACGGATTACTTACACCATAACTATCATGTTTGTTGTAAGTATTTAAATCCACATTAGTCTAGGACTTTCTTCAGTTCGGCCTGATTGTTGTCCTCTGTTTTCATCAAAGGAGAAGAGAGATTGAAAGGGAATGCAGTAGGCGCCGCTAAATCTGATCACTTTTGCCCATGGCTATTTTGGCGACGTTAAACCGAATAATAACATTAAACGATAAGAAAAAATCTGACGTGAGAACCACATGAATTCCTTGTAGGGCCTGTTAAATTATACACATTTTTTGTTGCATTTCATTTAAACTTATTTCCTCAGTTTTCATTAGAGAAACATTTTTCATTCAATTCAGTTCTGTTCTCGTGGCTAGATAAAAAATAATAAAAACTAAAAATACCTTGATTAAAAATTGAAAAATATAGAAAACTTTAAAACACCAAATACAGTGAAAAAAATTAAAAAACAGTTTTTACAATTAAAATTAGAGTTTCTACTGAAAAACAAACAATTCGGTCAGCGGGCAAGAAGGCAGATTTTTCGGTGCACAAAACTGAAAGCTTACTTTCGGTTCCACTTGGCAAAAGGACACTGAAGGTGCAGAAACTGACTTAGTTTATTATTCTGCTAATTTTCAAATGTAAACAAATATGGTTGCTCCGTTAGGCTTAGTCGCAATTAAATAACTTTTAAATTGTTGATAATTCTACAGCTATTGCATGCAGAAAAAATGCATAAAAACCATAAATGGAACATGAGAACAACATAATTCAATCATATTTAAAGCAGAAAAATGCGTAATTTGCCAATATATAAGAATAAAAAATTGAGGTCACCGAGCCGAGTATCAGAGTGGGTATATATATTCCACTCTGTATATATATATATATATATATATATATATATATATACAGTAAGACTCCAATTATCCTTAGTCCGACTATCTGAATCGTTGATTATCCGAATGGCTTTCAGAATTTTTCAGAATCAACTAAAGAAGAGAAGAAAACGGAGAAAACGGAAAAACAAGCTCAAGAAAAGGAAAGAGAAGAGACAGACGATGAGGATGACGTATCACGTGAGGCATTAGGAAGCTTTCTTTTGAAAATTTCTAGATGTTTAGAAGTTAGTAGTGAGGATACAGCAGAATGGATGGTGTGATTCGTCAGACCCTCGGTTTCAAATTTTAAATGATGATAAACTTATTGAAAGTGTGAGAGAAGAAAGTGTAGAGGAAGAAGATGACCTTAATGTTGAAATTGAAGTAGACACGGGACCATAGCCTAGTGAAACGTTTGCCGGCCTTGAAGTGGATGAAGTGTCAGCCCGAGTGTCACCACATGTAACTTCTCATTGTTGAGCGGATGCGCGATTTGGCTGTCCGAAAACGGATGAAGAGAGTACAAAAGCTTACTTTGACCGGGATGTTCAGTAGGCAATGACTTTCAGCACTTGTAAAGTACTGTATAGTACACTGTATAACATGTACATCAAAGTTTTGCCTTTTTTAATTAATGAAAACCTTTTTTTTTTTCTTTAAAAATAGTTTTTTCTCCCATTTTCAACATACAGTATATACAGTAATAAACAAAAGTGTACGTAGCTCTTCCTTCGGAATAAATCCAATTACCCGAATGGGTTCCGGTCCCAGTTGGTTCGGATAATTGAAGTTCTACTGTATATGCTTTTGGTGTGTTATATATGTGCTACATATATTTGGTGTGGTCGATTGCAACCAAAAAGGGAAGTGCACAACTAACTGTTATAGCAGTCCTATATACAAAATTTCAACGTTCTGAGGCTGCTCGTTTTTGAGTTAAGCGAGGTACACAGACCTCCTGAAAAAGATCCCTTCTGAATCTATTTTAAATCCATTTTACAATCCATTTTGGGTAAAAGAGTCGTTTATTCTATCCTTACGTACAGAGAGCGCCAAAGCCAGAATCCTCGTCCTGGTGCGTACCTTTCGAAGTTGGATATTCCGGCCCTTGGAGACCCCTCAGTGGGAGCGCAGACCCCACAGTCCCTGCCCGGCTTTCTACGTAGCCTCAGCAAGTACGGAAATATTGCTCTAAGTCTAAATGTACTGCTTGATCACCTTTGCTTCGGGGCACCACTCCCTTAGCATCAAAGAATTCAACTAGGTGCCTTGTCTCCGTCAGTCCCCGTCACTGGGAGTGCCAAACCCCCATCGAGAAGATCAGGAGAATCTAACCAAATATCAATACCACAGCCAGCGGAACAAACACGACAGAACCAACATGGTCCCTGCCAAGCCTGAACCAACCTAAGTATAATACCTAGGCTCTAGTCCTGTGAAGACTAATAATATACCCCCGTGATTGAGACGCCTAGGTACAGATTCTAACCAGTGCTTCCCAGAAATTCTCCTGAGTCAGACTCCGGGGGGGGGGGTATCCTTACGTACGGATTTTACTCAAAAATATCGTCAAATTGCATTCGATAGCGGTCAAAATGGATATTTTCTATGAAACACGATACCCGAAATTTTTCGTGGTTACAATACTTTCTTTACTTCGTGCAAAGAAATAAAAATATAATTATAGCAATGATTTTGGCTTATATTAGGGCAAAACACACTACAGCTATCTGCGAAAGGAGAAGGATGCCTTTGTGGAGGACTTTTAAGGGATACATGGCACATGGAAGAAACTACGAAAACGCCAATTCAGCCAGCCCATTCACCTAGATTCGAACCCAGGTCGGAACTGCTAATGTTCAGCGAGTTTACCGCTCAACCGCTGGTGGCCCGAAATAGTAATGGAATTGACTAAATTGACTAATTAAATTGTTAATATGACTAAAAATATATAAATAGGTCACTTCGCAGTATTTTAATAGGAAAATTGAAAACTTTTGTTTACAAACTGATCCTTACTTTTCAGGAAATGAACCAATGCTGTACCCCTAATACTCAGAAGCATACCTTATTGGAAGAGAATATACCAAATTATCAATAAAATTAGAAGAAAGGCAACCTTCCTTCTCCATAGATGCTTTTCAAGGGAGAATATTTTTACTCCTGATGAAGAGGGTTGGTTTATTTGATTATGGCAAAGCACTGGAGGGCCATCTGCCTAAAGGGGTATGCCTTCGTGGACGACTTTCTAAGGAGAATGTCTCACATACACGTTACAGCTGGGGGAAACCACAAAAACGCCCATGCAAACCAGCCCGTTCGCGGGGTTCGAATTTGGACCGAATCAAACTAAGTTTGCATTTTTGCCGTATGGCAATTTTTTATATTTTATTTTAATTTGATTGGGTAGCTTTGCCTCAGTTAAAAAATATTCTGTAATATTTTGATTTTATCAATCGAACAATTGATTACAATAAGCGACTTATTTTCCATGCTTTCGTATAAAAGCGTCGAGACTTCACCTATTCAATAACAACATCCGATAATATTAATCGTGATAGCATTAGGCGGCATTTACTCTGTTTTCCAAATTGAAGGAACAAGTTTCACAGTAGACTCAAACGCTCTAAGATTTTGAAACAAAACTAAAGAACATGACATGGTGAGAGAAACATTGTTCTATGTTTTCAGTTTTATTCGGTTGAAAGTATTTTGGCGTGTTGCGCTGATATCCATTTTTCTAATAAGGTATCTGGGAAACGTGCTGCCATTGTACGAACAACACATTCGTACCTTCTCTCCATCATGTATAAACTATAAAGGTTTTAGTACCTTTCTCGTGCTAAAGACATAGAAGATTTGGAAACCAAAATTCAACTAGTGACTCCCTACAGTGACTGTCGCCGTGCTATAAATAGATGACCGAAAAAAATTCAACTAGAGACTAGTCACAGGGACTGTCGCCAAGCTAAAGTTAATTGATCGGGAAGTCGATGTTTAACCAGTGATGGCCAGAGACTGCCGCCATGCTACAGTTAGTTGATCGGGAAACTAATAAACCGGGTATTGGTGAGAGACTGCCGTCGTGTTACAGTTAGATGATCGGGAAACGAACGACAACCAGTGACTTATTCCAGTGACTACAACCATACTACAGTTAGATAACCAGAACCCACCCTAATTTTGAGCATAAATTGCTAGCTTGCTTTTCTTTTTCTTTTTTAAGTTTATTTCAGGTTTCATTTCCTTAGTGTTCTTGAGTTCTAGACGACATATTATGATTGCTGCTAGGATTAGCTCATTCGAAATTATAGCCACTCACATGACAACAAGACTGACTTTATGTTCATGTGTGCTGCAACACAAATTGCTGAAACAACTTCAACGATTCAGGAACCAGCGATGTTAATTTACCATCGACCTCTTCAAATGGTGACTGGCGACCCCTTTGTTTTCCTATTACGCGTAAGGTTTTCTCTTATATTAGCATACCTTGTCTTCCAGTGGTGCTCGAAATTATATGATACATTGTATACCTTATATGTTACAAATTCAAATCTCCAATATGTGCTCATGTATAAAATTATGCAAAGGTATCCTTATATTTCAAATTCATGTTAAATTTGTATACTTAATGTTACATTCCAAATCATAGTTTTTTTTCCACTCTCTCTCAACTAGACTTTGACTGTTATGTACTGGTCCCCATTCTTTTATTTCCCCCCCCCAACCTTACATCTCTTCAGCTTTACCAACACACTCACTACACAACACACCTGGAGACTATTTAAAAGTAATGACAGTTCCTCTCCTTTTAACTACACTCATGGACACAATCGTATTTTAGGATATTTTCTACTCTTTTCCTTTTCTTTCTATAGGCCCTTTAACTTTTTTTCCCTATTTATTTTTGGGCCATTTATTTTTAAATTTTATTTTGTCCCATTTTTCTTCCTGGCCTTTTGAACTCGTACAAGATGTACGAAGTTCCTTTTTTCTCTCCTCTATAACACGAAATTGCCCGTTTTCTATCTACTTTTCCTTCGCACCTAAGCTTAATTTTTCGCCCATTGGTGCAGAAAGACTTAGCGGGTGCAAAACAAGACATCTGTCTACTTTGTCTGTCTGTCTATTGCCATTCCACCAGTAGGAGGTTACGCTGACTGCCACCGTGCTGTAATTAGATGATTGGAAAACCAACGCCAACCAGTTACCGGCCGAAGTGACTGCCGCCGTGCTACAGTTAGATAGATGATCAGTAGAATACTACCGTGCTACAGTTAGATGATCAGTAGTCGTGCTACAGTTAGATGATCAGTTAGAAAACTAGCATTCAACCAGTAGCAGGTCACAGTGACTGCTACCGTTAGATGATTGGAAAACTGACCTTTAACCAGTTACTGTCGCCATGGGAAGTAATCACGTCGAAGGATCTTTGTAAGAAAATTGTGCTCGAATTTTAATTAATTAAAATCATTCACATCTTACAATTTTTAATACCACAGTTTGGACATAACTCCGGTTATATGAGCTATCAGAAATGGTTTTTCTTTGCGAACCCATTACATCAGATGCCATTTCTTTATTCAAATGTTACATTTATTAGAATGCTTTAGGAGAAAAATTTTATATTGCTCATCATATTGCTTAATTTATTACTTTAATAGAAAACTTTAATTAATTAAAATTATTTTAATAATATTACTATGCCATAAAAATAATATTTTAATAAAAACTAAGTTTTATTAATTTAAGAGTTATTAGAATTAGATTAATGAATTAATTTTATTGTATGAATGATAATTAATTAATTAATTTCATTAACTTTAATTTAAATGGAAATGCCTGGTGACTTTTATTTTAAGAAGCGTGGATTCCTTTTCTTTTTTTTAAATTTTATTGCAGTAAAGATGAAAACAGGATTGTAATTAGCTTTAAGCGCAACGCTGACAAAAATATCATTGTTTCGGCTTTGTTAAGGTTTGAAAGGTGCTGCATCTTAAGCAAACCAGAATAACTTTAAAGTAAATGTATAATTTTGTGGAAGGTAAATTTATTATCGAAGGAAGGTATTTTGTCTTTGAATTCTTGAAAAATAAAAAATAAAAAATTTTTTTTAAAATTGTAACTGTATAAATTTTACTGAAGTAGGCTAAAAGAAAAAAAAAATATCCTCTCGTTTTATAACAGTAAATAATGCTGATCTTTTATATATTAAAAGTACGCGACAGTTATGCTCTCTTAGTCAGGATATTTAAAATTCCATCGCATTTTATAACTAATCCTACACAAGAACAATGTGCTACTCACCGAAGCATAACCTAAGAAGAAAAGTTGCTCAGGACTTGCGGATAAACCCGGTAATTTCTTTCGATATGTCAGGTCTTCACCAGATAAAGCCAAGTGTAATCGAAAGGCCTAAAAGGAGAAAAGAAAGAAATTTAGGACATACGAATCGCTATTGCAAACACAAGGTGTGTCAAAACTAAAGGAACAAACTTTATGATGTGATACAGCACACCGAAACTAATAGTTTTTGTCGTCAGATGCATGATCGCAATTAAGCGGTTTGGCGTTTACCGGATACCTTTCATTTTTTCACAATCACCGTTTCATGCACCGTAAAAACATCCACCCCTTTAGGCACGCGAAAAAAAGAGATAATTTTCACCTGCACTGCCATTTATTTCGCATTTTCATATTAGTTTGTGTTTTGTACTATTTGGACGTATGTTTTTTTGGATGAGCTTCTCGACTGGGGATATTTTTTCTCATTTGATGCCAGTTATATTCAATGATTTCAATTCTTAGTGGCTCTGGTCTTCTCTCAAACCATCCAAGTCACTTATGACTAAAATGTCTCACTCCTTTGCTTTGGACGTTATCTTAGAGAATGCTTATTTCCAGATTTAACTAGGTAACGTGTCTTTAATGATCTTATTTTCACCGTCATTATCAACATGAAAGATACCGGTATACTAAAACGAGAAGGCGTTTACCATCGTATAACTTTGTTCCGTAAAAGACAGAGTATGGGGGTGAACGGAAAGCTCTTCAAAAGTGCCTAACCGCTTAATAAGTGACCATGCATTCTGTGATCAGATGTGCACATTTCGATATATTCCATCACTTCTTAGTGATTGTTAGTTTTGAAGCGCCCTGTACATAATGAAATTTTTAGCTTTCCCTGATAAAGCGGTTAATCTTGTCCGATTAACGTGCAAATTCAAGTGAGAAGTCACGTGCAAGGTAAGTGCTCAGCTAAGCCAAGTGCTCCGTTAAATCTTCTGTGGATGAAGCCGAGTGCAATCAAAAGCCCTAAAAAGAGAAAAGGAAAAACAAAAGCTAGAATATAAAAGCATTTTCGTAAACATTTAATTTCTGTGAATGTAAAAGATTGGTTATTCACATGAATAGGTTTTTTTCAGCAATTTCGAGATTGAAATTGTAACGCTAAGAATTAAATTCGCGAAATTTGAAATTTGCATGATCGATGAAAATGCTAATTATATGTGTATCATCAAAAACTGAAAGCATAATATTTAAATCATTTCAAGTTAGTCAGTATGGATGTTGAATGACAAGTGCGAAAATTCACGCACTTAACGCTTACACATGCTTTTGGTGAAGTCATTAATCACTGTCTGAAGAATGTATTACTGTGCTGTAAGCACTAGACACGGAAAAGATTAAGACTCACAGCTAACCCTTCCTTTTGCAATATTCGACTAATCATGTCCCACATATTCCCCTGAAAAACAAATCTGCAGATTTGGCAGCCCACGGCAGACGTGTTTGCGTAGGGTTTTGGCAATAAATAGCACTAGTATCATGCAGCCTAACATTCTTGTTTATAACTCTGATTTTTACGTCTAGATGGCAGCACCAAACACGAAATTTAATGAAATTCACTAACGAAGCCGAGGTCTTAGCTCTTGCTTCATTGTCATCTAGAAATAAAAATCATATTTACTAAATATGCGTTAAAGGGCAGGTCATTTCTTGCTTGTAAGGACACCAATTTTAAAAGAAGAAAAATATTAGAAACTTGTTGCTCGTTTGTGATTTATAGGCACCTTATGCTAAAAGAATTAGATTTCATTAGGTCTCTATCTTTTGACTCATTATTTGCCAGCAAACTATGAACGGAAAAACAGCCACCGATATTGCTTGGCCTTTTGGAAATGGCTATAATATGATGATTAGCTTATTGGATAGTTTTATGACGCGGCTTTTCACTTCTAGATGGCAGCACAAGTCACAGAATAAACTAAAACGAGAACTATTCGTGTCTCCTGTATTTTTAACCGCGAAAAGCGGTCAAATGACACCATAAATAAAACACCAATTTTCACTGATTTTCGTTCACTGCACAAGGGTGTAGAAGTTAAAATAGTTCACTAACGTCTATTTCTGTGAACCATGGGTGTTGCTTACTAAAATATGGACGGTGTAGCTATTTAGCTATGGAATGCGAAAGGTTTGTCTCAATTATCTTTAAGTTTTTCGTAATTTCTCTCATAAATAATGTACATGTACTATATTCTCATTTCATCTCAAGTATTCTATAACTTTTTTCGTATTCTCCCAAAGATTTAAACATTAATGTAACTATACTTCAATTATTACGGTATAAATTCCATTATGCATCTACTGCAGCATAACTGCAATGCACATAGTACAGTATAAATTTTATGGTGTACAAAGTGCAGTATAGCTATGCTACATCTAGTACAGTACCTAGTACGCAGTATGAACTCTATGATGCTGATGATATAAATATGAATGAACTCTATCAGGAAGTCCTCCACAGAGGTTCTCTTTTCTTTGGCAGATGGCCGACTTGAAAGTCCTACTTCATATAAGAGCTGATTTTGCAATTTCTGAACTTATTAGATTGTAGTTGAACTTATGAATTTAAAAGACTTGGAGGATGAAAAATAAGTTTATGTTCGTGATAAGTTTATGTTTGTACATATAACTCACATTTCTCAATTTTCGAAAGAACTACATAGTGTCATTTTAGCATGCGTAGCAATGGATGCTTTCATATAAGCGTTTGTCTAGAAGTTATCAACCTTTTTTGTCCATACACCCTTTTCACCACTGCCAGACCATCTTCCCCCACCATCCTTTCCAAAACTCGAAAACTACATACACATTTATTTAAGTTTAGATTATTTTTAATGTGCTTTATATAAACAAGAAAAAGTATAGAAAAGATTGATAAATACCAAACATAAAATAAAAAAGTATAATTTTATATTCATAAACAAAAACTAAATACCTAACAGGCAAATAAAAGGTCTGAAACTGTGAAATTTATCCTCGATTGAGAATCCCTTGGTATAGGCATTCTAACTTAGCATTATTCGGTCTAAGTTTCTCTGCTCAAAATGTGACATTTAATAGTAATCAAATTCCAGAACAGTTCACATGCACTCCTTAAAGTTTTGTCTTCTATTATTATCTAGTAATGACTAAGTGTGTTTGCCATAGTAAGCAAAGAAACAAATGTTCCAAAATTCTCCATGCAGATTATTGATTAATACGACTTTCCAACTTCATTTTTATAGTATGTGTGTCAGCCTTCAGATGGGTCGTATTACATATCACATAACATACATTTCAATTTGAAGGGTTATTTGACTCTTTTTCCCTAATTGTGTAATGCTATGGATTGCGTGGCGCTTGGGATCTATTATGCATTTTACTGCCAAGGAAATTCGCTCGTGAAAGCGTCCTAATAGGGCTACCAACTAAGTTACAACTTTGCATTTCAAGCTGGTAAAGACATAATCATTTTATTGAAAAGTTAGTCAAAAATCTGTTTTTATTTTACCTTCTGGTCTTAATGCTGAGAAAAATTCTACAAAGGCAATTTGAAATAAATATGATTCTTGCTTACCGTTTCATGATGTATTCTTGTATGTTGAGGCACAAAACATATATTGTGCCGTCTGTGGTATTAACAAATATATTAAATTATCCTTTTTGTGCTTGCAAAAGTTGTCGAACCCTAAAATACTGAATAAAGTTAAGCACCTGTAACCATGGTTAATATTATCCAATCGCATATGATAGAAGCTACGCTTTTTGAATACTGCAGGATCACTGTGTACACAATTACAAACAATGAGTTTTACAATGTTACAATACAAGGTATGCTCTTCCCAGTAGAACGTTTTCAGCATGTGACTGCACTGACTCACAGTCTGATCCAACGGAGCTATTCTCTTCTGAGTCGTGTATTCGTTTCTCACACTTCTTTAAATCAAGTGACGTCACTTAACTCGAGCACTGGAAAGAGCATAATGTTGTCTCTTTACTGACCGTGAGTGATAAGGAAATAATGGCTTATTCGCATATTGAGACATCAATATGCGTAGCTGATATGTAAGAAAATTTAGTTATACGTCTGTGAAAACTGTTGCAGACAATAAATGTTTACGATTGCAGAATACAAGGTTTCCTGTTCTCAGCAGAAATCTTTGAGCGTGTGACGTCACTGACTCATAGTCTCCTACAAAGCAGGTATTCCCTTCTGTCTTGTGTATTTATTTCTCCCACTTCTTTAAATAAAGTGACATCACTGAACTTGAGGATTGGGAAAAGCATAATCTTGTCCCTTTACTGACCTTGAATGGCTAGGAAATAATACTTTATTCGCATAACGAAATTGCATCATGCGATGTTGATGTGCAAGAAATATTGGTCATGTCCCATGAAAACTGCCAATAGAAGCTTGGTAATAAAGAGTTCGAAAATACAACGCACGCTACTTTTCCTACTAAACTTTTAATGAATGCAAGGTGCAGCATTTAACATTACCAATTTTCAAAATAGGATGACAAGTTTGTTGTTCCTTTCTTCATCACAACACTTTGGAGATGGCCTTCGTAACAATCAAGACATTTATGTCATCTTTCAGGTTCACTTGCACTTGCCATGACTTGGGGTGGAGTGTCTTGTAAAACATTAGGAGTCTTTTCATAAACTGTACTTTGAAAGTTATCAATGTCTATGAGCCAGTGAGTAAAACTTGGGGTTTAGAATATCTCTTCATAAAAAGGTTCTGCTGGAGTAACGTTGGGGGGATGTTACTGAATGAGACTACTTAATGCCATCAAACTTACAAAACACTTCCAGAGAATGGCAGCAGAATTTTGCTGATTGTCATGAGTTTACATTTACAAAATGCTGCATTTAAAAATCGGGTCCTGCTTTGTGAATCCAAAGCATTTATCAATCTAAGCATAGCCATTTGTATTTACTGCTGTGTAAGGTTTATCTTAATTTATCTAACTTTTAATTTGTAGTTAAAAGTTACTTTCCTGTTTTTCCTTAATTTCAGCTTACAACTTCCAGCCAGAATTTAACTGTGAAGTTGTATTGACTTCGCGAGAGAGCCAGATATTCTATACAACGCGCGTTAGCCTTTTGGCTTTTGGCTATACTCTCTCTAAAGCTATTTTTATGATCGGCCGTACTTTAGGCCGTTGGTAGCTTCGCCGTTAGTTAGCGTTAAGGGTCCAACTCTGTTAGAATTTTGATAGCTTCGCCTATATCCTTTTAGTTAAAATTAGTTAAGTTTTATTTCTTAGTTTTCTGAGTTCAAGGCCGAGTGGAAACTTTATTGTAAACTCTAAGAAAGGAGTCATCTGTTAAACTTTATTTGGAATAATGAAGGTAATTAACCCTTCTCGAGTTTTTGTTCTCCCTCTACTGAACTAAAGCGATTATTCGCTTATCTGTTCTTAAGGTTCCTCAACTTTAGTTGTAAATTAAAAATAGGAATCTTACAGCTGTATATAATAAATGTGTTACTCTGTTTTAAAAATGTGTGATAGTAAATGCTGCAGGTAGGCTGAGTCCAACCTATCACAACTTCAGTATGCCTCATTTATCAAAATTCGTTTTATAGTAATAAAGCTACTTTAAATTACTGGATTTCTTCAGCCCAATCTGCGTAGAGAGAGAAAGATCGTGTTTGTTACTGTCGTTTTCATCATTCTGATGCTACGGAAGGAATTTTAGATCTTAACTTCAGTTTTCCTGAAGACTTCCAATCCACAGACAGCAAGGTCCTGTATACCCAAGAACAAGAAACACTGAATTGGTGCCAAGATGGAAGAAATAGCTCGATAGTGTTTGTTTGTAGGTTGAAATTTGCTACATTTAGCTTCACTGTAAATATGTTTTTTATCTGCTTTTTAATATACTGGAAGGACAGACACTTAATATTCACTACTTTTCGATCTTATCATTTCATTCAGACAGGCAAAGTACCAGACAGAAAAATAGAAGAAAATTTCAGACAGAGCGGGGTGGAAGAAAAAGAAGCAAAATATCTATTCTTACTTTGAAAGCGTTTCTGACGGCTCCATTATCGGCAATATTTTCTCCCAGAGTCAAATTCCCATCGACCTATAAGATAGTTAAGCTCTAGTACTCTATGGAATCATTCAATAATATCATTTACATTTAAAACAAATTACATTTAGATATACCGAAAACAAAAAGGATAGATATATTTATATATAAAATGCAAAAAATGGACCTAAAAATGTAAAATCTAGCTCAAACGCTGGTAATATTAGTTAAATATTAATAGAGAGATTATTTCTTCGGAAAATACATAGTTAAAACTGTTGTAATTAAAAACCCTTTCATATTTAGAAGTTAAGTACAGTATCATTGAAGAAGGAAAATTAAAAAAATTAGAATTGAAATTAAAGATAAGAATTAAAAACTATAAATAAATCTAAATTAAATTTTATTACTGAATCCGTGGAAAATGTTGAATTTCAATAGGTATTAATCTTTCTTGATAAAATCACCAGTAATTAAAGAGATCTGAACGAATTCCGTCTTTCTTGTTCACTTAAGCGATATAATCTAGTAATACTTCAACTTTATTAATTCAAATTAATTTATTTTATTTATCAATCTGACGAAGAAAATACCCCGACACCGTATCGGGATTAAATACTGTGCTTTGGAGACAGAAAGCTATGTGGACTCAGCCTATGTGTGCGATTATTATTGAAGGAAAAGAGATATAATGAAACAGGTTGAGATTTGTCAATGTGTGCTTAAAATAATAAGGTGGGAAACTTTTCCACGTTAGTACTGTCAGTAAATTTAGTTTGCCAGTCAACAACTGGTGGCGCTTCAGTAGTCTGAAATTTTCCGTTGTTGTTGTTGTCTTGTCCATATTACATGGAACAATGGTTGCTAGGGCCTACTCCGAAGAGAGATAAATTTCCGGTTAAGAAAGTTATTTAGTGGTTAATTCAACATACTGGAATTGCCTGAAGCAACTGACGGTCTCAAATTTAACATTTAAATGTCAGTTCCTTTGAATTAAAAGTATAACCAATAGAAAATTATTGCCGGTACCAACCTTTAGACTTCAGATAGGAAATAAACACAAATTTGAATTTTTCCTTTCTGTTATTATTATATTATTCGTGCATGTTATGATAAATATTCAGTAAGTAAAATTTAATTAATATTTTTATTAATATTTTACGTTTTGTTAAAATAAGTGCCCTGGCCGGTCAGCTTCTTTCAGATCGATATTTAGCCCCATGCATTAAGTTGGACATGCATAGCAGTTGAGCACAACTCATTGGATACAAATTGAACAAATCGCATTTCATAAACGCAGCGTTATACGGCTAAATATTTTTGTGATTGTATGAGTGTCATATTCTTCTTTTTCTTGGGCGTGTAGTTTCTGGATATGTATTTACTTCCTACCGTAGACGTATCGTATTGTGTGCGTTGCATAAAACAGCCATTTTAACGGCACAAAACTTTATTAACACACAAATAAAAATAATAAGTACAAACGATTAACACACAAGTATAACTTCGTAACTGACATACAACACGTTTCCTTCGTTACTTCGCTACTACCTACTAACTACTCTTCTCTAGTAAGTCTCATGAGAGAGAGGCGTTGCAGGCCGTTCGGCTAAACTGCGCATGCGTGGTCATCACGTCATGACACCTCCCCTCGAAAAGATTTGATTGCGTCTTTCAATGACCTGTCAAATCCACATACATAAACATTTCTTGAAACAAAATAAAATAACATTCCATGAAATTTTCGAACTTAATTAACCAATTCTTACCATTTTAAATTAAAATTATTTCAACATAAATTCAGTAATCCTATTCATTTAAAAGGATGTAACATTCAATTAACATTTCAAACTTAAATCCTTCACACAATCATAATCATATAAGCAGTTATTATATAAACGAGACAATACAAATCAATCATTAACATTAAACATAATACTTTAGCAAACCCTAGCTAAATCTTTAAACACATTACCTAACGTTAAAAAAAAATCAAACTAAACAGTCAAAATGTCTTATAGTTCATAACGTTAGTCATGGTTCACTCACTAGAAAATATAATCATGTCATTTTAAGTCACGTCATCAATAAACTCAGCATGGTCTTTTAGTCTACACATAATGTTACCGTTCCATTTTGTTAACGCATAAATTACTGGATGCACATATTCACTTTCTGATTCAACGATTAGCTTTAGCTGTAAAAGCTTATCTATTTGACGATCAGCTTCATTTCTTAGAACTTCAGGTATTCGATACGGTTTCTGCCTTCTTGGCATACTTCCAGGTTTCAGTTTGATGCCGTGTTCTCCCACATTGGCGATTTTCGGAATACCAGTTCTTAGGTTCTTATGCCTTCTTACGATTTCTATGAGTTCTTTCTTCTTATGCGGTTCAAGGTGTGTAAAATCACATTCCTCATTAGAATAGTGTTCTTTTGCTTTCCGTGGAACAATTCTTGGAACGTTTTCAACTTCGCCGAAATCAATATCTGTATCATATATCACACCGACATTATTCACAGCGGTATTGAACTCTCGTATCTTGTTTGCGTGAACGTGCTTCGATGAATTGTCAGGCATTTGTACTATGTAACTATAATCAGTATGCTTTTTGATGATCGTAGCAGGTCCCGTCCATCTGGCATAAACTTTGTTTTGGCTATCAGGGATTAAAACTATAACCCTGTCACCTTCCTTGAATTCTTTATGACGAGTCTTTCGGTTACGGTAGAATGCATAAGCTTGTTGCTTTCCAACATCTGTAAGTCCTGCGTATTCAGCAGCTTTTTCCAATTTCGTCTTCAAATCATTCAGATAATCGGTAACTGAACTTAACTGTCCATGAGGAACAGGAGTTTCATTTCATTAGTCCATGACGATTTCAAAATAGACAACGGGCCATTAGGACGTCTTCCATAAAGCATTTGGAACGGACTAACACCAGTCGTAGCATTAGGAACTTCTCGGTAAGCCCAAAGTAAATACGGTAGATGTTTCTCCCAATCTTTCGAATGTTCTCTAACGGTATGATGTATCATTCCCTTTAAAACAGCATTAAATCTTTCTACCAGGCCATTTGAACTTGGATGATAAGGAGTCGAGAACCTTGGGGACGATCCGATCCTTTTCAAAAACTCTTGGGTCAACGAAGCAGTAAAATTAGTTCCTTGATCTGAAGCAACAATTTGAGGAATTCCTGTGCGTGAAAAGATTTGCAACAATGCATCGCATGTTGCTTTGGCATTCAAATTCTTCAATGGCACCGCTTCGGGCCACCTTGTACATTGATCAACAGCACACAGAACATATTTGTAACCTCTACAGCTTGGCTCTACAGGTCCTAGGATATCCACATTAATTACCTGGAATGGTTCTTTAGGACGTGTTACTGGCGTAATCGGAACTTCATCAAAGGGACGCTTTTTTCGCTTGAAGTTGACAAGAAGTCCAAGCACTGCAGTATTCATTTACATCTTTCTGATTTCCGGCCAATAGAACGAATATCTCAAACGTTCGGCTGTCTTCTTGGTTCGCAGGTGACTTCCCCACAAGCTAGAATGAGCTAAGTCCAAAATTTGTTTTCTTCTTTCTTTTGGGAACGACTAACTGGTAAACTCTTTCTCCTAGAACTTTATCTTTATGATACAAAAAGTTGTCAATAACAATAAAGTTATTACTTCCGTTCTTAACATTTTGCCAGCATGTTTTTAAAGATGGGTCATTCATTTGTTGCACTCGAAACAGTTCTGAATCCGAAACACATTGATCGTGTCCCGTGCTACCTTTGGAACCATCCTTACCTGTATCTTCGTATACAAGACCACAACATTCTATTATCTTCCTAACAGTTTCATTACACTTTTCATTAATTAGGTTTTCCCTATCATGGTTAAGTATTTGTATTTCGTCAAAATTTTCAGTTTTATGAAAAGGCATTTCACCGAAACTATCAGTAGCAATGTTTACATTTTTACATTCAAAATTAAACTTTCTTTTATCATCTCCCCTTAACTCATTAAAAGCACTTAACGACAAGAGTAAATCATTACATAACTTATCCACCATTGCACATGTTATAAAAATAGGTGACATAAATTTATCATTTTCAGAATATATTACTAAAGGTAGGTTAATGAGAGGAGCTTTTAAAGCTTGCCCGAAAGCTGACGTGAGGATAACACTTCCATGTGGCGTACGGTATTTTTCTGGTACAATGTCGGTCTTGACAACGGTTAATTGCGTGCCTGTATCTCTGCTACTGCATTAATTAATTTACCATCACATATAAGTTTAACGGTTGGCAAGTCATCTATTAATTCTTTAACCTCTTGATTCGCAGTAAAACATTTAGAAGAAATCTTTGCAGTTACGGCGTTAGAATTATTCTTAATTTCTTCTTTAGCAACCCTTTCCTTATCTTCATGCAACAATATATTATGATACTTAGAATTACATTTTGAACATTTTAATTGAGAAGGGCAAATTTTTATTCTACAATTCCTTTCGAAACAAAGAAAGCACCGATTAGAAGCCCTTAAACTCTTTTTCCTTTCTTCCGGAGACATAACGCATTTTTCCGAAGCATGATTTTCGCTTTCGCAAAATAAGCAAGGGAAAGTTCGAACAACTGCAATTTTGCTTACATTAGGGGAATAGCTGGCGCCAAATTTGTTGGCGTTGAATGAATTCCGAGTGTGGAAGTTGTTTCGCTTTTCATTTGGTTGTGAATGCCTTCCAAGAGAATTAGCGTGACTCTTAGAATAAAATAAATTTAATGAAGTTCGTTCGCGACTTTCAATTTCCCGTTTTAGAAATTTCATGAGGTTGTCGACATTAAAAGTTTCCTCATCTGCGTTTTGACGAGCAAAATCAAGCGTTATATCCTGAGGTATGCATTTCATTAACAAAGGGTATAGTAACTTTCCATACGATTCGGTCTTGACCCCTATCGAATTTAGTGACCTTACTTGTACGTTGCAGGTATCATATAATTCCCTCAAAGAATTAATGTCATTAGAACTTCGGACAGGCCGTAAATTTAAAAGTTTATGCATGTAAGAATTAATAAGGAGATCTTTTCGACCATACCTCTCTTTGAGAATTTTAAAAGCTTCGTCGTAGTTTTCTGGAGATAAAGAAAAGCCTTCTATTGTTTTTAAAGCTGCACCGCCTAACAGGCTAAGCAAGTAATTAAACTTATCTACTTTAGATAGTTTTTCGTTTTGATTTATTGCCGTGTCAAAAGAATTGTAAAATGTCTGCCACATTTCAGCATTTCCATAAAATTTATCAATCATAATCTCTTCGGCAATTTAACATTATAATCAGAACTTTTATCGACACCAGAAATAGATAAATTGTTACTATCATTAGAAGAACCATTAGAAACTAGCGAACTATTGCTATTTCTTTTTTCTTTCAATAATTTTGTGCCTCTAAAGCTCCATTTCGCAATTTTTTCTTCGTATTCCAAGGCACTTTCGATTTCGGTTTCAATGTCATTAACATCAGTCAAAGTTTTAATTTTTTTTCGTCTAACGCTTTCAAAGAAATAGCTTTTACTTTTAAACTTTCCAGTGATTCTTCAAGGTCTTCAAGGTTACCGGCTGCAATTAATGATTCAATAGCATTTGTTACTTTAGTAATGGCTGAACGCATAACTTTCCGTTCTTTCTTAGATTTCGTTAGCTCTTCAGCCATTTTTGTAACCTTGAATTCCACTTTACCACAAAATAAATTGAACAAATTTCTTACCTTTCTGAAGACTCACTTACGCATTTATCCGTGAACTTTGCAGAATGACATATCCTCCTGTTCTGACACCACTGTCATATCCTTCTTTTTTCTTGGGCGTGTAGCTTCTGGATATGTACTTACTTCCTACCGTAGACGTATCGTATTGTGTGCGTTGCATAAAACAGCCATTTTAACGGCACAAAACTTTATTAACACACAAATAAAAATAATAAGTACAAACGATGAACACACAAGTATAACTTTCGTAAGCTGACATACAACACGTTTCCTTCGTTACTTCGCTACTCCTTACTAACTACTCTTCTCTAGTAAGTCTCATGAGAGAGAGGCGTTGCAGGCCGTTCGGCTAAACTGCGCATGCGTGTCATCACGTCATGACAGAACGTATATATACGTGCCTATTAAAATATGTCAAAGAAATTATAGAAATATATTATATTAAAAGTACACAAATCCAAATATAAAATACCAGAAGAATTTTTACATGAAAATCCAGAAAATAACTTTTTCTTATACCAGTTTCGAGAAATTTGTGCTTTCTTAGAGAAAACCCCGGACGGTCAGAGGGTTAAAGTAACTTTTATTAGAAGAAAGGGGGCTTATTTGTAAACTTGTCACTTCTGTCATCTACCCATTTCAAACGAAATCTTTTTTAACAAAATCTGATTTGGGCAACACATGACTTGTACGGCCTATAAAATTATACGTAATTTTTGCTGAAAACTGTCATTAAATATTATTGGATGTGTATCGCTAGACTAACTGCATATATAAACTGTTATTATGTATGTAATCACATTTCGTTTCTTTTTGAAAATTAATTTTTTTAAACCACTCCTGTAATTGGATACGATCACGATTACGATCAACGATTATGATTATATGATTACGATGAACGATTGCGAAAATAAAGGTCGGATAAGTACTTTTAAGCCAATCAAGGGAGTGGGTACGTTTGATATAGCTGATTGTAATAAAAAAGACCGGCCACAACAAGATATTATAGCAGTCCCATATACAAAATTGTAACGTTCTACGGCTAATCATTTTTGACTTTTGACGAGATATACATATGCATACATGTGCATACATACACATGTGCACATGTCAACAGCTCCGTACTAAACGATTCAGCATCAAGTCTGGCCGGGTACATTTGGTATACTAAATTCAGAAACAGCTTCTAGTAACGCCTATCTCACGAAGAAGCACTTTAAAATAAGTTCCCGCTCATACAGGGACTCAAGGCAGTGAAGACGCTGTCCTAATGCCCAAGCAGGGAGCCAACTGCACGGATATATTAGAACGACCAACTAAACTTCCTTGGTCTCCCATTAATCGAACAACTTTGACAAGTCTGCTACAAAATTGGTAAAGTAGATGGACAGAGGCAAGAGGTAGGACGAATGACATATCGCTTACTGCCAAAAGTTAACATGGAAATAAAAACCCACTACACTAGCCTAACACAGTTCTTGACAGGTCATGGACCATTTCCAATATACCTCAACAGATTCAAACTTAGGGATACTCCTTTCTGCGAATGCGGAGAGGAAAGAGACACGTACCATTATTATTTTCATTGTGTATATACAAGAATCTGGCACTTGAAGAAACCAGCGGACTGTGCCTGGGTAATGTGGTCGTCTAACACACTCAAAAATAGAGTAGCCGTTGGTAAAATAGAGGAAATCTCAAGACACTGCTTCAGCAGAAATAACTGAACGGCTTAAGAGTACTGAGCGGGAATAACAGTATGTTTCAAATGTTCAGAATTTAAAGCAAATAACCAGAATAACGCTTGGTGCCTGCAGTTATCAAACTATAGAAATTGTTATTAGTATGTAATATTCAACTTTCTTACTTTGGAGGTTTTCCCCGTGATGGTATATAATATCGTTTGGTTCATGGTTGTGGTCGGAAGCCATCATAGCGTTTCACTCACGCACATACATACGTACATATGGACAGAAATCATGAAAAAGTCGCATTTGAATCCATTTTAAATCTATTTTAGAATCCGTTTTGGAAGAAAGAGTCCATTATCCAGTTCATACCTACAAAGGTCACTCAAATCGTCTAAATGGATTCGGGAAACGTCAAAATGTGTATTTCCTTTGAAATGTGATACCACATATTTTTCGCGATTACAATGCTTCCTTTACTTCGTACAAGGAAATAAAATGCTTTATAAAATCACACGAGGGAATGTTAAAAGTAGTGAAGTTGTAGAAAAATATCTCTTATTTTATTGTGACGGGGGTTTTGAAGCTTTGCTATGGCTTTGGAGGCTATTAATGTTTTCAAAACATCGTCATTAATTTAAGAAATCTATCACTCAACTGGCGATAGCTTAATTTTGATTTTTATGATTTTGGATGGATTAAAAAAAAGTTAAATAATGGCTATGACTTTCATTAAGCTAATCGTTAAATCATGGCTTTCAAAATGGGATATCGGTAATTTTGAGGGTAAACTGTATTTATAATTGCCGTATAGTATTAAATAGAAACAGTCCGCAATGTAGGTAAAAGAAACACCAAATATTTATTCTGAAAATTCCCGTTAACTTTACGTTTTTCTATATCGTGTAAGAAAGAAATCAGCCTTACATTCAAATTAAATTATTCTAAAAACTAATTTATTCAAAATATTTTGCTCACTTTAAAAGGTGAAAGAGGATCTACAAAATTTTCATACTGTTCAGCGAAACACCGTGCTTTCGACAAGAACTTATCCAGCGTTTTGTGAGTCCACCAGTTCCTGTAATTTCCCCTGTGATCAAAATATCGACCTGAAAATTGAAAATTAGAAGGCATTATTATTTTATAAGAAATCTGTCAACGGATAGTAAAACTAAAAACTAAATTGAGATAGACAGCTCTCAAATTTAAAATATACTTAGGAAAGTATTTAAATTCTTACAGAATGATACGACAGGTTTTATTAAAAAAGAGTTGCAATACATCTGATTTTTTTTAAAGTGTGACTTTCATATTTATTTAGAAACTGATATCAAGTGATCAAACAATTTCAAGTTAGTATATGCGTTTTATTGATTTGTATACTTATGTGCGTTTGGAATTTTTAAACAAATTTATTTGAAGTTTCTCCCGTTCTAATTGTATGATTAAATTTTATATTGATATAAAATATATAAATCTAAGAATATAGAACATTATTAGAGGTACTAAATTTCATGCTTTAATTTTGTAACTTGGAATCCCACATAGCTGAAGCTCCTTGTTCTTTCTACGAGGGCAATCCCAAAAAAAAGGTCTCCTAATTTTTGGGGACGTAGAGAAAGTTTTAATACGGTTGTTGGCAACACTGTTGTGAGTGGTGCTTTCTCCACTACCACATAAGCACGCAGGCGCTTCAGTCTCCTCAGTCTTGGCTTGGCAGCCATTCGAAATGGAGCTCCCGATAAACGTTACCGCCAAGTGCGAAGTGCGCGCAGTTATTCGATTTTTGAACGCAAAACGCGTTAAACCGGTTGAAATTCACCGCCTATTGACGGAAATGTGTGGACAGTCGTCATGGTGTCAAAAACGTCGCAAGTTGTGTATAGAGTTTACAGCCGGTCGTACTGAAATTCAATTGCCGACGAGACAATCGCGAAAGTTGAGGAACTCATGCGTAAAGGTCGGAGGATCACTCTGGATGCTCTCTGCATTTTGGTTGCTGAGGTTTCCAGAAGCACCATCCACAGGATTTTAACGGAAAAGTTGCAATATCGGAAGGTGTGTGCAAGATGGGTGCCGCGTATGTTGACAGAAGACCACAAACGGCATTTGTCTGGACGGCGGTTCTGCTCCGATGATGAGGTGAAAGATGAGGTTCAACGCTTCCTGAAGGGCATGGCGGCAAGCTGGTATGACATGGGCATTGTAAAACTGCCACAGCGTCTACAAAAATGCATCGACTGAAATGGCGATTATGTTGAAAAATAAAGCATTCTTCAATCTTTAAAGTGATGTAGCAATTATAGAAAATAAACGGTTCTTTGTATATCTAAAAATATAGGAGACCTTTTTTGGGGATTGCCCTCGTATTAACAGTTGTCTGAAATTTTACTTTTTTCGTGCGTACTCTCCTAAAACATAGAATTACAAAAACTTTCTTACGCTTTATATTATACGCTCGAAAGAGATATACTTTTGTATATACTATATTGCAATGTTATTCCATAATTTAAATAAGAGGAGTTTAGGAGCTCAACTACATATACTATACTGTTTTGTAATAAGTTGGTAGTATTCTGTACAAGTTCATATTGCATTCTGTACAAGATGTGTACACTAAGAAGTTTGTCTTACAAAGCTTTCCCATGGTGTAGAAACAGTTCTGTGTGGGATATAAACCGGCAGATTGGACTTTTTGATTTATTAATTCATTGTCTTTGGTATAAAAAAATTATCAACAAACGTTTGGGTATTGTATTGCATAAAAGAGTCATATCTACATGCGCCTTTTAAAAATCTTACTCAAAGCCATACGATACCATCTCGATATCTCCGAGCAGACGTAGATCCTTTTGAACCATGCGCTGGAAATGCGTTCGTTGTTCATTATTCTTCTTTCTTTAATGGCCGTTATTCCCTAATGTTGCAGGAATAATTCATGGTTCTGCTTCTCTCTGGATATAAATGCGCTTAGAAACAATTGCTAAATGAACCTCGGCTCGTCTCTGAAGTGGGCACAGATCCGAAGAGAGGCAACAATTAACAACCTGGTCCGGCTTGGAGAAAATAACCCCACCCTTGCCCATATGCAATGTAAAAAAGAAAAAAAAAAAAAGACTGGCTTTCTCTCTGCTATCTTGCCGCAAACGGTTTAAACGGTACGGTAGACTGAGGCATCCCTTATCATACAAACATCAAAACATTTACTCATAGCCTTAAAATGATACCGGCAGGGGATGCAAATATTGCATTTCAGTAAGGCGGTACATTTAAGAATTCTTTATACAGAGGGCTTCATTCAAATATGCCTGTTTTTCAGGCAAAGGAAAGATACGAGTTGCAGTTCGACGGGTCGCACTATCTCGTGTCACCAGCTTTACTGACTCAACCTCCAGTCCAGCAACCATAAAAGGCAGCGAATACAACTAGATTGGTTAGAACCGGTGTCTCCATGATTGGCGAAATTGAACGTTTTTATGTCTCGAAAGTCCAGCTTAGTATACACGGGGTGATTCTAAATTGTTTTTACAAATTAAGAGGGGTGATAGTACTCATCCATATGAGCAATAATTCACATTCCACTCTAAGAGGCACGAAAGAGGAACCTGAACTTACAACAGTGTTGGGAATGAACGAGACCAAAAGTTGCACAATCAGTTTCGTGAAAAACTCACAGAGAGTGCACAAAACGATGCCAAACACTCATGCACATCTTCGGTTGGCAAGGTCTCAACCTCGCAAACGATTGCAACAAGTTAATGTTCTAATCAAGGGCTGAATATTATCAACTGACTCCAACTTCCGCTGTATGTCGAGATTAGCATGAAAAGTTCATGCTGTGTTCCGGCTGTTAGAATTTCGTGTCTCATAGAAGGGCGCTTCAAGTAGAATGAGCGCAGCACAGCAAGTCCAGGAGGACAGGATAGAAAATGGCGAAGGGGGAAAACACTGCTACCTCGATATTTACCTTGAATATTTAATATCAAAGTAAATATCAAGGTTTTTTCCTCTTAATAAATACTTTCCCTCTAATAATTTAGATAATTTTTATAGTACTAATAATTTAGATAATGCCTATGTTTATGATCATCCCTAATTTGTAAAAAACAATTTAGAATCACCCTGTATATTACATTTATATGTATGAAATATTTTCTTAACGTCAAAAATATCAGAGGCCACCCGATTTTAAACTTTTATCAAAAGAAGAAACATTTTAAACAAATTTCTTAAAAATTATAATGTAATTCTGTAAGCAAATTTAAACGCATACACAAGCAATTAACTGTTGAATATATCATTACAAATCATACCTGACGTATCGAAAGCGTGACTTATTTCATGTCCAATTACCGTGCCAATGCCACCGTAATTAATCGAACTAAGGAAAGAAATGAACAAATTCATATTACAAATATATTTATTTATACATTTCTGCATGAATTTTATCACACAGGCGTTAAGAAAGAAATCATAAACTTGTTGCGAGACAGCATTAAATAAATGTTTAAACAACACGTTTAAACAACAAATTCATTATTTTTTTTAATGGCTCTCCCTTCCGCCTGAAGTGTAAATCTTTCATAATTTATGCTGGGAACAAAAATTACTAAAAAAGTATCCATTACCGACAGGAAAGATTGGATCAGTTTAAGAAGTTTTTATTCAATTAATATGTTAAAGAAACTGGATCTGAATTCCAGATAAGGCTTTAGATATGCAATTAGCGAAAACCGTATTGCAGCACCATCCGTTTCCGAGAGGTTTTGGAAGAAAAATTAAATATTCAATTTAATCGAAATACTTTTCCAGTACAATCCAATATTATGCAAAATCGAAAAATCTTAAAAATTAATTTAAAATAATTTTTAAATTATACACTTTTTGCGACCAAAGGGAAAGTAATGGTAAAAAAGGGCTGGGGCCCATAAAGCGAATAAATATATTAAACAAAAACTATAAAAAATGCTTTAAAAAAGTCCGAAAGGTCCTAAATTTTAGCAATCGACCAAAAAGGTTTGTTAAGGTTTTCCTACGCTGCTCAGTTCACAGTCTATCCAGTTTGATGTTGCACTCACTCCTGCTAACTCACTTCTTTTTGTGTTTTAGAATGTTATTAGGCATACATTTCTTCGCACTTACGCCATATACAGTTCAAAGGCAAATTTGCAAAAATTGTAAAAGCAGCATGTATTTCGATTTCCCGATGAAGCGTTAAGCAAGCATTTTACTTTTTTTTTTTTTCAGTCTTTTCTCAGTTCATATCAATGTACAATTTTCTTAGTAAGATGACTTGCAAAACCCCTTTTTTTAACCCAAAGGGGGGCGTTAATCTAGAACGGCTATTAGTTTTGAAACTGCATTTTGCATTGTTTCACTATAAACGTCCATTTCAATTTTCAAATTGTTGCCACCAAATACGTATTATCGCCCTGTATTATATTTAAAGAAATTAAATAATGAAGAATATGCATGAATGTATGTATGTTTCTCGCACTGTGCTAAAAACAACGTTATACCTAGAGACATTAAATTTTAAATAACGTACTTGTCCGCTGGGACATGTGCACCTGGAAGCCCGAATTTTGAATTTTGAATTTGTTTTATTGCCTTCTTCATATTTTGTAAAACTTTAACGGACTTTTCAATAACAAACTCAATGATTTCAGAGCGAACGATGGCAAAACGGTACGGAATAAAATATTTTTTAATTCCAGCGCGTGAGACTGTCTACCAGAAATTCTGGAGATATGCTGTTTTTAAATATTTTCTGAATTTGCCGTTGAATTAAATTTTAAGTTTCGTAAGTACAAAGAACCTGATATTTAATAAATGCAATTCACACACGAAACTTTAATGATAAAAAAGACAAAAAGTTTTGTAAGCCATCTTATTAAGGAAACTGAACATTTATATAATGAACTGAGAAAAGATTGAAAAAAGAAAAAAGCGTATGTCAACACGAGCGTAAAAAACCTTAGCAAGCTGTTTTGAACGATCGTTGAAATCTAAAACCTTTCAGATTTTATTTTGATTTTAATTTCATTTATTTATGATTTCTTTTTCTTATTGGCTTGCTTTTTATAGTAACTTAATTACTTCACTACCTATTATCTAACGAAAATTACTCAAACTTCTTTCACAAAGATGAGTATGCATCCCCGGCGGTAACTGATAAATTATTCATTTATGTAAAAGTTCTCAATCGCTGTTCCGATGTAATTACACAAAAGTAAAGAACGCTCGTTACCACGGAAACTTACTTTGCACAAATGTCGTTTATATCAACTACTTTACTCAAAATAACAAGTAAAAAGCAATGGGAGCCATGGTAATACATATTTTTTGTTTCTTTGAAAGTTATTCGGGCATGCGGTAATGACAAACAATTCCTTTCTGTACCAAGCGACATTGGTAAGTGCATTCAACTTTGTGAAAATGTAACCAATTAAGACAAAAAGAAAATAAATTTTCGCTTCAGCTTTAACGTATTTCTAATACTCTTTTATTTTCAGTGCTTATATTGTATATATGTTTGCACTACTATAATTTGTAGCAAACTTTTACTAGAAGTTGGGGAAAATTTCGCAAACTTTTTAGCACATCTTTAGGAGACGCTTTCATTAAAAATAGAATTTGTAGAAAAATTTTAGCAAAATTTTGCTAGTGAAGTTTGATGCTCAATTTGTATGCGAATTCAAAAAATATTACGAATAATTCAAACACATACAAAAAAGATACTATAAGCAAAATGTTTGAAAAAATTTATTAATCCAGTGCGGCGTTGGCCCAGCTGGGCTGTTAGTCTCATAACGGCATTTGCGTCCGATCACTTAAATGCGATGTATCATTCTTCAGACTGTTGCCACCAAATACTTTCGCCCTTTATTATATTTAAAGAAACTAAATAATGAAGATTCTGCACGAGCGTATGTTTGTTTCTATCATTGTGAATAAACAACAGTACCTAGAGCCATCAAATTTTGAATAATAGAGTTTTCCACCCCCACATCAGCACCTGGAAGCCCGAATTTGGAATTTGTCCTTTGTTTTATTGTCTATTTCATATTTTGTAAAACTTTAACGAATTTTTGATTATAAAAAATTCGAGCGTTTCAAAGCGAGTAGTGGCAACGCTCTGGGAATAAAACATTTTTATCTCCGGCGCGCAAGACTGTCTATCGCAAATTCTAAAGGTATGCTGTTTTTAAATATTTTTAGCCCAAAGGGGTATTAGTCCAAATGCTCTGGAAACGTGTGTGTATCTGTATATTAAAAAATCTGATGTGTACACCACATGACTTCCTTGTACGGAATATTAAATTATACACATTTTTTCTTGCATTTCATTTAAACGTATTGGATTGAATTAAATGTACTTCGTCGATAGCGCATAAATCACAACAGAATACATGTACTCTTTAAAATTCGATATATTTGTTTACCATAGCGACACTCTGACGCTAGATTCACTTAACAATGTACATTTCATTCATATCATAACTCAGAATGCACAAAATCTATATCATTTGAAAAATTATCTAACCGTTGCCACATGTTCCATTCAAATATTATAATAAATCTAGAACGATGTATAAAAGAAATTAAGCAAGCAAAGGGAAAAATAGTTTTTCACAGACGATTCAGTATCTCTCATTCAATTAATTCAGTTCTCCCTTCGTGACAAAGCAAAAATACATAAAAACACGAAATATCTATATTAAAAATTACGAATTAATCTTGAACACATATTTCCTTGAAAAAATTCCAGAAAGGATTAAGCATGATTTAATTCGGATGTCTCTCTAAATTGGCAACAAATCTACTATTCTGCTGTTTGAAATGTAACCAAACATGTCCGCCATGTTATTTAAATATTAGTCTTAACCGCACTTAAACATCTTTTAAATTGTTGATAATTCTACAACTATTGCTTGCAGATTTCCTAAAGCATAAAAACCAAGACAAGAACAGCATAATTCAATCATTTCGAAAGCAAAAAATGCACAATTTACTAACATATAAGAGTAAAGAAACTGGATCACTGAGCCGAGTAACAGAGTAGATATATATATATATATCCACTCTGTTATATAGTTATATAGTTATATATATCCTGTTATATAGTTACTCTGTTATATAGTTATATATATCCACTCTGTTATATAGTTAGTGGATATATATATATCCACTCTGTTACCACTCTGTTATCCACTCAGTATTTTTTATATATATATATATATATATATATATACCAAACGTATATAATACGTTTGGTGCGACTGATTGCAACCAAAATACGAGGGGTGCTCATCTGCATGTTACAGAAGTCCTATATACAAAATTTCAACATTCTGACGCTACTCGTTTTTAAGTTATGCGAGATACATACGTACGTACGTACGTACAGACACTACGAAAAATTCTCTTCAGAATTCATTTTAAAGCAATTTTATATATATATTTTTTTTTTGGAGGAAAAGAGCCTTTTATTCAGTCCTTACGTACAGATGTCACGGAAAAACATCGTTAAATTGCATTCGGTATCGGTCAAAATGGATATTTTCGTTGAAATATGCTGCCTGAAACTTTTCACGATTACAATACTTCCTTTTTACTTCGTGTAAGGAAGTAAAAACGCACGTATGGGCGTAATATAAAAGCTTTCAGATTTTATTTATTTAATCTAAAAGCGTATAGCTTTCAGATTTTATTTATTTTCATTTATTTCTAGTATACATTAATCAGACATCTCAACATTTATATCCGGCTTGGAACATTCGAGTCAGTTGTTTCTAATTTGAAAGAAGTAAATCTTAGTGAATGACATCAATCTCGATTTCCCATTAACATTGTTAACGTAGCCTTTAGATAATACCATCTTCAGTTCGTTCCATAGCATTGCTGAGCAAAATTGATTAACTTCTTATTTAAAACCAGTAAAACGTGCTGTTGTTTTCTGTCCGTATATCTTTCAGTGCGTAGCTAAAATAAATAATCATATTTTTGTCCTAAAAGCAAGACGCAGCTGACGAAACGGGGACGATTCTTGAGATTCCTGGAGAATGGTTACCGACTCTGAGAACCGAAGTTGCAGCTGGAAAATTGAGAAAGAGAATCCATTTAATACCAAACGTGCCCTTCAATTCTGCAATTTCTCACACCTACTTTTCGAATGAAATCTGAAACTGAGCTTGCAATCATTTTCAACTCCTCTGATAGGTTGAAGTACATGATTACTTGGAAAACATATATGGAACATATATAACATGTCCAGCTAGAAGCCAGAATTTTGAATTTAGAATTTTATATTTCGCATTTTGTTAAGGTTTAATGAATTTTAACAAATTCAACGATTTGAAAGTGAACAGTGGCACTACTGGTACGGATTAAAAATTGTTATCTCCAGCGGGCGAAACTGCGTATAGGAAATTATAAAGATATGCTGTTTTTAAATATTTCGCGATTTTGCTATTCATTTGAATTTTATGTTTCGTAAGTGAGCAGAACATCATAACTAATATTTAACTCACAGAACGTAAATAATAAAAAGACAAAAAATGTTCTGCAAGCCACATTACTAAGAAAACTGTACATCGATATGATAAACTGAGAAAATACTGGAAAAAAAAAAAAAAAAAAAAAAAAAAGAGAGAAAAGTATGCCAACGACTTCTTTCCTAATTCCAAACGCATGCTGCTTTTAAGACTTTCGTAATTTTGCTGTTGAACTGTATATGGCGTAAGTGCGAAGAAAATAATGCTTGATAATAAAGCTAAAAGGAAACGGGTTAGCAGGAGTGAGTGTAATAGCAGACTGGTAGACTGAGATCTCAGCAAGAATGTAGAAAAAGTTTAATAAACCCTTCTGAGCGACCGTTAAAATCTGAAACCTTTCAGATTTATCTTGTTAAATTTTAGTCCAAAGGGGCAATTTGCCGAGAAACTATTAATTTAGTTTTGCCACTTTGTTTCTATTCAGGATAAGCGTTGTTTCACTTTTCAAAGTGTTGCCATCCAATATTATCGCCCTGTATTATATTTAAAGAAATCAAATAGTGAAGAATCTGTATAAATGTATCTATGTTTCTCGCACTGTGATAAAACAACGGTACCTAGAGACATCTAATTTTGAATAACATAATCTTCCACCCGATATGAGTATCTGGAAGCCCTAATTTGGAATTTGAAATTTGTTTTATTATCTATTTCATATTTTGTAAACCTTTAACGACTTTTTGATTAGCAAACTCAACGATTTCAAATCGAGCAATGCCAATACTGTACGGGGAAAAAAAAAAAAATCTGAAAGCTTTCAGTTTTTAGTCCAAAGGGATTTGAGTCCCAAAGGACTATTACTTTCATTTTGGCGTTTTGCTTCGGGTTCCTATGAATGTCAGTTCACTTTTCAAACTGTTGCCACAAAATGTTAGAGTCCTGTATTACATTTGAAAAAATTAAATAATGAAAAAAAAAAAAAAAAAAAAAAAAAAAAAAAAAAAAAATCTGAAATGTTTCAGATTTTAAATTACGTCCAAAGGGGCGTTTTTTAACATTTTGTGTGTTACCTTTCTTTATTAAATATCATGTTCCTCGCACTTAAACCATAAGATCCAGTGCAACAGCAATATCGCAAAATAGTTTTAAAACGAGCATATCTTTAGAATTTCCGATACAGAGACTCACGCGCTGGAGATAAAAATGTTTTTTTCTGCACAACGTTGCCATTGCTCGCTTTGATATCCTTGAGTTTGTTAATCAAAATTCGTCAAAGTTTTAAAAAATAGGAATTCGATCATAAAACAAATTTCAAATTTCAAATTTGGTCTTCCACATGCTCATATTCGTTGGAGGATTACGTTATTCAAAATTCGATGACTCTATGTACCGTTATTTTATGACAATGTGAGAAATATACATACATTTACGCAGATTCTCATTATTTAATTTCTTCAAATATAATGCAGGACTCTAACATTTTATGGCAACAGTTTGAAAAGTGAACCGACATTTATCCGTCCGACGCAAAATGCCAAAACGAAACTAATAGTCCTTCGGGATTCAAATCCCTTTAGACTAAAAAAACGTTTTTATCTTTAGCGCGGGAGACTGTATATCGGAAATTCTAAAGATTCATTTTAAAAATTATTTTGCGATATTGCTGTTGAATTGAATTTTATAGTTTAAGTGCGAAGAACTTGATATTTAATAAATAAAAATGACACATAAAACGTTAAAAAAGCGGACCTCTGGGCGTAAATCTTTCAGATTTTATTAGGATTTTTTAAATTTATTTTTCACTTCTTTTATCCTCTTTTTAAACCCGAAATGGTTATCAGTCTCAAAACGAGAATTTTGTGCTGCTTCACTTTTCATTAGAGTCTGTTGCCATTCGGAGAAATATAAGATATTATTATTTCATATTGAGTCTGTTCTTAATTGAAATATTAAATTATTTAAAAGCAATAGATGCAGTTCCTAAAAATAATTTTTACTTTTTAATTTGATTGAAGTAAACATGCATCAATTTTATCATAAGATATCTACTTAAAAGCATTAAATGGTTTTATAGAATTACGTTACATATGCTTTCACTTTTTAAATATACAGAAGATATATAATGTTCGCATGTTAGTCTAAATGTATAGTCATGCAATATCCTATAAAATGTTTCGGTATTCCACCTGGGACATCTCAATCGGTAATCTATAATGACAAACCACATTAAACTTTAAAACAATCCTGTTGGATGACCGTTAAAATGTGAAACCTTTCAGATTTTTATTATTTTTCCTATTTTGTTTGGATTTTGTTTACTTATTTTTGTTTTATTTATTTTTTATTATCTTCCCCCTATTTTTTAAATGATTGAGCTGCTACAGTACATAGCTAGGATTTTTTTTACTTATTATTTTTATTTATTTCCCCCCTTTTTTTAATGGTTGAGCTGCTATAGCACATAGCTAGGATTTTTTACTTATTATTTATTTAATTTTTTATTATACTCCTCTTATTTTTTAATGGTTGAGCTGCTACAGTACTCATTCTCAATAATTATACCACCCAGTTACCAGAATTATTTTTCAACAAGTTTTTTGCAATAATTATAAATCTAATTTAAATTAAAAGACCAAATAATTAATAAATTATTTTAGTCAAAAGTTTTAATCATATAAAAGAACTATGTTTTAATACATTGTTCTTTGAAACCAGTATCATATCCTCATCTTTAGAAAACAGCATTATTTACGATATTTTCTAACGATGCTATAGTATTCTCCACTGTGTAATTCTAAGTTACTGTTGGAAGTGAAGAATCTTAAGAACTGATAAGCGAATAAACGCTTGAGTTCGTGTGACAGGAAACAACATGATAGAAGGGATAGATAACCCTTTATTATTCCAATTAAAGTTTAACAAAACTCCGTCTTGGAGTTGTACAATAAAGCCGACACTTGAGCTTGAACTTAAGAAACTAAGAATTAAACTAAACTAAAGAGATATAGCCGAAGCTATCAAAATTCTAACAGAGTTGTCCCCTTAACGCTAATTGACTGCGAAGCTATCAAAGGCCTAAAGTACGGCTCGGCGTAATAATAGCTTACGAGAGAGTAGCCTAAAAAGAGGCGGACCCGTGCAGCCAGAATATCTGGTATCTCTCTCTCTCACTAAGACTGTAGAACTTCGCGTTTATATACCGCTCTTCCTCATTACCATTCAGACATGATTCTAAAACTACGTTCTGGCCGGAAGTGGTAAGTTGAAGTTAGAATCGATAGGAAAGGAAGTTTAACTAAAAATTTAACTGTTAATAAAATTAAAATTAACTGTTAATTAAATAAATTAACATAATCCTTACAATTCATATAACAAAATTGTAAACTAAAAACAAAATACCGTTTATTCGTTACTTACTCAATCCTGTTATATTTATAAAATGGGTAACCAAATATACCAGCTGGTAAAGCTGAAAATACAAGTATATAATAATCAAAAGCATATACTTAACAGATCTGTTTAAAAATATACATGAATTCACATTGTACGCATTTTTAACATGAATAGGATAGAATTTAATGTGGTGTAAGTTTTTATCAGTTCAAGTGATAGAGCTTTTCAGGATTTAGTTTGAAGTGAGGCAAAGATAGTTTCAGGTAATATAGTTTCTAAAGATAAAGTGAAAAGAAGTTTGTAGGACTTTCAAACAATATAGACTGTATGGTTAAATTTCAAGTGATAAAAAATTTTAAGATTTGCTTTCAAATGATACAGCTAGACATAGTAAAATAAGAGCTAAAAAATAGATATTACCGGAAGGTAGAATTTATGACAACTATCATTCATCTGCAAATTTCTTTGTTATTAAAAATTTCCATTCCTCGGAAAAGGTTCACACCAAATCCTACATTCATTAATCATATGATATATAGCTTTAGTTGGCCCAATCAGCGGCCGAACGGTAAAGTCCATGTACACTGGTAGTTCGGTCTGAAGTTCGAATCACGCGAACCGGGCTGGCTGCATGGGCGTTTTCGTGGATTTTGCTATGTGTAACGTATTATTACGAGTCAGTTTCCCTTAGAAAGTCCTCCACGAAGGCATATCTCCCTTCCGTGTATGATTGAATGCTTTTCACAAGTGCTACGCTGTGATTTCGCGACTCCCTCACCTGAGTCAAGAAAGTAGCCTAGTCAGAACTAACGCCACCCCAGGCGGTCCCTGAGTTCGCCGCCCGAGGCTGTCCTGAATTTGCCACCCCTTTTGATATAGAAACAAGAAACTAAAAAAATGTCAAAATGGCATGTATGGAAATAGATTAGTGCTTATTTCTGAAGAAAAACTTTAATTCGAACATTTCAAAATTATGTTATTATTTAGCTTGTTTTCTTTGTTCGCTAAACCATCAATAACATTCTACAGATCTGTTTGATTGTCTTACTGATAGACAGTAAAGAAAGATTTCTTAAAAGCAAAATATACATTTTTAGTTTTTAAATACTTCTTAAATGTTTTTTTTTAGAAAATTCTTCTCACACCTAGCAATACTTACAATAATCAAGAGGAAAGTTAATACTAATATTACACTATTTGGAACTTTGTTCAAAAGATTGTGTTTTAGAATGCATTGCAATAATCCTTAAGGACGGCTTTTCGACAATCTTATTTCAATTTCCCTAGCAATAACGGAAATAAAACTCTAAAATACTTCTTCTCTAAAGAGGAATTCTTCTTTATGAATAATGCCAAAACTGTAAGGAAAAAAAAAAAAAAAAAAAAAAAAAAAAAAAAAAAAAAAAAAAAAACACGTTTTTATCTTTAGCGTGGGAGACTGTATAGAACACAATTTAGTTGATATTCCTAATTTCTATTCAGAAGATACGCCGGAACAAAAATAACAAAATGGTCTAACAAAAATATGTAACTGTTGAAATCACGTGGTGATTTCTTTGAATACTTTACACGAAATAAAAGTTCTTTTTCTCCTCAATATAATTTCGTATGGCAACTTAGAATCTAATTATTCTTCATCTGCCCTCATGATCCACTTGATTAATATCTATAAAAACAATGTTTCAAGCAAAAATGATGCCCTTAAAAATATGTCACTCGGATCGAACCCCCTCTGGCAAACGCCAGTGAGTAAAGAAGACATTTAAAACAAATGTGATATGTTTATTACACAGCTTACGAATTAATTGGAAGAAAAGAAGCATAACTTAAAAAATGACAAACCTATAAACAAAAAGCATTTTTCAAACATAGAATATGCTCAAAAACATGTGCTTCGTTAAAAGTCCACAATATTTATTTTATAAATATAAAATCTTATTAGAGATGCTGAAGCAACAAGAATCACAGGTAATTTTCAAAAATTTGCAGTACTAGTTTCGAAGGTTTGAAAACAAAACCTTCTTCAACTGAAGCAGTGAAAATGACAAAGCACCGCCAGCGCAGAAAATTCGAGAGAGTTCTATTAAAATATGAAAATAAAGCTACTGGCGTCATCTATTGATAAAAAATGAAAGCCGTTATGAAATAATATCCTTAAAAGCTAAGAGCTAGGTCGGTTTGGAATTTGGATCATTAACTAAAGCTGAAAGATTTTTATCAATGTGAAACGCCTCTAGAAAATCTAATTTGCCAACGCAAGATGGATTTTGATTAATTCCGACTCAAAAACCGAAAATGTGATTTTTTGACCAACAGTGCTGGGTAACAGAGGATATATGGGTTTATTTTTTTTTTCCTAACTAAGCTTCGTATTCTATAGCGCGAAATCTTAAGGATTGGATTGGATTGGATTATTTAATTATGGCAAAGCACACAAGGGATATCTGCCTAAACCGAGGGATGCCTTTGTGGAAGACTTTCTAAGAGAAACTGGCTCGTATACACGTTACACATGGGGAAAACGACGAAAACGCCCATGCAGCCAGCCCGTTCGCGGGATTCGAACCTCGGACCGAACTACCAGTGTTCAGCGTCTTTACAGCTCGGCCGCTGGTGGGCCGCGAAATCTTAAGGCCTTCGTAGTTTGGTCAACGTACATAAATGACAAGATATACAGATATGAACTCACTATATATATCACCAAGAGTTCATATCTGAGAAGGGGTCTTTAACTATCAAAATTTATTGATAGAAAGAAAAAAACGAGACGAAAAATTGAACTTCTGTAAAATTCGGGGAAGTTTTTTTTGGGGGGGGGGGCGTTTTCGTGGTTTTCCCCATGTGTAACGTGTATACGAGCCAGTTTCCCTTGGAAAGTCTTCCACGAAGGCATCCCTCCCTTTAGGCAGATAGCTTTCGTGTGCTTTGCCATAATTAAATACACACATAAATACACACGGGGAGTTTTTTAGCTAATCAATTGAAAGAAAGGAATGAAATAGAATGCTTATAAACAAATACACGATAGAGTGCGTTTTGTGGCGTTGAGAGGCGGTATTTTTAAATGTAGGTCAAGAATAATAAGTGGAAAGTTTCTGTCAATAGACTTCTGTCAATACTTAACTGCTTTTAAGTTAAGGCAATTTAATTCTAGCTTAACAGTCTCCTTGGATTCTATTCTTGCAGCTCCTACATTTAAGTAAGGACATAATTTTCAAGAACTGTAGATCACTTACAATTTTAATGAAAGATAAAATTCCTCTTTTAAAAAAATTGTGCACTGATAAGAATAAATCATTTTTAACTAATGAAAAAAGTTCAGCTATTTAACACTATTCATGTACATAGTATGATCCTGTAATTGCATAATTTTACTTTTACAAATTCAAACTATAGTTACGTAGATAAAATAAAATTTTATAATGATTTTATGAATCTCAGTAATTTTAAAGCGAGAAAGAAAATGCACAAACTTTAGCATACTTACTCATATAGTTGCTTCGCGGCGAATAGAATGCATTCACTGTGAAAGGGCTGATAGAATCGCTGTGGATAAATAAAATTTGTATTGGTAAACTGTTGTGAAAAACTGCATAATATTTAAATATACACCGTGTCCTCAAAAGTAATTACCCGACCTTTATTTTAGTAATCGTTACTCTTAGACACATACTTCCAGTTACAAAAATATTTTAAATGACGCAAAGATTCATATTTTGGTATTTCCGAATTAAAAGAAACCAATTTTACAAAAAATTACGAAATCTAACATTTTATACATTCCTTCAGTCCCGATATTTGGGAAAATGTTACACTGCTCATAAAAAATAGAACACAAAAAGTTTGATTCCAGTAGTGTAGAAATTGATCGAGATATTTAATCCAAAATTTGTGATTTTCAATTTTCATTGAAGGAGCAGTTAAAAAATAAATTGAAAGAATTCGAAGTAGATTTTTTCCCTCTATGCCATTTTATGATTTTTTTTTTTGTTTTTTTGTTTTTGTGTGTGTGTGTGTGTGTGATTTAGTAGTGTGTTAAATTTATAATTTTTTTATGTTTGTTGTACCGAAAGAATTTTCACACTAGTAATTTATAAGTTTTAAAAGTGCAAAAATAGGTTATTAATATATTCATGAAGTTTTACTACTTTAGAATCATAAGCAGGTAATCAGGGGGAGGAATTCACTAAATTCAAAATATTTCTCATTTTAACTTCCTTGAAAGAAGTAAACAAAGTATTGTGATCGCGAAAACCTGCAGGTATCATATTTCAAAGGAAATATTCGTTTTGAGCAATCCCGAATCCATTCGGAATATTTTTCGATTCACGCCGATACGTACACACAGAATAAAGGACTCTCTTTTTCCAAAACGGATTGTAAAAGGGATTAAAATGGATTCAAAAGGAATTTTTTCGTTACGTCTGTACGTAAGTACATACGTATGTATCAATGTATGTCGCATAATTCAAAAAAGATTAGCCGTAGAAAGCGGAGTTTTGTATATGGGACTGCTTTAACATCTACTTGGGAATCCCCTTTTTTTATTGCAATCAAAAATACTAAACACAACACACAAAAACACACAATATATAAATATATGTAAGATTAAAAAAATATGTAATTCTGACTTATAATTTAAATCAGAAATAGTCTCTTAATTCCTATTTTTAATTTGGGCACTCCCCCGTCTCTATTCTGAAAATAGTAATACAGCTTTTTGGAAACTGCGTCATATCTGAAAACTAATTCCGCATTATTTCATCTTAACCTTTTAAACTGCGTATATTTCTTGACCAATCAGATTAAAGAAAAAAATTACTATAAATTCCAAGGCGTCTTGCACTCGCTGCTCGGGTTGCTCTACGTTCCGTTCTTTGAAGAGGGGCTAAGTTTTAAAACTGTGGGGTGCATTCTGCACTCATAACGTGTGAAGCAAGTTTTATGCCTCCAGAATTGTTTTATCCAAACGATAAAATTATGTCGAATTCGGCGACGTCTGCCTGCAAGTTTCCATATCTACATGGCTTTATGCGCGCAGTTTGAGAATCAGCAAGTCATTTACATCATCGAAAGTTTACCATATATGTACATATACCCCTTTACTTAGCCTTTATTTTCGAAATCGTTGCTCTTATTCATATACTTCTAATTACAGTAGTGTTTTGTGCCGAAAATATTCATGTTTAGGCAATTTAAAATAAATTAAATTTCGATAAATGGATTCAAAAATGAAAACTAACTTTTAATACGATTTCCCGATTCCTGTATTTATATTTAGGAAAGTTTTATACTCGTTATGAAAAAATAAAATTATAATAGTTTTGACTCTCAGATGACAGAAATTGTCCAGGATATTTCAAAATTTTCAGTTTCTGATATCATATGGTTCCAATGTATTACGTGTTTTGTCCGCCATATCCAGCTGTTCTTTTTTCCCACTTAACAAACGTTAATTCTTTCGACCAGCTGTAAATAAACCAGAAAAACGTAAAAAATGGGATTCTACAGCCTTCGAACTACTTTGTTTTTCAGAATGCAATGAAAGCTTACAGTAATAACAATTTATTTATTTTCTTGTTGATAAAAATCAGTTACGGGTATATCAAACGTAAGTGCAGATGCTATGAATGTGTTGTAACGTCAAGCTTATCTATAAATTGGTGCTAAATTGCGCTGTATGGTTACAGTTTCACGGTCCACGGAATAATACGTAAGTATCTTTATTATTTTTGCTTTTTTATCGTAGTTGATGACTTTGGAATGATACATTTTATCAAATGTTTTTTTCACGTGAAGAAGAAGTCTTAAATCCTTACTTACCTGTCATTCCTTGTAGCTGTTTTATTCCAGCGTGAATATTTTTCATCATTAATTATGGAAGCAAGATTGATCGAAGCTTCGAAAAAGTCTTCCTCGTTGAAGTCTAAAACCTGTTACAGAAGATAAACTTTTAATAAACTAAAAATATTTATTATATTGGTATTTTGCCACTAGTAACACCCCTTAAGAAGCCAATCAAACTACTGAGGTAAATGATGCTTTTTAGATAGCAACGGTTTATACTTTTTTGTCTTTTTGTTAACTGACGTTGATACTTGCTGCATATTTTTACGCCACAAAAATAATATGAATTGGGGAAAAAAGTATTTATTTTCAATAAATTCTATATGCAGCTTAATCATACGACTTCTATATTCAAAGTTACGAGCAGTTACGAGTAATACTGAGAAATTTATTTTCGTCAACTTTCGTACTCAATAGTTTATGTGCTGCACTACATACATTTAATAACTCGAAATGCATATATTTGTCATGCATAAATGTGCTTGTGTTCAAGTTGGATTTAATGGTCTAATTGCCCAGGTAATGGATTAAAATACCGAAATCATACAGTTTTTATCTATATTGGATGTCTTCAAAACGACGTCTGACGACATTTTCTTTTTTTTAGCAACAGCCTTTGACAACATTTCTTGGTTGGTAAAGAAACCTTTCTCTTGACAGTCACTAACGAAATAATACCGATTATTAGACAGATGAAATTACAAAACTAATTTAAAACTCTCTCAGTTTTCATTGACAAACAGTATGATAAACGTGATTTTTATTATATAGGGCGCACGGTCTTACTCAGTGCGATAAATATATTGTGGCAAGAAAGTCCCATTAACACCCGAAATAAATGCATGTAACACTGTAAGAGGTAAGATACTTCAGATCTGAACCTCCCATCCTGGTCATTGATATGGCTGATCATTGATATGGTAATTGATTGGTCATTGATATGGTCATTGATTGGTCATTGATATGGTCATTGATTGGTCATTGATATGGTCATTGATATGGCTCCTCACATGAATTTCAACGTCACTGAAGCGCAACTGCCCAGGGAGGAAGAATAATGTTTGTGCATTGACCATTTCATTGTCTCGCCTTTCTGTGCTTGGTGAATAACAGTAATAGATATCAACGACTTCACTTTGGAGAAGCGCATAGTGACAAGTGTTTGAGTTCATCAACGAAGCACAGGAACGAAAATATGACACAGGTGATAAACAGGTTTCGTGAACGGGTCGTTAAGGTGCCCTCAAGCAGTCAGATTTTGATAGCGGGGGGGAGAAGAAAGCTTTTCACCTGGGAACTGTTTTGGATTCACCACAGACAGTGTCCTATCAGGGATCATCAAATCGTACGTCAGGAAGATGCGGTAAGTGGACAATAATACTCTGCGGGCAAGTGGGATTGAAGCCTTCCAAGATGTGACACTGGAGCTACTAAAGTAGCTCCGGTGTCACATCTTGGAATCCCATCTTGGCGAATGAGTCGGAGGACATTCAGGCTTATCAAACTTTGTAGCGATAATGGTGGTGCACATACGGACGTTTTGGACAAATAGCTGTAAGTGTTATTAAAGTTACAATGAAATAATTACACGTGTAAGGGGACTTTCTGGCCACGCTGTATTTCTTTGGGACATTTATATATTGTTGTCAGTTCGGTTTGTTAAAGAATTTTGTATAGGTTAATTTCCTACTTTTCTTCTTTACGCCGTTTGGAAATCAGCTGTTTATGTATTCAGGCATATCATTCACCTTATATCTGAATAGTTTTTAATAACGTATTTTGCTAAATATTTTTTCAAATAAGTAAAATTTCTGTCGCTTTAAAAAGCAAATGCTTAATACCTAATTTTGGTACAAGCGCTGAAATTCAATCTAAGAAATTTTCAGATGAAAATTTCTATATTTTAATACAAATATTTTTAAAGAAAACTACAATGACGCGTAAATAACTGTAATGTCGTTTATAATTAAAAAAGGTTAATTAAATTAGTACAACATACACTTATACAAATCATCATATGTATACATCAAATACGCAAAGCATGTCTGATGTCCTTTCATTTGCAAACTTATATATATGAAAGGGATTTTAAAATGCAAATATCATGACTCAAACTATGCTCTAACGTCTTTTCTAACTCTCAGGATATGTTCATATAATATAATGCTCAAAACGAAGCGGTGTTAAACATAAATAGGGCATTTGGATGCATTGCATTTAAATGGGGATGTAGGGGTGCATGCAATGATGATAACTTCCTGCAATGATCATGTCATATTGCAGGATGTTTGCATTCTGCTGTCGGCAGAAAATACTTAAATACTGGTTCATTTACACGTGAATCAATGAGAGGATACTCAACAAACCTATTTATCTAAAATGTGAGTCATTATCTCTGTCGCGAATAGTTTTTCTTAACGAACAAAATAACTCTAGTAATTTCTGAATGTAAACAAATTTCAAGCCTCGTGATATCATCATTATGGACGGAATTAATGGTGAAACTTAATTGTACTGGCCATTGGCTAAGCTCAAGCGTTTCCCCATGTGTAAAAGGAATGTGTTAAATCTTAGAAACAATCTTCCTAGCTATTTCTAACAATTCCGTTCTAAAGATGTGATTATCTTTAAGCCTTTAACTGTCAAGTTATTTTGATGATTTGGGTACACAAATTGTCAAATTTTTTTTATTGTAAAAACCAAATGTAGCCGAAATAAACATCTCCCGATATATATTCGGGTATGACAATACGATGCACACTCAAAAAAAAAAAAAAAAAAAAAATTACCCCGAGAAATACTCGGGCGTGACATTTTCGAACACCAGTACTGTGCCCGAGATAATCTCGGGCATGACAGTTAAAAGGTTAAACTGTACTTTTTATTTCAGTGATGGTCTACTTTGATTCATAATCTTCTCAATCACCAGTAAATGTTTTTTTAAGTACAGAGGTAGCAAATCTAAACAGATGTATATATGTCAGATATTTAAAATCACAATAGCATGTTAAAAAGTAGTGTACAATTTTTTTCCAAGATATAATATTAATCAGAAATCTAAAACTTTACCTCAGCCATAAACTTTACATACAGCAAATACCAATTTTCAGTTTGCAAATAAAATAAACATAAAATAAGTATATAAAAATCGCATCGTCAAGGAGTGAGCAGAGTATTATAACTCCTTGTAATGTGTGTGGTTTCACCCGAATATCGGGCGATATTTCGCTATCTAGTAGAGCGAACAAAGAAAGGGTCACTCATTTTTTTTTGTGTGTGTGAGAAGGGACCGCTTTTTACGAGAGCGAAAAGTCGCTCCTTCGAGGTTGGTGCCATTTTGGCATTAGAGGGGGGTGGGATAACACTCCTTTGGAGTCGGATACTATTTCGAATTCAGAGTGTAAGACTTTCTAACAGTTTCTATAAGAATTTCCTCCCAAGGCAGATAGCTCTTGTGTGCTTTGCCATAATCAATCACAAACGGCCCATCACAATTAATGCAGATTTGAGGACGCGCATGAAAATTTAATATAGTTCGCTGTAATATGGTGACATGTCTCTGTAAATTCTTTTCAGCAAAACGGTGACGCACTGCATGGGTAAGATGTAATGCTTTTTAATAGCGCTTCTTGGGCATTTCATTCTTAGGATTTCCTAACCTAATGGCATCGAATTCCTTTCTCTGTGTGTTAAAGGAAAATCACGAGAGAAACACATCCAGTCGATATTCTTGTAATTTTTTATGCGAAATTTTCAGTGGTGGAAACAAAATAATATTAATTGTAATGACAATTATGTTCCTAATACTATTCTTAACATGTGTATGTGTCTCAATAATGTTCAATAAGCTCGTTTCCTATTTCTAAAAGGGCTTGGATACATGAGTGCCCATTTTTTGATAGATATTTTTACGAAATTCATTAGAACCTTAGCATCCCAACATTCTGCAGGTTGTATAACATACACTGGTTTCCAAAAATTAAGGTAAAAATCACAAAAATAGCGATAACTCATTCAAAAATAAGCAGATCCATATAAAATTTGAATATGTCGTCAAATAAGAATTGCTCAATAAAACTGCAGTATGCAAATTAGTGACGCTGCAATCGAAATCTGCGAGGAGCATAATGGAGAAGCATGCAGCGTCTTTTATTTTATGTCACATGCAGATGTAATGACATAAGATGCATTAATTGCTTCTTACCTTTTCATAGTACTTGTCTAGGAGTGCATTATTGTTAATCCACCCTTCGTGGCCTATCATGGATTGAATACTCTGCAGCTGCGGAAATGAAATGATTTTTTAAGAAAGGCATGAACGCAAAACATTCGTCTGAAGCAAAATTTTAATGAAAATTTGAAATTTCTAAATACAACGATACTTGAAGTTAGATTATAATTTCCAGCACCAGCAGAATTAAAATAATATCAAAAATATTAATATGAAATAACTGAATTGATAAGCATCTAATTATTAATGAAATTTTTCAGATTATTAGTCTAAAAAGCTGTTAGTCTGTAAATGGAATTTTGCGTTTGTTAATTATATACGGCATATCACTTTTCAAAGCGTTGTCAACAAATATTACCACCCTCCACTATTTTTAAAGAAATTAAGTCATGAAGAATCTGTATGCATCTCTTCCTGTAGGGGAAAAAAGTATCTAGAGGTATCAAGGTTGATAAAAGTATCCTCCACCCGAACACGTGCACCTGGAAGCCAGAATTTTGAATTTCGAATTTGTTTTATTATTTCTTTTTTAATATCTTGTAAAACTTTAATGATTTTTTATTAACAAATTCAACGTTTCGACAACGAGTATTGACATCACTGTAGAGTATAAAACATTTTTTATCTCCAAAGCGCGAGACTGTAGCCATTCTGATAAATGTAAGGTATGGACTATATGAAAGCAATGTGTTGGCCTGGTGAGAGGTAAATTACTTTTATCTCCTACGCACAGCGTGTTGCCATTTAGTAAAGCATGAGATACTTTCAAAGCTATTATGGAAGATTATTGGGTATTAAATTAAGCGATTTAAAAACAATAAACACAGTTCTTAAGAATATGTTTTTCTTAATTTTTAATATGATTGATTTAAATAAACATATATTAAAATCATGAAATATCTAATTAGAAATATTCATTATTTTTATGGAAGCACACTAGCTGGATTCATTAAAACCATCATATGCTTTTTATTTTTTATATTAACTACTTTAGGCTGGTGTCTAAAAAAATAAGATAGCCAGTATAAAAATATTTATGGTAACCTGTAATAGTTTATCGGGAATTCTAATGATATGCTACTTTTAAATATTTTGTGATTTTGCCGTTGAATTGAAGTTTATGCGGCGAAAGTGAGAAGAACGTTATATTTAATAAATATAATTAACACATAAAAAGTTTCGTAACCCATCTTACTAAGAAAGCGGAACATTGATATGATAAAGTGAGAAAAAAATTGGAAAAAATAGAAACAAATAGCTCTGGTCGTAAGGAATTTAGCGACAAAACTTCTGATTTTGCCGTCTTTGACGCAAAAGAGAAATGAAGCCCAGTCACTAAAGATACGATCATCCCAATTACCGAATAGTGAGCCAAACAATTTCTAACCAGTCACAGATTCTCTCGGAGACGACTAGTCAGAGGACTAAAATGTCTTTCAAACCCTCAAGGAAATCTTCATGAAAATCAAAGAATTCTTCAAAAATTAAAAATACCGGTTCTTTAATAGATAAAACTGAAGTAGGAATTGAAGCATTCACCCATTCCTCGAGTGCTGGTTAGAGCTTTGTAATGCCATTTGCAACTGTAATCATTCTGCTTTTCAACCTAACCCAACAGCAATGAATCGAAACTCAAATCTCGCCTTCTTATGCAAATGGCACTAAAAAGTAAATCTTCGAAACCACACATTATGTGAATATGCTTAACTTACTATTGATTAATAAACAATATCTTCGATCAAATGATATATTTCGACTTCTTTGTTTTAAAAATTTGAGAGATTATATAAGGCGTACTACATCAGGCAATGGTATCGCAATGACTCACAGGACACATGTTAAATTCACATGCTGTCCTCTATTCAATTCGACCACCACTGAAACCTGCCGGGGTTTTTCTAGGAGGACAAACAAAATCGCATTGCTTTATTTCCGCATCAGTTCTCCGTCAGATGTTTTCAGCAACCATGGTCTCTCAATGCTGACTCAAGCAAACTGCCCTATATTCATAACTGAGAATTTAAATGAGAAGCATCATTCATAGAAGTCGGGTAGTGTTAACAGTAATAGATGGACTTCACTAAATTTTGCAAACCGAAATTGTACAAAATGTGTAGGACCTTCGCCGCTTACCAGGTATCAGCTTTATCAAAACCCTGACGATATAGCTTTGGTTAAAAACTTCGGCCTAAATTGAAATAATCGAAGAACTAAACACATGATCTTCCAATACAATTTAATCTGTCTGGGCTGTATTTGGTGCCACGTTATTCCAGAAAGAAAACTTACTAATCTCAATACATCAGATTACTCACAGACATCAACACAAATTCTGTAAATACTAAACCCAGTCTCGTCTTTAAATCTCAGATTACAATATGGCATTGTTCTTCGCTTTAATACAATTACTCTGCCTAGCTACGTCCTGAATTAAATCAAGAATAAAAAATAGGACAAGGGAAAAAAATGCGGAAACTTACTCTCGAAGCAGACACAAAGAGACTTCTAAATTTTAAAGGAAATATCTAAACTTATCTCCGATTTTCAAGCCGAAAGGTGGTATCGGTTACTTGAAAACCCTGAATAACAGTAAGCGTTATGAATCAATTGTGGCCTCACCGAGATTTGAATAATGGATACTTATACTTCCATAACATACTCGAAAAAATTTGATAATTTCTTATAGTCTCCCCTACTTTAAAGGGACTGAAGAATGGCATGGGGTTCAGTCGAACAAATCAATCCTTGTGGTGGTATGTTATTCTCCATCGTATTTTAATTCAGGCGCTACTGCAGGCTTTATAAGACTAGTAGGCGTTTATATGACTATTAGGCTTTTATAAGAACTCTATTAGACTTTATAAGGCTATTAAGCATTTACAATACTATTAAGCTCTTTGGAGGAAATAAATCAACTAAGAACTCGTTGCGGTTGAAACAACGGATCTTCCATTTGCCACCTCGATTTGGTAACCATTTACATTATAACAAGGAAAAATGCAATAATTCTTTGCAATGTAAATGAAAGATTGTGTGATGATACATTACAAGACACTAGTGATAAATATTCAACATCGCAGAAAGTTAGAACTTCTTATGTTTTGCTCATTAATTAATATGGCCAGATTAAGATTCCAAGCACAGAGGGAGCTGGATTTATTAAAGGGGAAACCTACTTACTTTTACTAAGGAGTAAAGAAGTGTTTGCTTATCCATCCACAAGTTTTGATCTAAAGTTGAACTGTACGCTAATCTTATCATATCTACCATCTTCGTAATCTAGAAAAGAAATTGAAAATTAAAAAGCTTTCTAAAATCTTTTTCTTAAAAACAAAAATCAGAGTTGCAGATTTCTTTGCTTCCAATGAAAAGGGACTTGTACCTGTTTCCTGTCGAAATCGATTGAGTTATTGACTAAATCTACACCAAACACATAGTCGTTGCTTTACTAATTTTATATCTGTTCCTTTTATTTCAAACATAATAAATATTTTTTTAAATTAAAGTTTTTAAAATAAGTGCTTTAAGTTAGGCAAAAAAGCAAACTTATTTTGGAGTAGCTTTTGAATGGAACTCTATCATTTTTGAGAGTGATCCGATAGAGGTCCCTCTTCTTCAGAATCAAAACGTTTGGTAAAAATGAGTGGAGCTACGGTCGTTTTTGTACCAAATGCATTGGGCGGAACAAAGCAACTACGAACGTAGTGCCATCTATCGAGGAAAACTATAATAAAACTTGAAAAACTAACAGACAGTGAAACCTCGAGATACGAGCACCCCTATAGGCGAGAAATTCGAGATACGAGAAATGTATGAGCGAAACATTTGTCTCTGAATACGAGCATTGACTCGAGTAACGAGCAGTAAGTCAGGCTGTTGACATGCGTGGCGCCATTTTCTGATCCGGCTCGACTCGGGAAATCCCCTCGTCAGATCACTCAGTGTTCCTTGATCTACATGTTTGTGCGCTTGCGAGTGAATTGTTTATTACATTTAAGGCGAAAATAATTATTTCAAGATGCCTCCCAAGAAGATTTTTGCCTCAGATCAAGAAAGAAAAATAAGGAAGCCATGACCATCAAAATTTAAAAAGAAATCATAGATAAACATAAGCGTGGTGTAAGAGTGACAGACTTGGCTTACCGCCTTTCGACATCGACGATCTACACTATTCTAAGGAAGCAGGAAGAAATTTGATGCAGCCAAAGGAGTTACCGTTGTTTCCAAGCACCATCCAAAACTCCTAGAAGATGATGAGGTGCTGTTGTTGGTGTGGATTAACAAAAAGCAATTAAAAGGTGGTCGGTGTCGGAAGCTATCATAAAGGTAAACTACGGTAATATTATTTACCAGTATTATTTATTTGAAAAATTGATTTTTATGTTGGTATTTTTGGGGGAGCGGAACGGATTAACCGGATTTCCTTTATTTTCAATGGGGAAGCTTGTTTCTAGATACGAGAAATTCGCTACACGAGCTCAATGCTGGAACCAATTAAACTCGTATCTAGAGGTTCCACTGTATTTATTTATTTCTGATTAATAAATATCACATTTTATGAGAAAATGAAAGAGAATCATCCTCTTTAGTCTCTCATATAGTTTACTATTCGAAATTTTATTTTAATTTGATTAAAATAATAATCAAGGATTATAGATAAATGCAAATTTACTTAGAAATGTTCCTCATAAACTTACGTGATATCTCATGAGCGCTGGGAAATGGTGATCCACGTAGAGCCTCCCAACAGCGTCGGACATCAGAATCTTGACCGCCTTCAGGCAAAATTTCTCTTCTGTCGTATTATACACGGAACCCATTTCCTTATCAAAGTACTGGGTTGCATCTTGAAGCTCCTTGGTTAGGTAATCGGAGTAGAAATAGACAGCGTGAAAAGATATGTAATTGGCCACTATCCTGAAATGCAAGTGATTGAAATTTTTGAAGCAAAATAATACCAACTTTAATGGAAATCTTACACTTAAATTACAATTGTGAATGAGAAAAATAATTTAGCGCAGTTTAATAATAAACAAATGAAGTTATTCAGCATAATAATTGGTCTATACAAACGAAAATGATTCGCTGATTGAGTTTTGTAAGAGGTTATTCCAGCTTTATCATAGTTTATCAAAGCTTTGCTCTTCTGCGGTGTGTGGGACTTGGTCAAAAATAGAATAAATTCTCTGTGATTCAGCTGCTCATTTTGCATAAATAACTCATTTTTAAAGATTTAAATTTTTCATAAAGAGAGGTTTTCGTCTAAATTCGTTTGAGGCCCTGTTTATTTTTTTGAACTTAAAACACTATGAGCACAAAAAGCCATAGAAACGCAAGAGTGAAACGCTTGCCATCAGCAAATCTATGTAGTTAGAGGATTATGGCAAAGCACACGAAGGCTATCTGCCTAAGGAAAAACATGTCTTCGTGGAGGACTTTATAAGGAAACTAACTGGCTGGCATCCACGCAGCACATGGAGAGAAATATGGAAACGCCCAAGTAGCCAGCCCGTTCGTCTGAAATAGAACTCGTGTCGAACTACCAGTGTTCAGTGACTTTACCATTCGGACGCTGGTGGGCTCTATAATTAGAAGACGCTGTCCTTTCGGAAATTTTGTTTCCTTCTTTGCCTCCTATTCAAATATACAACTTCCAAATTCTACGAGAAGAAAGAAATGACTTTCGGAGAATATGCCTGAGCTGCGAAAATAAAAGGTGATAAATAATTCAGGTAATAAAAGATGTATAAACAAGATGTATACAAGCTATTTATCGTACAAAGGAAATATATTATTATTCACATAAATAAGAATGAATTCAGAGACAGATGAAACAACGCGTAAATGTAAAAGACGTTTAATTAAGAAATGTATAAACGGTTCTTCGGTCTATTTTTGCAACCACCATGGGCAGCAAATAAAAGCAACAATGAGGCATGGCATAGAAAGAAAGATATTTTTAAGTGTGTATTTAAGCATGCCAGTGCGACAATATGCCAATGTTATATTGGATGTTAAAGAGTCATATAAGTGACACGTAAGGTTTATATTGACTAAAATAAACACATTTTTGGTGAATTGCAAATATCGTTTTTATGGGGGGACATTCTTGGTAAATTGTTAAAAAAAAAAAAATCATGAAACATGAACATTTTTTCAGAATGCTCTTGGTAAATTATTAAAAAAAGCTCAAAAATTTAAGTGTTTAAAAAGTTTTGAACGACAAATGTATAAGATATTTTCACCCTCTTTTATGCATGCCTTCGTGGTGTAAGGGAAGCACACTCGGCGTGTTTTCGAGACGTCCAGGTTTGAGTCCTGGCGAAGGCATTTCTCATTTTTTAATTATTTCTGCTTCAAAATAAGTCTAATGACTCTACAGTGGCGAACGAACTAAAAGGTGATGGATGATAATTCTTCACCGTCACGATTTGGTGATCGAGTGTCCTAATCCCCACTCGCTCTTTAAAAGGTAGTGTATATAAGGTATTTTCTCCCGCCTTTCTGCATGCCTTCGTGGTGTAACAGAAGCATACTCGGCGTGTATTCGAGAGGTCCAGATCCGAGTCCCGGCGAAGGCATTGTTCATTTTTCATGACTCCTGCCTCAAAATAAGTGTAATGACTCTACAAATGTTTCGCGGAAAATTATAAATATGAATAATATGAGAATGACTTAATAAATTTTAAATATCTTTGCGTAAAATTCTTCGTAATTATAAACATCGTTTCTTCGTAAATTGTAAAAAAAATTTAAAAACGCTTAATATTTAAAAAAGTTTTAAATATTAAATACCTTCTGGTAAGTTATGAATACCTTTTCACAATATGACTGGTAAATTATCAAAAATAATGAAGTGTTTAGAAAGCATTTAAATAATAAATTTTTCTAGGTAAATTATAAATATAAAATTTAACTCATTCTTGGTAAATTATAAATTATTTTCTTGATATGATCGTGAATTTAGTTAAATTTGTTTTTTACCTGGGGCTTACGCTAGCCATAAAGACCGGGAGTTCCAGAATGTAAGGAAGATCAAAGATATAAACACGAGTGTCATCTTCTACAGGCACATCGCTTTTTAGGAATCTGTTGACGAAATCTTTGTATAAAAATGGCGTGCTCTGTAAAAAAAAGCTGCCTCAGGGATCATTATTATTTAGTAATAAGCACGTCTATTCTTTTTTTGCACAAAATGAAAAAAATAATAATACTTTAATCATTAAAAATCAGTTTTATTTTCAATTAATATCATGATATTGTTTTAAAACTGCATTTCACATTGAATAATTAGTGTAAGGTAGCCCACAAAGAAAGTAAGTTTTGAAGTTCCCGCCATTTCTGCTCTACTTTTTTAATTATTTAATTTCATCAATAAATCTGTATGTTGCGTTCTTTATGGAACATCCTTTATATAACAGTTCTTGAATCAGAGAATTCGCATAAATATAATTATCAAAAATGTAAATGTTTAAAAAAGATAAAAATATTTCAATATTGTGTACACTTTGTCTAGAAAATTCAAAGAAAGTCATTATTTTATTATAAATTTATTGAACAATTTGAAGGCAAGTTGCACAAAATCGTTTTAAATTCTTAATCATTACTATGTGATGTTTAATGATTGCTATTTTTGCATACACGTTTGTCCACGGCTATTTTGATAATATTAAACCATGAGAAAAAACGCTCTTCAGATCAGCAATAGAATTTAAAAAAATTAATATAAATACATAAATAAAAGCAAAAATACTATTTTCACAGCACTTTAACAATGAAAAAAGTTGTTACAAGTAGATTGCCTGTTGGTGTTTTGCAAAACTTTATTCATAAACTGTGCCTAGTGTTTTTCGAAATTGAGAGATTTTTTACCCTTAATTAAAATACTCGAATGGCATTCCTTATATCAACATTTATAGGAAATTTATGGGTATCACCTCGACGTTCTTCAGACAGATTTTTACATGATGTTCTGGATTTGTTTCAGAAAACCATTGGCAGATATTTTCTATCATATCCTTCTGTTTGAAGACGAGTGATCTGTGTTCGATCGTTCTCAAAATAAACAGAGTTATTAAAAAATTGAGCCAAATTAAACAAAAGGCTGCCTTTTTGCATAATTTTAAAATGTTGTCTAAAATAAAAACCAAGCAGTGTTTTTGACTTAATCCCTTACATGGTAACATCTTTCAGTCATTTGATAATTTTAAAAATTTCTGTTGACTTTACTTGGAGGATTGTTTTCGGCTGGAAATATGCATTATCTAACATTTTCATAATATAATTGAATTGTTGATCACAATAATAATATTTTCCTGTTTTCGTATCCAAACGGAGGGGTTACTTTGGCAATTCAATAACAGTACACTAACCGATGTCAAATTAAGCAGCGTCTACTTTATAAATTACGAATAAGTTATGCAAAATATTATAATACTACAAAAATTGTATAATACTCCTTTAAATATGTAAGTTGTATCACTTTCCACGTCCACTAGCAATGTTTTCGCTAAAAATATCTTCGGGTTATACGGAACAAGAAAAATAATTTTTGTCAGTAGAAACTGGGGCAGTTCGAACTTCCTCCATTCTTCCCGCAACAGATTTTATAACATCCATCCAAATATATTAAACTTCGTTGACTATTATCATTAAATATACAAAAGAGAAGCTTTCCAAATTTTGTTTAGGTATCTTTTGAATTTTTTGTTTAGTCGCGTTTGTCAGCTACTGTTGTTAACTGAATTGGAAGTAGTTTGCAGATTCCTTGCAGAATTAATTAAAAATTCTCTCACTATTTTGAGAACTTCCGCGATGGAGAGTGGACGGGGTAGAATTTATCTATTGGGGGGGGGCAGGATAAATTTTTACCGTTCACAGCGTGGTTCCAAAAAAACCCTTTTTTGCCCCTAAGGTGCATCTAATTCTGAAACTCTGGAGCTAGAATTGGATATGTCATCATTAAGACAAGGTTTACGAGAATGAATTGTGGGATTTTATGCGATTTTTTTTATAAAATGTGAATTATATTAAATGGCTTGAAAATGTTTCTTCTTAGTTTAGTTTCTCAACAAGATTATGTGCATATATTTCATTATATACACAAAGCTCTATCGTTGCTAAATTTGGAGCTTTAAAAACTCGCGCGCGATACATGAACATTTTCAAGATTATTATCAGTCTTTGGTGCGACTTAACAAAATTTTTACCCTTTTTTCTGTATTGAAAGTAATATAAATTTCAATATTTGTATGTATATTTTTTCTTTCAGGTTGAGCAAATGGAAACGGAAGATGACGAGTTGCAGACTTTCTTTTCAGAAGATCGAGCACCACTCCAATTTGCAAACCTTGTGAAAATCGACATAAATCTTTATTTCCAGATGATGGATTTGTTAGACATAGATTTATTCTATGGTGCGAAAGAATTCTTAGTTTTAGCTCACTGGAATTTTTCTTCTGTTCTTTACCCAAAACTGATGTTTACAGTAAAATAATTAATACTTTTGACCACCACAAAGAGAGTTTTACAAAAGCAACTTCAAGCATTCCTTCCAGATATTGTTACCAGAGTACGGGCCGAAACTCTGAACATTGTCATGACGTCTGAACTGCTGTTACAGCTCCATATGCTGGTAAGTTTTTTCTTCTGATAGCTTTGAGTGACTATATTAAACAAAAGTATTTTTAAGCGATTTCACATGCTACATACTTCATAGAGACCTCATGACCTACCCACTTCATTCATTCTTAATGGTCCAATATTATTTAGCAGATGTGCGTCGGTTGCACATGTGTGTATGTTTTCTTTTAGTCAGCCTTACTTATAAAGCATTTCTCCCGCCTTCTTGGAAGGCCTTCGTGGTGTGGTGGTCTGCACGCTTGGCGCGTATTCCAGAGGTCCGCGGTTTCGATTTCCGGCGAAGGCGTTGCAAATTTTTCATTTGTCCTCCTTCCAAAAAAATTTCTAATTTTTCTACAGTTGTGGCCGAGCTAAAAGGGTGTTGGATGATGATTCTCTTCACACAGAATTTGGCGAGTGGGTCTCCTAAAAACCCCAGTCGCCTTTTAAAAGGGGTTGTATATAATGCAAATTTTTCATCTTTTATGCTTCTAAAAGAACTCCTAATGTATCTACATACTTAGAGTAAGGTTGTAAAGCTAGAAAATGAAATATCTTTGATGGAGGACCGCATTTACACGGGCCTTTGTTTAGGAATAAAAAAGAATATAACAGATGACCCAAAATAAATCGAAGCGAAAGCAAGTGAAGAACACATGAACTTTAAGGCGCTTTTACAAGCAGATAAAAGACAAAAGCCTATTTACATGAGTTCCTCTGTTTGTACAGGTACTGCTGAATATGTTATTGGCATGATATAAGCACAGTTTGAACGCATGAACCGTATTTAATGCTACTTGATGTAACTCGTTTCGTTATATGTTGGCGATATGGCGTTGCGTATATTCTGTACCAGTGCCTCAAGAGTTCGTAAATTCTCTGCTAAACCATGGGATGCGCCAGGATGAAAAATAACAAGTGGATAGATAGATTTTATGACCGCGGAGGTCATAGATGTACAGATACTTTCAGATAGTCCTGTCAGATGTAAAAACTGATTGCACTACTCCCAAGAAATCATATGCTGTCGCGCCCTCCGTCTACTTATACACTAACGCTTTTCAGTTTCTTCTCTGCCATATTCAATTAGGTTTATCTCGGGACACTTTTTATACTTCTATATACGTATGTATACATATTTTTAAATGACCGGGGGCTTTATTTAATAGCCTTGCGGGCCGGAAGTAGTGGCCATTTCATTATGAAAGCACGTAATAGGTGACCACCCTCGCCTCCTATGGAAGGGCGGACAGTTACAACCATGCCTTCTCCAAGATTGGAGCCCGGACCCATCGCTACGGCAGTCAGGGTCGCTAACCACTATACTGTCTAAGTGGCTGATTCGTACATTAAAATATTCAATTGAACTTTAAAAAGGGTCATTAAAATTTGTAACCTATCACCTTACAACGAAGAATGTTGAAAACTATTAAAGAACAGTTAATATACGCGTACATCTCCAAATAGATTATTTAATATGTCAAATAATTGAAATCTCATTTACATCGATCAAGTTATGAGACTTACCTTTACATTTTCATTTAGGAATGAAAAATCAAATTCTAATTCGTCCGAATCTGTTACGTTGCCTGTCCCAACCTAGAAGTAAAGATATATGTTACCATGCAATATCTATCCTTTCAGATTCTTCTTCAAACTTTTCATTCCATTCCACTTTAAAACGACTCATATTATAAAGAAGAATAAGACGGCAATAATTTTTTTTCAAGGAAATCGTTCTTTACCATGGCAGAGAATTCGTGAAAACGGGCAATATATTCAACTAATTATACGTACGATGAGAAAAGAAACCAATTGGCGATGCAATGTTCAGGCACCGAGTCGGCTATGACAGTGTGTTATTAGCAGTTATTGAACTGTGGCCGCTTGAGAGAGATTGTAAAAAAGAATTTTTCGGTATGTTTATGTATGTTATCTTTTTAATAAATTGTAACAAAATTGTATTAAATTAAAAAAAGGAATTTTGCAATTTATTTAATTAAATACTATAATAAATTACAAATTTATTAAATGCAATAATGAATATAAATTTATATTAAACGCCTTCTGTATGTATGAGATAAATAACTTAATGTTAAGACACAATAACACGCCGAACAAATACTAATTCAGAAATCAAACAACAAAAATCAGCGTTATATTTTCAAATTTTCACAGGACTAGTTTCGATGGTGGTTCGATAAAACGATCGAAACTAGTCCTGTAAAAATTTGAAAATATAACTCTGATTTTTGTTGTTTGATTTCTGAATTAGTAACTTAATGTTGTGTTAGATATTGAAATATTACCCTTTGCCGTAGTCAGTTTCGTTTTCCTGCATGCTTTTTATAACATTTGGCAACAAATCGCACTTTCATATGCCCGAATTGCACGAAAGCGTTCTTCACGAAAAGCCACGGCAGAAGACAAATACCAAAAGAGGAAACCAGTAATTTGGATTTTTTTCAAATAATTATTTGGATTGTGTTCTAGATCAGCGATTCTCAACCGGTGGTACGCGAGAGAAAAATAGGTGGTACGCAAAGAAACAAAGTATGTTTGACTATTAAATTAAAAAATGAGATACCCCAACATTCTGCTAGTTTTTTTCTCTAATCCTCGGAAATTTGGATGTTGTATATCTAATAGGAAAAAAAGAAATTCATATAAAGAAATCGCCACCTGGAACTAAATTTACTCCCTTCTCCATTCATCGTCAAGCTTTAGTATAGCCAAAACAATTCCCGAACACCGAAAATTGTTTTGAATCAAGCTATGAAATTTTTTTATTTTCATTAAAGGCCGAGCTTTAAATTCAGGAATATTTTAGATTTTATGCCAAGAGATGGGCAACGAACATGAAACGCTTCTGTTATATTCCGAAGTAAGGTGGTTATCCAGAGGCAAAGTTTTAAATCGTCTTTTTGAACTTCGATCAGAAATTCAAATTTCCCTCTGTGATTCAAAATTTGAATTGCAAAAATGTTTATTTAGTGAATTGTTGTTGGCGCTTTTAGCTTACTTAGCTGATATTTTTGGAAAGCTAAATGAATTAATTTTAGGATTACAAGAACAGAGTGTTAATTTGTTTATTATTTAAGTAAATGCAATGATAAAAACATCCAGCTACTAATCAAAGAATTGGATAATAATTTTTTAAGCTTTTTACCACTTTCAGAAAGTTTTCTAACCGAAAACAGTTTGAAAATAAAAGAAGAATTAGTATTCGGCATTAAAAAGTATTGTGTTTCATTTTTAAATCATTTTAACACGTATTTTACCGAGGATTATGAAAAAGAAAATTGAATTAGAAATCCATTTTTTTTTCAAATGTAGCTGAAATTTTATCTCGTGAACAAAATGAACAATTGCTAGAAATTTCCTGTGATCGAACTATAACTGAAGACTTCAAAAATAAGATACTTATTAACTTTTGGATGAACCGAAAAGAATTTTAAGGTATTTTAAATAAAGCTGTCAAACTTTTATTGCCCTTTTGCGCAAGCTGTTTGTATGAAAAGAATTTTGTTCCATTTTACATATGAAACATAAATACAAAACAAAATTTAAAATGGTTCCTAATTTACGGTTAAAACTAAGTGAAGACCAGGCATAAAGATGTTGATCTCTCTTAAACAGGCCCGAATTTCACACTAAATTTTAGAATTAACGCATTATAATTTAAATTTTGATAATTAAAATGGTAACAAATTTCTAATCTAATATTTTTATACGTGGTATTTAATTCATATAGTCAATAGGTTGTGCAAATGGCAAAATGTTTTTTTTTTAATACTTCTATTGCGAAATTGAAAAATAATCATTGTAAAATGTAGTGGTGGTACTAAAGCTTTTCAGTTTTTGTTTAGATGGTACGGTTAGTCAAAAGGTTTAGAACCGCTGTTCTAGGTGTTCTAGAAATTTGAAGATCTACTAAGATTGACGGATTTTACATTTCTGGGAATAAGAATATCTGGGATCTAAATAACCCCAGAAACTAAAAGTTTAAATACTATGATGTCTGTTTCTTCTAGATAACTAATACTCACTTGGTATAAGTTATACTCAAATTCGAGAAGGTCTGCGGCATCTTTCATTAGAGTATCCTCATCCAAAGACGATCCCATCATGCGAGCGCAGTCGGCAATATATTTATAAACAACCTGGCTCGCACTTTCGTTACTAAAAATGTAGTCATAAAATTCATCGAAGATGTAAGATCCCCTTGACATCTGAAACAAAAGTGTTGCTTGTCATTAAGCAAAAGTCAAACATCGTTGGATGAAACTGCTTTTAATTCAATGGCAAAGAGAGCTCACAAGATAGTCGTTCAAGTACATCAATATAATGATCTCAAACTTAAATTACATACGAGCTGAATGCATGATCTAAAAACAGCTGTCGGAGTAGGCATGTTTTAAAAATATTCAAAATAAATCTTAAATTTTGCTTACTAAATTTTATCAGAACATAATAAACACTAATAACAATATTTCAAAGGAAAACAAAGTCATATTTATGCATATTTTCTACCTAAAACCTAAAGATTATTACCTCTAAGGTCTTTTATTGGCCACGGGATATATTGACAGCTAAATATTAAATTTTGAGACTCACATTTATTTTAAATAATTATAACATGCTTAATTCATTTTAAAATGATTTAAATTAAAAACAAACAAATTATGAAAACTTTCGGGAGAACATTTTCCAAGTGAGACAAAACTTGAATCAGTAATAACAATTTAGTCTCTTTCTCTTATTTATTAAAATATTTCTGAAGCAAAAAAATAAAAATACAAATGCGAGTATGTATATAACTATAAACTTGTTATTTCTTACGGCAACTTGACACTAGATGGCGTTTGGATTCCCATAAGTTTTGTAGCCTTAAAGATGAATTTTTAGAAATTATCTTCATCACGGATTGGAGATGCTTATTAGTCAGTCTGCTTCCTATCTTATAAATTTTCAGCTGTGAAAAAACGCTGTTCACAAATAAATTTATTCCCAAATAAAATTATGTTTCTCAGCGAAAAAATTCGCAATTGAGCTTAATTTTTTGACAAATACGAATAAAATTTAGTTGAATCTGCATCTTCAAATCCTCGAATAAGATACTGCACTGTAAATTAATTAGTTCCATTTATAAATCTTCTGGAGCGATATTAAAATTCGTTTTTAATGGTGAAGAAAATAATTCTAAATTCGACATCAAATAATTAAAATCTTGAAATCTTCGCAAGACCATATTTGAGACCAATACATAATTGAAATGTATTCTCGGACCGTATAAGATTGCTTTTGGGCCCGCATGCGACTCGTGGGTGCCAGTTTGAAATCACTGCATTAATATGTTAATAGATCTACCATTCTAAACTATTAGAATGGTATTATCAAGATATTAGTTATCTTATATAACGCTTTTTATCAAAAGACTGAGTTTCCTCGTATGTTGCTTCTAAAATAATATGAATAAAATAAATTGATTCTAAATTACTTCTAAAATAAAGTAATGAACTAAAATTTTTACTATCTTTTGTTTGATTTACGATTTTTATAACGTGAGACATAATTATTTTAATTGCCCAGTTATATTATTATTTTGCCTTTACTTTCACTACTTTTTCATCAATTCTTTCTAGGATGCAATTTAGTTAATGCATTCAAACAAGAGCAGTTATGCAAAATTAATGTATCCAAGAATTTCCTGAGTTCCTGAAAGAGCCTTTGGCAACTATCGCTAATGGGTCACTGTTAGATCTTTCTGCTACTGAATGACTTAGTCAACTTTTGTTTCGCTAACTTCCATTGCATCGTGATATTACTAAGACCTGGGCCAAAGCTTGCTAGAGTCGTGTTAATTTGTGTTCGACATTTTAATTTGACTTATGTCCTGAATTTTCAGGACGTCGCGGAGTGTATTCTGCCATAACTTACAATTTCTGTATAACCACCAGGCTGACCATTTTAAAACTTCATCTGGGTTTGTGTTACTCTACTTAAAACTTATGACTGGACAATAACTTCTGTGTCTGTTTTTACAGTTTTAGGGATTTAAATTTTCAGTAGTGTCTAACCCTGTAAATTTAGTTTCATTAAGACTATCTGAATAGTACAAGAAGGCTATTTCCTGAAATGATGGTAAAAGTTTTTTTTTTTTTTTTTTTTTTTTTTTGTAGAAACTGACTTGTATTTGTGTCACATATGAGGAATATCACGAAAGCATCCAAAAAAACCAGCCTGTTCTCCAGGAATGGAATCTGGATCGAATTACCAGTGTTCAACAGTCTTAACCCTTTCGCCGTCCTCTCCTGTCCGCGAAAATTTGCCCCCAGCGGCCGTCAGTTTTTCGTAGTGTGTAATGTTGTTTTCTCTGTACATCATAACTTTCCATACATGACTTTCGTAGTGGATGAATGTCAATGAATATTAAGTAAAATTTTAAGGAAATACAGCATAATGGAAAAATAATAATATCTCTGCTTATTTCTAACAGCAGGATAATTTAATAACATCTGATCCAGGCGGTCCACTCCTCCCATTTTGTTGTTGTAATCTTTTACAATTACTGTTTTTTTACAGTTCTTTTCCATGTTCCAATATCAATCATCGAGTTATTATGAACTGTACTCATCAAACGTATATTCTTCTTGTCTTTCCAATTCACAACGTCATTTTTTCTCTTTTTCTGCTGAGTAGACGTTGAAGCCATCTCTCGCTCTCTTGTATCTTATGTAAAATGGCGTGAATATTCATAAAACCCGGGGCAAATTCAATTAGAAACAGAATGCCTGATGAGTGCTACCTTCTAAGAGGTATTAGAACAAACAAAAATAAAAAGTCAAACAAGTAAACACTTATAAAGCGTTTTAAACGTTTAAAAGTTTTAAAATGTAGAAGAACGCTCGAGGCGCGTTACGGTACCCCTGCGGAAGTTTCACTTGAACGCGCTAGACGCGTTACGGACGACGAAGAGGTTAATCACTCACCCACTTCTAGGCTTTTACTTTGATATAACAAATTAGATGTATTAAGCAATTGGTTATGACTACGGGACTAGTTCATTAACTGGCCGGAGCAAAGGCTTAAAGCCTATTTATTACAAACTAAAAGAAAATAAAAATGAATGGTATCTGTAACTTACGTAAAGTATATAATATTCATTATCGATGAGGTTAGGCTTCAGATCAAATTCTATGAACAAGTCAAGCAACAATCTCCGATTTGCCTCCGCAGCGTGACGATACCACGTGTAATCTGCTTTCGACCATTTATCCTGTCCAAGCATTGGCCATCCACCCAGCTCTTCCAGAAGTTTCGCAAGAGGCTCTAACCCTCTTGCTTCTCTGGCATCTAAAAATACAAACGAATAATAACAACAACAACAAAAACAGCAACAATAATAATAATAATTTTTTTTCAATGGGAAAAATTCTTTCTAACGTTCCAGGAATCAGCGTAATTAATCTTTCATAATCTCGGTTCTCCGGTACCTTGCATAATTTACTCAGAAATTTCGTGGACAAAGTACATAAAAGTTTTATTTAACTTAAAACTCCTATTCGGATATATCAATATAACCATCTTCAAGTTAGTTTCTTCCAATTGGTACTTTTGCCAACGTAGTTTACTTTTTTGGAACCAGTGCTGCAGATACATTAATAGCATATCTTTGAAGAACTTTGTCATTCGGTACTGATGTTTTCATGGTTCCATAACGCTGCTTCTGCAACTAATTTTAATTTCTGAAAGCATTAAGGAGTCACAGTGCAGCCAGATCGAGGGAACATGGTTTAAATTTGAGCATAGCGGTTGAATTACTAACTAGGAATTTCCGGAAAACTAATACTGTGTGTAATAGCGCGTTCTCGCGAAGCTAAATTCATACATGGTCTTTCCGCCGCCTAGATGATATACTGGTTAGGTGAGTCGATGACGATACCGAAGAAGCCGGATTCGAATCCTGGAGAAGGCATGGCATAACTGTCTATCCCTTCATAGGAGGTAACGGTGGCTGCCTCTTAGGTCCCTCCACAATAAAATGGCTACCATTTCCGGCCTTAGGAGTGGCCAGTGTCGAATAAAAGACAATATAGTGTCCACAGTTTGGAAAAATATATATATATGTCGGTTTCGAAAGCTGTAGTCGCAGATGTTTAAAAAATATTCACGTAGTAAGCTGCGTTTAAAAGACTGCCTTTATGGGAGAAATTTTATGGTTCACAATTGCACAAATGTTGAAGAGAAACAAGGAATGTGCTTTCGGTTTTGAATCCTCTTGTTCGAGATACATGTGTTCGCGGTTTTCCTTTCATTTTCTATGCTTTGCCCTGAAACTTCAGTGACAAAGCGCATTTATAAACACAACACGTATTACATGCAATCACCCTATCAGGAAAATCATGATTTGGTCAGTTAACACAATATTTCTTCCATTTCAATATTTGTTTCCTAGTAAAATATTTAGAGAAATCTTTGCCCACAGTTTTTTCACTCGCAATTTCTCAACTAAAACCAAACATTTGAAATATAACTCCTCAATAATAATTCCAACAATTCATGGTCTATCATGCTGCACACAAGATATCTTACGAGCAAGGTTTTCGTCGACGTGTGCAGTTGAAAACCGTGTTGTTCTCACGTCATTAATCGCATCTATTCCATCTTCTCAGAAACGTTTAATCTATTTATCTGAATGCCGCTACAGCTGCACTGTGGGCTTTTTATACACGTGCCTCAATATTTTATAAATTTCGGCTCATTTGTTTCTTAAGTTTAACAAGATATACCATGGTAACTCGTTACACTATTTACAGAGTTCCTCCATATCGACCATGCCAGAAGAAAAAGAGTCAATATTAAGTTTATACTCATCGCACAGAAACAAACCTTGAATTGATGGAAAGAAATATACCGATTTTGCTTCTCATCTTTAAACATCGTGGAAGTTTTCAGTGGTGGGTAAGTCCACGAACTTTCTAGTAAGATTATGTAATCTTCAAGGAAAAGTTTCGACCATGAAGTGTAATGGCTAGGCCAGTCATAAATAAATGTAGATTATGACTAAATGTAGATTGTAGATTATGACTAAATGTAGATTTTGAATGTAGATTATGCATATTATGAGTAAATGTACATTATGAATGTAGAGTATACATATTATGACTAGATATACATTATGAATGTAGATTATGCATATTATGACTAGATGTAGATTATGAATGTAAATTATGTATATTATGACTAAATGTAGATTATGTAACAGAATATAGAGATTTTACGTAGATTATATGGTGTTCAATGTAAAGTTTCCTCAAACAGTCTGATGATTTGGATAATCATAAATAAATGTAGGATGTAGTAATCATGTGCAGAATTAATGTAAGAGCTTCGTAAGACGTGAATATTATGTCTACAGTTCTGGAAAGTTTTAAAAACTAACATAAATAAGGTTGTAAGGATTATGTTAATTTTATTAATAGTTAAATTTTAAGTTCCTTTCCTGTTGATTGTCAACTTCAACTTCCTATTTCCGGCCAGAACTTAGTTTTAGAATCATGTCTGAATACATAATGAGGAGGAGCGGTATTTAAACCGCGAAGTTCTACTGTCTGGGTGAGAGAGTTACCAGGTATTCTGTCTGCAAGCGTCCGCCTTTTTAGGCTTCTCTCTCGTAAGCTATTACGCCGGCCGTACTTAGGCCCATTGATAGCTCGCAGTCATTAGCATTAAGGGCCAATCGGTTAGAATCTGATAGCTTCGGCTATATGTCTTTAGTTTAGAATAGTTTAGTTTACTTCTTAGCCTCTTAAGTTCAAGCCCAAGTGTCGGCTTTTATTGTACACTCCAAGACGGAGTTCTATTAAATCTTATCTGAATAATAAAGGGTTATTTACCCTTCCATCTTGTTGTTTCTTGTGACACGAACTCAAGCGAATATTCGCTTATCAGTTCTTGAGATTCCTCACGTTCAACAGTAACTTAGAATCACACTATGAGGAATCTCACGAGGTTATTGAGAATGTTAATGTAAATAAATTGTGTAAATAAATGCGCCTATACTCATAATATTTTCTTTACAGTTTCTTGCTGAAGATTCTGATTTCGAAAGCTGTGGCAGTAATTGAGAAAATTTTGGACAAAATATCTTTCCATTTGGTACTTTTGGAAGTTTCTAGAACTTCTCAATAAGAATTTTTTCAAAACCATGAAAGTGATGTATGAAACTTTCTGTATAACAAGTAATAACATCCTAATTTGATAATATCCTAATATGATAACTAATTAACTAATAGCTCCTTCCTACAATAATTTATATGAAGTTTGTAAGCAAACCTGAGTTTGTGCTGATGAAATAAAGCATCTTTGTTGTGAGACCTGAATATTGCTTTTGTTTTCTAGCATCCTTGAACCTACTTTGCAAATAAAAGAATCATATTTTAAAATTTACTTAATTTTTACACTAAAGCGTCAAGTGCTTCATAATACAGATTGTGCCACATACATTTTAGATATATATTGTGCCACATACTAACATATAGATGCATAGATCTTTCCCCGCACCGTTCGTCAATGAATAGGGGTGGGTGTTCAAAATATACAATTGATGCATATATCATTATTCGTTTGGGTAACAATGAGATACGATATTTAATTTTATTATCTTTCCATGCTTAGAAAGTATGAACTTTATTTTAAGAAGTACTGTATGTCATTTCCTTTTTCTTTCTTTTTTTTTGGGGGGGGGATATTGGAAACCGTTAAAACTTATGACAGGTTGTCTCAGCTGAAGTCATTGTATCCATAGCAATGTCAATACATTAAATCTCGCGGTATTTTCAGTGGCTCTGCTCATCCCACTTTAACACTAGGGATACTGCAATGATGTTTTGTCGTAGATTGTTCTCCTTCTATACAATGAAACAGACAATCTTTTTTAGAGTTAAGATGGTCTTGATGAATACGTGGCGTCCATTCATTTCAAGCATAAAAGTAGGACATTTCATTATTGTGTCTTTAAAAATTCAGTAGTAAAATGATTGGAAAAGAGGCTGTTTCAAGTAAGTCAGGAGTGTGAAAGCAAATATACTGGATATGAAGGAGGGCAGAAATTTGTTTTATTTCCTAATTCTGAATGTATTTTCAAATATTGAATTTTAAAATATCTCAGAAATGTGATCGAAACTTTTTTAACGCAATCTGTATTACAAAATGTTTATCTGTAAGACTTTCAGGGCATTATTACAAAGGCGGTTAAAACGCACATCTACTGGATTATTCTAATAAAGGGTAATTTTTATAGTTCTAAATTGCTTTAAAAGGCAAAGTTACTACAAACATAAAGACAGTCAGATTATATTTAGTTATGTCTTGCTTTTAACCCTCCGAGCGGCCAGGGTTTTCGCTAAGAAAGCACAAATTTCTGAAATCTACTTTTTTTTTTTTTTACTTTTACACTGCTAAGGAGGACTACTGACCAGGAATAAGTCCTTGCAGAATGATGTCCGCCCTGCAGAAGCCATAACGGCATTTATTAAGTCTACTGCTAAGGAGGACTACTGACCAGGATAAGTCCTTGCAGAATGAGTCCCGACATCAGAAGCACTAACGGCCATTTATTAAGTCTCATAAAAAACAAAATACAGAGTCAAATCTAGCCGGAGGAATACAAGTTCTACAACCAAGAAAGTCTGGTTCAATGCTACTAGTATACATCCCACTTACTTGTCATTATACATTCCTAAACTTGTCATTATACTCCACAGTATTATACTCCTCTGAGAATCAATTGAATTAAATCAGTTTTTGCACCAACTTCAGTGTCTTTTTTCCAGCGGGATAAAATAAACTTTTAATGTTGTGCACGGAAAATTTTATCTTCCTGCCCGTTGGCAAAATGTGTATAATTTAATAAGCCATATAAGGAAGTGATGTAGGGTCCACATCAGACTTTTGTACTTTTATTGCCCAGTTCTAGAAATTAGGTATGGATTAATTGAGATAAAATATTGTTACGAATTTGGTATTTAAAAAGCTAATGTTAGTTCAATTATAAATTAAATGGTTTTATTTCTCGCGCAGTGCAGCGCGTGACGAATATTAAAAGAAAGCTAACCGGAAAATTAAAAATACAAGAGCGCGTGCATTAAATAAATAAATATTCTTTTGATTTCGAGAAAGTACGGAAAATTCTAGCGCGTGATTTAAAATCTTATAAAGGAGGAAAACTCTCATTTGTAGTAGTTGCTTATTTGTTGTTGTTAGAAAATGTTGTTGTTGATGTAGCGAATTCCGGATTAGCGTTCTTTAGCGTTTTGAATTACGTTCTATTGGACATTTGAGTAGTTAAAGATAACTACTGTGAGATATTGTAATACTGCATGATAATTTGAGAAAATTAAGCATTTTTGTTGTGATAATAAAATTTTTGTTCATTTTTCATCGGACTTGTGCATTATTTCATAACGAACCCGTACGCACGCAACAATTTTTGGTTCCAGAAGTGGATTGAATGCCAATAACAAGACGATGGAAGAACAATTGAGGCAAATTAGCTTTCCTGCTTCAAGAAAAGATGGAGGGCCAAAATCTTTTAAAGAAGAGAAAGACTGGGCCGGAATTCAAAAGAAGAAATGAAATTGGGGAATCCGAAATGTTTAAGGGAGATGAAATCTTTCAGGAGAAGGCAGGTCGGAGAAATGAAAAGAAAATACCATAATAGAAAATTTGAGCTATGGAAGGAACAGAATGACGCAGTTGAAATAAAGTTGGACTAATTGAAGAAAGAGTTCTTCGGTAAAAGAAAAGTAGAAGAAAGAATTCTAAAAGAACATATGAAGGAGAGTTTCTGCAGTTCGACAACAAATGATGAGGTTTCTGCAGTTCCAAAAGTGGATACTTTAAAGAAGTCATAGCGACGGAGGGAAAATGATTTTAAATTTTAATGCCTGCTCTTCCGTTCTGAAACTATCTATGATGGGAAGACCTCCTGGCAGGTGTATAGACACAATTTTCTATCGTGCGGATGCGAAGATGGGATTCCCAAGCTAAGGCCTGTCATCTCGCCGCTTTCTGAGAGCCAGACGCAGCGGATATCCTGCAGACGCTTCCCGAAAATCAAAGGCTGATTTCGAAGCTCTATCGCGGCGCTTCGGCGAGAAATTTAAAAGACTACGCAGGCTCCAATTAAAATCTCGTCAACAGAAGCCTACCGAAACACTTCAGGAGCTCGCCGCGGATGTTGAAAGGCTGTCCCATCTCGCCTTTTCGGAATGCCCGACAGAAACAAGGGAAATCCTGTCCTGCAATATTTATCATGGCATCCGGATACTGAATACAGAAAGCACTGCGAATGGCCAGATGTAAAGAATGTAAAAAGCGCTCTGTTACGCCATGAATTGAGGCAGCCCAGCAAGCAACTATAGAGATCGCTACCCAGTCAGAGCTGTGCGAGTCCACCCCAGGGACCAACTGATGGCTCGTTTAGATGATTTATCCAGACAAGTCGATGCTTTGATACGGATAGAGCGTGAAGAAAGTGGCTGTAAATTTGGAGATGTGGTTCTGAAGGTCACCTACGACGGCATTGCAGAACCCCAGGGCAGATAATAAACGAAAGTTGACAAGACCAGTGAATGCTTAAGACGGAATAGTGGTTAAACAAAACCGACCCTAAAAGTGCTGGAATTGCGGTGTTGAGGCCACCTACGAAGGAACTGCAGAACTCCCCAGAGCACGAAATAAGGACAATTTTTAACAGACAATTAAATGCCACGGGAAGAAATGACGACAAGAAACCAAAGTGTGGAACTGACTGAAGGCCAACGAAAGAATTGCAGAAACCCCAGGTAGAAAATTGAGAAATTTCTGAACGACGCAGGAAACAAATTAATGACCATATCAAGGAACGGAGGTTGCCAGATAATGAAAAAACCTGTTTTAAAGCGCTTAAGATTTATAGTGTGGCAACAATAACGGACTGTCCATCATGGGAATATCGATGGAGTTCCTTGCATATGATCATTGACACAGGAGCTAATGTTACCATCATTAGGAAAAAGATTTGCTGAACAGTTTGAAGATAACTTTTTGGGACGCCGCCTGTGTTACCCTTCAGACTGCGTCTGTGACAAGATCGACATAACTGGGAAGTTAACGTAAACATCACTTTGGAAGTGCCGTACCATCACACGGCATATGTGGCGGATATTACAGATCCTGCATACTCGGATTGGACTTTTTAAGGAAATACATTTTTCTTAGATTTCAAAAAACAATAAGCTGCTTTCAGCATCTGATGGCATGATCCATCCTCAGAAGGGATCCTCGCCTGGAAATGTCGACGCCTTGTCCGAAAGACCAGCTCGGAAGCTGCCGAAATCATACTAGGGTCGAAAAGAAACTCAGACTACCAGCTATTCCCATCCAGATGCTCTTCGAGACCTTCGTCTGCCTTGTGACCGCCTGTTTGGTCGCCCTACGGATGCGCCTTCATCGCCTGAGGAACACATCCATGTCCAGCCCGTTTGAAGGATGCACCGTTCCGCACGAAAGCGAGTCAACTTGGCGACGGAGAAAGTGAAGATCAGATCAACCGAGAGCTACTGGACATAGATCCAACAAAGGAGACAAGGTTGGTTGTGGAACCAATTCAACGAAAAAGACTCAGTCCTAAATTACAGTCACTTCGGATGGTCCATATACATGCTGAACACGAATGACGTCGTGGTTCGGATCCGTGAGTCTTCGACTCTTACGACGTTAGCTTATTACTATGGCCATAGTACGTAATGTAAATAATTGTAAATAGTTAAGACATGGTCCTTTTTTTTCAATGTGTTTGATTGATTTGTATTTAGTATTTGTATTTATTGTATTAGTATTTGTTTTGTATTTTAGTATTTGATAGCATTTGATTTGTTTTAGTTATATTGCATTTATTGTTTGTTGTTTGATATTGTAATGTAACGTTTATATGCATTTATGCCACAGTTGTAAGTTTAGCTTCCTGTCCAGGGATTGTACTGCCGGGACGTGCATCCTTGGGAAGGGGGCAGTGTTACGAATTTGGTATTTAAAAAGCTATGTTAGTTCAATTATAAATTAAATGGTTTTATTTCTCGCGCAGTGCAGCGCGTGACGAATATTAAAAGAAGCTAAGCCGGAAAATTAAAATACAAGAGCGCGTGCATTAATAAAATAAATATCTCTTTTTATTTCGAGAAAAGTACTGGAAAATTCTAGCGCGTGATTTTAAAATCTTATAAAAGGAGGAAAACATCTCTTTTGTTGTAGTAGTTGTTTTGTTTGTTGTTTAGAAAAGGCTGCTGTTGTTGATTATAGCGAATTCGCGATTAGCGTTCTTTAGCTGTTTTGAATTACGTTCTATTGTACATTTGAGTAGTTAAAAAGATAACTACTGTGAGATATGTAATACTGCATGATAATTTGAGAAAATTTAAGCATTTTTGTTGTGATAATAATAAATTTTTGTTCATTTTTCATCGGACTTGTGCATTCATTTCATAACGAACCCGTACGCACGCAACAATATTAAAATTTTATTGCACCATAAATTAAGCAAAATTAATAGCTGTTTAAAAGGAAATTAATGAGTCATCTGATGTTAACAATAAACATTAAAATTTGCAACTTACCTCTATTCATGCAGCTACGATAAAATTTTCCAACGTTTTGCACAGCTTTGGGTTCAGTAACATTGAAGGCCTTCTCTCTTATGAGATCTGTAAGACCATCAGATTGCATTAACATTCCTTCAGAAATTTCGGCAAAAAGCATTTTTCATGTTTAAAACAACACAAATGTTTTTCATACAGCATTCCTTTTTACTTATTTATTAAACAAATGGTATCATATTTTAAGAAACCACAATTAAAAACCTTTATTATGAAATATATTTCCTATATCGGTGTTCCGACATTTTATTTCTAGTTTATAATATACGAAAGATAATTTCCACTTTGTGAAAAAAAGTATTTCTTTGACCCAAAAGGAAGATATAAAAATTATTATAGTCCGAAAGTTATCAGAGGAATAGTGTAAAAATTGTAACAATATCTGTAGTAATATACAGGGATTAAGACCTCTCAAATTTTCATTGCCGAATTCCTCGCTGGGAATACATAAAAATAACCAAAGAACTGTACCTTTACGACTCATAGCGTTCGGGGTAAATAAGAAAGAAACGCATGACGTCATATCCGTCACATGGCTTATGGTTTCAACGTGATAAATCTCCAGCGGATTTCAGCGATCTTGTTCGTGATTGGTTGGCTATGAAATACTCAAGCCGCTAGATTGAATGTAGGGTCCGGTTTTATGGCCGCCACGATCGCCAGATTTGCTGCCTTTGGATTTCTTCCTATGCGCAAGTGACTTAGTTGCTTGTTTTCATGCTAAGTGTACTCTGGCGAACATATGCTGCTGCAACCTGTGCAGTCAGCCATGACTCGATATGCGCGGCAGACATTTTGAACATTCCTATGTAAACATATGCAAATACCGATGTTCTGCTCCAGATATAACGTTATACTTTTCTTTTGCATTTATCTCGGAAACTATGCGTCTAACAGATACAATTTTCTGGGCATTTTTTAATGTATTAAAAGCGAGGAATCTGGCTGAGCGGAGTTTTGGCGATCTTGATAGGATGCCCTGTATAATTTGCAATCATCTACATCTGTGGTTTTCAACCTTTTTAGCCGCATGCATTCCTTTCACCACTGCTAGAAGATCATTTTCCTCTGCTTTCGAAAATGTGAAAAATACGTGTATAAGTTCATTTAAATTTAGATTATTTTTTTAACTTATTTTATAAATTAAACAACAAAAAAGCAAAGAAAATACTGATAAATTCCAAATCTTAAATAAAAGTTGTATTTTATATTTTTGACTATAAAAAATACTTAACAGATAAATAAAAAGCTGATTGCATTCCTCCTCTCGCTGAAGCAATAAAATTCCTTCATAGTTGAAAAACCTTGATCTATATATTTCTGTGACATTATTGCATTAACTTTATAAAAAGCATACAAATTTGATGTTTTTCCTAATCGCACGAAGTCAGAATCTAGAAACCACTTCCCAGCCAGAACATCTATAACTTATTATGGCTCCTGCATCAGATTATGGACAGTATTATGGGCAGTGCTATATTATGGACTTATTTCTTCGTAGCAAATGTAGCATTTCTATTAATATATGTATCTACTTTTGAGTTCTATGACTGAATAACTGTAGAAATCAGTACCATACATTTCAGGCTGGCTAGATTATTCCAATTAAAAAAAATGCCGTAACTATATAGACTTTTCTTTATAACTGCTTATATTTTGATAACTCATAATATAAGCAGTTATAAACAAGTCTTCCTTAATAACCTTAGCTTTCAAAACTAAAATTATCGTGAGTACATTGTTGTTTGAAACAAGAAAATCTATTTTGGTAACTTTGCTTTGATATCATGCAAAGATCCTGGCACTTTGGTTTCTGTAACAACGGAAGAAGAGAAATAGTGGTAAAACATGCCTGGCTACAATTCCAGTCTTCTCAATGAAAAGCGAGCATTATTTTCTCGACTCTATAAAAAATCATGATCTGTTAATTTATATGAAGTCTGCTATATTACAGTACTCAGCAAATAAAACCGTATTGTCCTGTACTGTGAATTAGACTGTGCTGATGCTAATGTCAATTAAATTATAATAAGCTTCTAATATCGAATTTTTCGGAGTATAACGCGCACTACATTTTTTTAATTTTAGGTTTATTCGCCGTTTAACGCGCCCCCAATTCTTCACCAATAAATCTAAAAGATACATGTACAACCCTTTGAGGTTATTTATTCGAACATTTGTCCTAGCCTTTTGAATAATGGTGAACTGCACTGACAAGCGATATGGAGACAATATGTGTGTTGGTTAAATGCTTGAGAGAGTAAATATTCAGGCAAAGAGGGTGGATTGTATTCAGTGCAGATGTCCAAAAGAATGTTGTTGTAGAGCACTTCCAACCTGAATGAATTTGTGGAATTAGAAGTTAATTTTTCCATGAAAAACATTTTTCCTTTATGAAGTCTGAAAACCGAAGAAGTCTTTGGAAAAACTTTTGAATTTAAGTCTGAAAACCCGAGTCTAATTTATAGTCTTTTGAAGTGAAAACCGAAGGCTTTAGTAAATGGCATTTACTTTAAATGAAATACAGTTGTTCTAGTACTCCTTTAAGTAGTAAATATGGTTCCCTCGGAAAAAAAAAATCAAACACGATACTAGTGTCAAATGCAAAGCCATTCATTTTTCGAAAGAAAATTGAAATCGTGCTGCAGCAAGGATGTTTGGTGTTGATGAAAGATGGAACGAAAAATGATTATTTATTTATGGATTAAAAAACAATGATAATGAAGATGAAATAAAATTCGATGATAAGCCTGAAGATATAACGGAAGACGAACATGACGAATTCTTCATTTTATTCGATATGAAAATATTTAATTTCATAAGGTATCTGTTTTCTTTTAAATAAGCAGCATTTTGGTGCATGTAAAAATCTAATTTTTTTTTTATTTTTAAGATATCATTTTTATATCCGGCGTATAACGCTCACCCGTAAATTTCCGGTCCTATTTTTTTTTTGTATTAAATGTGCGTGTTATACGCCGGATTATATAGTATGTATTTCAACTGTTAAGATAAAATTATCTGCCAACTGCTTTCTTGTTATGTAGGAGAATAATTTCTAACTGCTAATACGTAACGCTATCTAGTCAAAGATAAATAAAATTTTTACAGAAATCATTATCATAAAAACTAGCGACCTGCTATAATATTTTTAACTTCTTCTTTCCGTATGTCATAAATCATGTAGGACTGTCTTCCTTCTGGAATGGGATTCTTCTCAATCCATCCTCCACATGCATACTGGTAGAAATCAACACAGGGATCTGTTGTTGGGTCTATGTTGGATATCAATCCGTCAGCTGAAATACAGTGTGTCACCCTTTGAACATTATTTAATAAATAAATACAGAGAGATAAACTTTACGTTATTAATTTAGAAGTCAAACAACAAAAACCTTTGGCAGCTGAGGATGAGGGTTCGGTAAAACCACCGAAACTAGTTCTGTGAAAATCTGCAAAACACCGACTCTTGTTGTTTGACTTTTAAATTAATAGCTTAGTCGGCTTGTTATTTCATCTTAAACTTTACATGCTGGTCTGTCAGATCATGGCGAACAAATTTTACATATGAAAATGTTGTCCAAAATCATACTGTGCTGTGCTACAGCAACGTGAACGACACTCAAGAAAAAAGAAAAAAAAAAAAAAAAAAGATAGATTAATATGATTTTATTAAAAAAATATAATGACACAGATTCAGGAAGAAATCATAGTTGCAGAAAATTTTCCAAATTCCTTCCATCCTCTGACATTCTGGGCACCCTCGTATATTTGTAGTTCATGAATTATTAATAGAAGCATGTTTAAATGCTCAGAAAAAAATATATATATATAATTTTGCAAGTAGAAGTGATAGACGATAAAACCTATTCAACAGGTGGAGTGTAAGGTTTTAGTAAATTTAAGTAGTTTCTGTTTTAACTCCTCAAATTTTAAAATACTTCTTTGATTTTAATCTCTTTAGTTATCACAGACACAGGTACAAATTAGGCCATCACTTCTATAGTAGTACAGGTGATGGAGGTGTTACTAACCCAAGGTAACGGTTAAGCTTCCGACCCAGTTTTGAAGGTTAGGTTGTTTAATTACGGCAAAGCCTCGAGGGCTACCTGCCTAAGGGAAGGGATGCCTTCGTGGAGGTCTTTCTAAGAGAAACTGGATCGTATACACGTTACACAAGAGGAAAAACACGAAAACACCCGTGCAGCCAGCCCGTTTGCGGGATTCGAACTTTTACCGCTCGGCCGCTGGTGGGCCCCCTAATTTTAAAGGAGAACACCCCATCAAGAAAGGTGGCCTGATGATCTCCCATCCCTGTTCCTTCTACAATGAACATCTCGACAGAACTTTCGGATAGTCGGGTTTTTTTAGTATCCCTTGCCGCATAGACACCATATGCTCACCTACCTATATGCCTGCTTAGAGATTCGAACGGGGACCGACCGGTATGGTAGTTAGCGTCACTAATCATTGTAACGGCTGGGCGGTGTCTGATCATCAGAAGATACACTTTTATGTGATATTTGTAGCAGGCTTTTGCTACCCTTATATAAAATAGCATATAGAATCTGGCAAAAATATGCATTGCGTGTGTCAGCGTATAAATTTATTTGCATTTCTAGACTCTGATTCCTGAGGTTTATTTAAACTTCTAAACAGCAGCTTTGAATCTCTAGTGGCAAAGAAAGCCGACCTGGTGAGAGTTTGTTAGTTATAACAATCATCTTTCTACGTCTGAGATTTGTTTCTAGAGCTTGGAGTTACTTTTACTGATGTGCAATGACTCAGAGATACTTACCTAGTAGTGCTTAGCGCCCTTTTTTCCTCTTACGACATTTGTATTGCGATAGCGTTTCATAGGATCCATAAAAATAACGGATTCGTTGGTGAGATGCAATGGTCATACATCTGTTGCGTAATCTTCCGTAATTCGTTAAGTTTGACCAGACAAGGTCCAGTGCCGCATATTTCTTTCAATACCATCCCATATATTTATTAGTATTGAGGTTCAGTGACCAATTTAAGCACTCTTATTTCCATAGAATGCCCCTCGAACTGTTCGATGATTCGGGAATATTCGATTCGGGAATTATGGGTCTATGAATTCATCTTATAGGTATAGACACACTAAAGAGTTTTATACAGTGGATGGACAAAAATATGGAAACACCTTGTGAAATGCATGTTTGAAAAGAAAGATTGATTTTAATGAAATATGTAGGTGGCGCTGGCATTTTTGACTACTGACGCCACCTATACAACTTCGTAAATGTGCTAAACAGTTCAGTTGTTGTCGGAGTACTGTTATGTGAGGTTGTCATTGCATTATGTCAGAGTTAACAGACTTCGAACGTGGGCAAATTGTTGGAGCACGTATGGTAGGTGCTTTCGAAGCAAGGTAGCCGAGGTGTTTAGTTTCAAGAGGTACTGTATCGAAGATTTATTCCGCATATTTGAAAAGCGGAAAAACATCATCAGCTAAATCACAGCGCGGACGAAAGTGTGTCCTGAGTGATCGTGACAGACGATCATTAAGGGCAATTGTGACGAAAAATAAGAAGACCACAGCTGCAAAAGTTACTGCTGAATGAATGTCGTGTTACCGAAGCCTGCGAGTACCAAAACAATTAGAAGGGAGCTTTCAAACGGAATTGCTGGCCGTGCTGCAATTGAGAAGCCACTCATCAGTGATGCTAATGCCCGTAACAGGAAAAGGTGGTGTTTAAGTCATAAAGCCTGGACTATAGAGCAGTGGAAGCGAGTAATATGGTCTGACGAGTCTTCTTTCACATTTTCCCACTTCTGGCCGAGTTTACGTCTTATTTTCATAGAATGCTCCTGTTCGATGATTCGAGAATATTCGATTCGGGAATTATGGGTCTATGAATTCATCTTATAGGTATAGACACACTAAAGAGTTTTATAGTAGGCAGATTAATGAATACACATGACCTGACAGCACGCTTTTGTGTCATTCCCTGGAAAGGCCAATTGTAAATTTATCGGACGATCGTTTCTTCCTAACTGAACCTGTCTACATGAAACAACAATTCTATTCTCTTAACCCTTCTGGGAAAACAGAGTCATCGCTTAAGAGACCTTGGGACATACATTTGTACCCTGTCATCGGCATATTGGTACCTAGATTCTTTAGCGCTTTGAAGACGATGACCGAAAAATAGATCAAATTTGCAGTGTCTCAAAAAGACAGAAATGTCGGCTAGAGAAATTCTGCCCCCACCTACAGATCAAGTTTCAGGGATAGTCATTGACAATAACCTTCTCTGCCCATTGTCCGTGAGATGGTCGCTTTGTCGCGATGTCCAGTATCTTTGAGATTCGCGATACTCACCACCTATATGTTTCATAAATCCCCTTCCGTTTTTCCTCAACAGTGGATTGTTAGCTTGGGGCAAAATATTTTCAGTGTGTTTCGTTTAATTCACTTACTTTTATAGAATGCTGCACTATTACTGCCATATAGAAGATGCAAAATGCATTGCAATACAATGAAGATATAATTAATATTCTTTTATCTAAAGGATAATATTAAAAAGAAAACACACATTAAAAAAGAAACGAGGAAAGCTATTATCACAAAAGTACTAAAAGAAAAATGAACAATGATCTAGTTTAAATCATGAAATATTTACTATAACACAAATGGAAAAAATCAGTAAAATGTTTTTTTAAACTAAAAATATTAAAAAGAATACTGAAATTTAAAAAAAAATGCCAATATTACAGAAATGCAAAGGGATTTGGTGAATATATATATGTGTATAAAGCTAGCATGTTTACTCAATCATTATAACATAATGAATGTGGACTGCCGATTTGTGCAAGAAACAAATGGTCAAAAATTATTTTCTTGTACAAATAAAAAATGTTAACCTATATATGTAATTTTAAACTATATTCACTTCAACAATTACTTCAGCAACGAAATAGCAACTCCACAGGTTTCCCTAGTTTAGGAAAAAGCGTCAGCAGAAAATAGAAAAAAAAAATTCATTTGTATTTCCTAGTCTCTTATCTGAAAATTAGCCCTTAAATCTGACCCTTAAAGGAAAGATTTCAAAAGTCTGTGGTAGTTCCCTTTGCAGTCCAAGCTGAAAGGAAAGTGGATTCCTGTTTTCATCCTTTTAAGTGAACCTTTCTATATTTTACTACCTTTTAAAGGTTAATGCAGGTGACTTTCTTCCATGCTTTTCGAAGATCCAATGACGGTTTTTTTTCCCATGTTAATGTTTGTAACTTGAGTCATGCGGTAAAGAGGCCTTGTGAGATTACTGCAATATCTTTAAGTGCTTTGGTTATTGTTATGCTTTGGTTATTGTTATTGTCTCTACGTAGAAAACGCTACGGTGGTAGCTGAGATGATCTTTCCATTGGTATATGATAGTATTTTCATGATTCCGAAAGAAAAGTAGGCTTGAGACTCCTTTGTTAACGCTTGAGACTTCCATTACGCAGTTTACAGAAGATCAGTTTCATAGACATGTATTAGTCTCATGTGTATGTTTACTGCTTGATCTGTCATTGTTGGATAGGTAATGAATTTGTGGGGTTGGACGTTTGAAGAGATCCGGAAACAGTCTGTCGTCACCAAAGGTATTCAGCTGCGTGAATTTCTTGTATACGCTTTCAGGATACTCAGATTAAAGGAAAATATGCCTTCATAGAGACCTTTCTAAGTAAAATTAAATTATAATCCTGTTGCACATGAAGAAAAACACGGAAACGCTCATAAAACCATTCTGTTTAACTTGATTCGAACCCATTGCAGGAATCTGAAAGATAAAATTGTCCTGTTTTTGTTTATAAGCGGAATAAACCTTTCTTGTTTTCTTTCAAATCTTCGTCAATAGTTTTACACTCAGTCTTTTTGAGGATTTACTTCTACATTCAGTGAGGTAATCGGAAATATTTTGCATTCATTGTAAAGCTTTTCGTAATTGCCGTTCTTTCAAGACACTGAATGTCTATCTTTCTTAGCTTCATCTCATAATATTCGTCCACCAGTTTCGAAACGATACTTATTCACTGAAAAATTTAAATAGTGTACCACTTAATCTCTTTAGATTTCAAACCATTCAAACCAAACAATTCCAATATTAATTTCATATCAAAGATGCCTATTATCAATTTTGAAGCATACCTTTATTGCTTCACATAATTTATTTTTTTTTTGAATCCAAGCAACAGATGTCGGTTACTTAAAATTAGGCAATGATTTCCAATTAAAAGTTCTATAATTAGACGATATTTCATGAGCGTAAGTTAAAGATGCATAAGTAGTCGTTGTTGTTAGATGTATTTGATAACTACGCGTGGATTGGTTGAAAACATCTGTTCTCTAAATTTTATAGAAGCGCTGCGCATTTCTTATGTTCTTGGCCTAAAAATTTATCAAAATTTCTTAGCAAAATATCACATCTTAAAGTAGAAAACTGTTGTATTACATTCAGACAAATAAAGTATCGAAGCAGCAAAGTGTTAAATTATATAGTAAAACAAAAACTGTTTACCTGTCTCTTTACAAGCATCAGTTTCACAAATTTGATCTTCTTCTACGTAAATATTTTCCCGCTGTGATAACATAGCTGAAAGCAATATTAGATACAAAGTTAAAAATATTAAATATCATTATTCATTTTATTGCAGAAAATGTTACTAGCCTATGATCTATGTTACTACTCGATGAAATGATATAGATAATTATAACATATAAAATGATAATATGCATAATAGGTTAATATTCTAGCCTGAAATCATGTAATTAAGACTTTTTTTGTAATCGAAAACTTTGAATTCTTAGGTTGGTCATGTCTTTTGTTACGTCATCGATAAAAGCTTTCTGTCGATTTTAAAACAATTCCCTAGAATTTGGAAACTTTTTAAGTTTCACAAAATAATTTTCACTAGATCACCTTACAAAATACACGCAGATTTTTAAGTGAATACATTTGGAGACGTAATTTCCCATAGCAGATATGCAATTCAATCTCGATAAAACTACATTCTAGTCTAATTCAGCAAAGTAGTTCTAATTGAAGTTCCAAGTGTCGCTGCAAGCCGAGATTATTGTAAAATTTCGCGCATGGTATTCCAGCTGTCATCAATTTGATGCCTAAAATGGCGCTTCAGGTAGAGGAATGCATGACTGTGGATCCAGAAGACAGCACTGAATGTGTAGGGGGGGGAGTGCGACCGGTTGTCACGTAAGTAGGAAAGGCATCTGATAAGTCAAGGCGTATCCAAAGCAGAGGATTTAGTAAAGTACATCAAAATATTTCTTAATCATAAAAACAATTCGTTGGTCACGTGATGAGAGTCCCCAGAATTAAAAATTTCTCTAGTAGTCCCTCATAAAGAAATAATTGCAGTTTTAAAACACAGATATACGTAAGTAAGCAGGTAAGAACACAGTGAGATGCAGAATAAGTAGAGAATAAATGCATATGCACACAGTGCTGAAATTTTTGAAATCGATTTAAAAAATGGCAAAGTAACAAATCACGTTCACCCACATATTCACATTCACTGTCGTTTAGAATCTAACTGAAGTGACAGAGATTTCAACTTAAATATTGGTTTCTACCTCATTTACATAAAACGCAATTTTGAAAATTTATTCTGGTAGGGAATCGTCGGTGGGAAATAAAGAAGTAAAGGAAAGCATTTTCAAAAATAAAAATAACTATTAAGAAAATAAAATTAGCCCCTACATTGTAATAAAACAGGAGAAGCAAACCGCTTTATTTAAGAGATGCTTGCAATGTCAAAGGCTTAAGTTTTTTTCCCATTGTATAGTGAATCAATAACAATTCTGCCATTATTAAAGTAATAGATACATGTTTTCGAATAAAAGCTTGAAATACGCCAGATGTGTTTTACTGACATATTTTTGTTCCTTTCTTTTCAGGAAATATTTTATCGGTAACATTAATAGCAAGAAAAATTAAGCAATAATTGATAACAACTTAATTGAAGGCTGAGTTCTCAAAAGAAATACCTTTAATTGTAATGTAGTTTTTCGTTAATGGACAGTAGAAATTGATACGTTAGACATCATACACCACGCAAAAATCGATATTTTTACTTTTATGCGGAAAATTAATGGATTTATTTTGTAAACGCTATGTGAAATAACTAATAGTTATCGATCATGAAAGAAATATATGTGTTATAGGCCTTAGAGCTTTCGGTTTTGTTATTGTTCCTTTGCACCAGACGAATAGCGGATGAAAGCCATATATTATGCTTATTTAATTACATTTGTTTGTGTTGCCATAGTAAAATTACAAATGATTAGTTATTGAACAAAATTTTGACAAAATATGATATATAGTATTTTTAGAAGAGATGCTAGATTCTATACATTCTCGAATCCAAATCTTAAAATATTCTTGAATGTCTTGAATCTTAACGTCTCGAGTATAATAATAAAACTTACTTAATTTTTGAGGGTTTTAATTGGAATAAAATTTGAAATCTTCGTTTAATGAAAAATATATTAGGAACGTAATTTTTAAAAATACAGCTATATTTATTAAGGCAATACAAAAGAAATTATATAATTAAAACTTTTGAATCTTGAAGTTTATTATAAAAATATAATTTGACAAAAAGTATTTGAACAGCAGTTGAAAAGTTCACTTTTATTCAAATATTTTTATTTCACTGTTAAATTCAAATTTCTTTAAATCCTAGAGTAGAAGGTATAAGATTAATATAAGAATTAGTATACATAGGGTGACTCTGAACAAGTAGGCAAAACTTTAGGGGATGATAGAAAGCAGCTATACGAGCAATCTTCGTCATAGAATGTATGGTCGGAACGCAAACGGCGAGCCACTAGGTGGCACTGTAAATAAGTGGTATTAAAAAGGGTCGGTCGACGCACCCAGCGGCATTTTCTATCTTGGACTGCCAAAACGATTGCTGATTATACGTACCACGAAGTTTCCAGGGCGATGGCTTGGTCGAGGTGATCCCATAGCTTGGCCACCAAGATCACCGGATCTCTAGTGTTTAGACTCTTTCCTGTGGCGCCATATGAAAAGCCTAATCTACGAATGCCCCATAGAAACCAATATGTATCTAGTCGCCAGGATCACCGTTGTTGCCGGCGGTATTCGGGAAATGCCTGGTGTCTTCGCAAGTCTGCGTCAACCCATATCCCGCAGGTGTGAAGCCTGCATTACAGCTGGCGGAAGTCTTTGGGGAAATTTCTACGAGCATGTGCAGTTAATAAAATATTTTCTGAAGTATCTCCTCTCATTCTCTAGTTAATTCTTAAATGTGACGGTGGAAAACTACCCTTTAACATGCCACCGCTTGCATTCCGACCATGCATTCTATGACGAATATTGCTCGTATAGCTCTTTTCTGTCACCCCCTAAAGTTTTGCCTACTTGATCAAATTCTTCCTGTATAAACACCGAACGTGGGATTTTGACTGACCTTCGGGAAATTGATGAAAATGCAAGGTTTCACAATGCGATATTGGTAAAATGGCAAACTCTTAAAATAAATAAATAAATAAAGGGAGGGGACTCAATAAAGCCATTTTCTGTACTTTTGAGTTAAAATATTTATTTTTTTTTATTATAAACATAAATTCAAATGATGGAAAAAATTTCGAATATTTAAGTTTTTGAATCTTGAATCCTTTTCAAAGATTCGAATAAACCGTATTTATTTAAGTTCCATTTCATTATTATTTTAGTAGAATTGTATACGTTCATAATTCGTACGCATATTTGCCTAAAACAGTGCTCTCCAGATTTATATATTCATTTAAGAGCGATGATAAAGGAGCAGAAAAATTTCCAAGCAAATTTAGATACAGTTTATTAATATTAGCACATGAAAAGCACAGCATATTGTCCATTACTGTCTCACTGCAGGAACAATACACTGCGTCTAAGTGGGTCAATGTAAGTTGCTTTCGTTTCCGAAGATAAAATTATTATAGAATTTTGTTGATATCAGTTAATTTCACTACAGACACAGTAGTTTATGCATAATAAACTTTTGCTATAATTTTTCTGTTCAATTTCTTGAGTTTGTGTCTATCTAAGAACCATGCTTCAAACCAAAAAAAAAAAAAAAAAAAATGTGAAACCAAGTATCATGCACAGCTATTAATTAACGCATTTTTTTTTCTTACTTCATTAAAACTTAAACTAATCTCGATTATCTAACTTCATTAACACCAGGCAAGTGAAATGACATCAAAAATTGCAAATACTGAAATTACATATCGCGGTCTATTTTGTTTGAACGGGAGTGAAATTCCTTTTAATTTTTTTTTTCATTGCGAGTGTTAACTTTTTCAAACACAGGTATAGGAACCGGAAGAGCGCATTAAAAGTTAGATTTGGTTATTTGTCGGAAATATTTTTTTTTTGATTTGACATTGCCAAAACATGAACACTTTTGTCATTTAAAACACTTCTATGATTGGAACTGTATAACTACTACCAGTGTTTATGTGAGTATCGTTTGCTTCATTTTATTGTTGCAAACAGCGTAAATTTCTTTTGCTTTTCTTCCTTTAGTTTTGAACTTTATGTGTGGCAACAAGATAATTGATTTGATAGAATTGCGTTTGTGACAGCCATGTAGAATGGCTCGCTTATTTTGTATCAAATATTTCGCATCGCTGACATCTTATTTATAATTAGTGTAATGAAATAAAAGTGAAGGAATACAGTCCATGTGTTATTATTGTTTGTGAAACATATTAAGTAAAGAAAATTTATTAACCAGCTATTGCGAATATAAAGCCGGGTAAGAACTACTAAGCGGAAGGTTATAGTTTTGGTATAGCTGGTTACAATAAAAATGGGAGGTGCACAACTAATGTGAACAGGTGTTGTATAAATTTCAACATGTATAAAATTTCAACGTTCTACGCCTAATTGTTTTTGAGTTATGCCAGTTATATGTTTTTGAGTTATTACGTACAGACATCAAGATAAAATCAGTTTTGAATCCATTTTAAATCCATTCTACATCCGTTTGGGAAAATGAGTTTTTTATTCTATCCATACCTAAAGAATTCACTTAAAAATGTAATCCAAATGAATTCGGCCCACCAGAGGCTGAGCTATAAATTCGCTGAATACTAGTAATTCGATCCAAGGTTCAAATCCTGCGAACGGGCTAGCTGCATCGGCATTTTCGTACTTCTCTCCATGTCTAACGTGACTACGATCCAGTTTCTTTCAGAAAGTTCTCCACGAAGGCATCCCTCCTTAGGCACATAGCCCTCGAGGCTTTACCCTAAACACCTAAACCTAACTAAACGAATCCAAATGGATTCGGGAACGGTCAAAATGCGTATTCCCGTCTAAATATGATACCCGAAATTTTTCGCGATAGCAATACTCTCTTTACTTCGTACGAGGAAGTAATATATTAGGCTATTCAGACATCATTATCGTTTGCATCTTATAGATTTGTGAAGGCCGTAAGAGACGTAATAAATGACGTAATAATGGAGCAAGAGACGTAATAAATGTGCGATGCCATCGCCGAGACTCTAACACCGGACATTCCAATTGCTAGACGGACATGCTTTCCAATTACACCACGAAGGCATTCGATAAAGAGGGAGAAAAAACTTACACAATAATCTAATTATCTTCTATTTTCAATCTCTTCTTGTAATAGATAAGATATTAAAACAAAATCAGATTAGTACTGATTTTTATTTAATTTATCCTGTCCATTATTTAAAAATCTTTTATTAGTTTAGTGTTACCATATTTCCTCAAGTATTTCTTCCCTAGCTTTTTATAGCCAGTTTCTGAAAACTTTAAAAAATTTCGCTTAATTTTCCCCTTCCTCATTGCGTTCAAAGAACGAAAGCCCCTAAATTTTAAAAAAGGATTCTTCCATGTAGTGATTGTTTTCATCTTACTAACGAAGAAAAACGCTCGAAAACTACCAGCGAAAGTCAATGTCGAATCTTTTTCTTCTAACTGTTGAACTTTATTCCAGCCTGATACAAGAACCGCGCAATCGAAGCGAAGCATATACAAGCTGACATTCAGCCTACGATTTCGCTAGATCGGCTGCACATTCACCTTTTCAAATTACTTATGGATAATTTGAGACCTAAGGAGTAGCACAGACCACAATAAGAATGGGCAATATTCAAGTTACAGAGAAGTAGAAATGAAGATATCTTATTACGTGTTGTAATGTAATTATTTCTATGCATTCTTTTTGAAATGTAGGTTTCTTTTAACGGAAGAATATTGCAAGAGTTGTCTATAGTTTATTCATGACTAAATTTTATTATGGTCATACTGTACGATTTTAGGACGGTAAAGGTAGTAAAAAAGAGAGGGAAAATATGATACGTTTGTTTAAATAAAATAAAGTAAACAAATAAAATAAAGTAAAAAACTTGAAAAATGAAATCTGCCGCAATGAAGTATCTCAATCCGAAAAATATTTATCTTATTATTTTACTACTAAATTGTTAAATTGCTTTACAATCATTTATATGTGAGACATTATTCTATTGTTTTTATCGTTAATAAAGGATCCTAACTGTACCAAATCCGACCGTAATCTTTTCCGAGGAATTTATGTTTTGTTGTCGTAACTTGGATATAATAATAAATTAATACAAAGTAATACATTAATTAATACAATCATAATTACTACGCATCAGCTTTTAACAGGACGCTTGATCCACATTAAAGGTAATTACTATAATTTCTAAATGGCTTAAAATCCAGTTAAATGGCAAACTATATCTTTTACAGACTTACCTTTCCATCTATCCGACAATATGCAAAGGGCTGCCAGAAATACCATTAGGAAAACAGATAGAAGACAAAGCGCGTAGCATAACAATTTTTCTTGTAAGGTTTTTGGACGACGGAAGATACTAGAAGGAAGAAAAAAAGATAATTAGCAGATATTAATTAATTTTGAGATTTTTATATTTATATTTAAGAGGAATTGGTACCCCCAAATCGATGAAATTACTTTTTTTTAGGTTAATTTTTGCTTAAAATATACCTTAATAATCTTACTGTACTGAGAAGAAATTTTGAAACAATCTGATGCTAATAAATGGTGTAAAAAGGCTTTTAAAATTTTTGACACCCTTTAAATGCCACAAAGACCTCTGTATTCATTTTCTTTTATTTTTTAATTGTTTCGGTTATTAAAAATCCGCGTAGAAGAGAAATGTAATTAGATGTGACCACAACTATCGGCAAATTCTGCTTATATGTATAAACTAATTTACTTTAAATACTATGTAAAAATCGAAAAAATGTTTCTTCACCTTTTTAACCGGCGAGTTTTTTTTATTTCCTTGTACAAGTAAAAAGGAAGTATTGTAGTCGCGAAAAATTTCGGGTATCACATTTCAAAGAAAATATCGATTTTGACCGCTGTCCAATGCAATTTAATGCTGTTTTTATGCGACATCCGCAAGTAAGGACAGAATAAAGAACTCTTTTTCCCCCAAAAAATTATAAAAACTGATTTAAAATTAATTCAAAAGAGAATTTTTCGTGGCGTCTGTGCGTACGTACGTACGTGTCTCGCATAACTCAAAAACGAGTAGCCTCAGAACGTTGAAATTTTGTATGTAGGACTGCTATAACATGTAGATGTGCACCTCGTATTTTGGTTGCACTCAGCCGCATCAAAAGTATATAAATATATTGTAGAGACATTAGGATTTTTTTTGGAAGCGAGAGAGATTGAAAAATGTGCAACGCCTTCTCCGGGAATCGAACCGCGGGCCTCTGGAATACCGGCCCAGCGTGCAGAATTACTTCACCACGAAGGCACGCTAGGAAAGAGGGAGAAATACCTTATATACTCTCCCTTTTAAAGGGCAACTGGGGTTTTTAGGGGATCCAATCGCCAAATCCTGAGTGTGGAGAGTCATCATCCAGAACCCTTTTTATTAGTTCGGGCGCCACTGTAGAGCCATTAGGAATTTTTGGAAACAAGACAGACGGAAAAATATGCAACTTCTTCCCCGGGAATCGAACCACGAACCTCTGGAATACCGGCCCAGCGTGCAGAACCACTACAACCACGAAGGCACGCTAGAAAAGCGGGAGAAATACCTTAAAATATAATTATATTTATTATTATATTTATTATAATATGTATATATATATCCACTCTGTTACTCGGCTCAATGAACTCAGTTTCTTTATTCTTATATGATTGTAAACTGTGCAATTTTTGCTTTAAAAATGATTGAATTATGTTGATCTTCCAGTTAAAGTTTTTATGCCTTTAGTAAATCTGCATGCAATATTTGTGGAGTTATCAACAACTTAAAAGTTGTTTAAGTGAAGCTAAGCCTAATGAATTTTGCGATGGCGGACATGTTTGTTTACATTCCAAAGTTAGAAAAATAGCGGATTTGTTGCCAATCTAGAGAAACTAAGCTTCGCAATAACAAAGATAACACTTTCTTTTATTATTGCGAATTAAATCATGCTTAATCCATTCTGGAATTTATTGGAGGAATTTGAAGTTTACTTCGTAATTTTTAATATAGATAGTTTGAATTTTTATGTATTTTTGCCTTGTCGGGAAGTGAGGTAGCGTTAAGTGAAGCTAGCGCCAGAGTGTCGCTATGGTAAACAAATCTAGTGAATTTTAAAAAAGAGTGCATTTATTCTATTGTGGTTTATGCGCTATTAACGGAATAGATTTAATTCAATCCAGTAAGTTTTAATGAAATGCAAGAAGAAATGCGTATACTTTAATATTCCGTGCAAGTAAGTCATGTGGTGTACACATCAGTTTTTTTTTTCCTTTTTATACTCAGCTCAGCAAATATTTCTATGTGAATTGTCGGTCAATTTACTTACGCTTTTTCAAAAATTTAAAATATTTATGACAAAACATGAACAGAAAGAGATAGTGTAATGAAAGCGATCAAGTTCATTATAGTACTGGGCAATGTGGACGTCTAGCACACTCAAAAACAGAGTAGCCCTTGGTAAAATAGAGAAAATCTCAAGACACTGCTTAAGCAGAAACAATCGTGAATAACATTACTTTTCAAATTTTCAGAATTTAAAACAGATAACCAGAATAACGCTTGGTGCCTGTTATCAAATTATAGAAACTGTTATTAGTATGTAATATTCAACTTTGTTACTTTGAAGTTTTCCCCGCCGTGATGGTATATAATTCCGTTTAGTTCACGTCTGTGATCGGAAGCCATTATAACGGTGCACTCACTCACTCATTCACTCCAATTCCAGAAAACGGAGTAGTAGCTGTTTTACAGTTCACGGAGGGATCACATTGGAAGCATGCCAAGAATAGAAATCTGTTACTCCTTCACAAACTGATTCATGTTACTGAGCGAACGAAAGTCTGATTGTCGAAAATATGTCGACGCTCTTTCTGGAAGAGTATTAGGAAAGGTCGATTTCAATTTTAGGAGAAAAACGAATGTTTATCTCTCCATATTAAAAGTAAGTTTAATTTTTTTCATTTTACAGCTTTCTGAAAATTGTTTATTGTAGAATTATTCTATTATTTTATTCTAGAATTATAATTTTGTGCAGAAAGGAGGTTTTAGAGAATCTTAAAACTACAGATATTTTAGGGAGTTAATGTTTGATTGAGATGTTTCCGATCTCACTTCTCGTACGATTCTTTTCGCTTTTTCTTCGTACCAATCTCGCTAACAAATTCCAATCCCATTCCTCGTTCGATTTTTTTCGCTCTTCGCTCCATCCTCGCTAAACGCTCTTGATTCACCGATTGCTCCGAATTTTTTCATCAAGGTTAATGTTAGGGAGCCATGAACCATAAAAGAGAATTGATTTATTTCAATGAGCGAAATGTTCTGATCCATTCCTATAAAAAGCGGTTTTGCTCATCTCTAATAGGGAAACAGACGCTATAAATGGAGGCATAGACATTTAAATATACTGGCAAGCTGAAAGTCCTTTTGAATTGGTGGCAGGAGAAGAGGTTTAGGATATCCTCGGATCCGTTTTCCCGGGGTCGTTCGTCGTAATGAGACGGCTATTGCAGACCAGTGCATTTATTTGCAAATTTGCTACTATTAGAAAATGTAACTTATTTCATTAATAATGCTTTCCTGCATTAAAAGAGTGTCATCGTGGAGAAAAACACAACCTTATTTCTCAAAAAAGTAAGCCATGTATTATTTTAAAAGCCAATTTCGTATTATGCGCGATCAAAATAAAGAACAATACACATACTTGTGTATATTTTGTTCGATTCAGACCACGTTTTCTAAGAAACTCAGCAAGAACATGTTTACTTTGCACACGCAGAGTGGCCTATAAAATTATAGCCCGCTTCCGAGGATAATATGACAAAATGGCTATGTCTATTGGACGCAATGTGTACAGAAGATGTGAACAGTTAAATGAAACTAAGAGACAGCTTTTTGGTGACACCGAGTCACAGGGCAGACGGCACTATGCAAACCGAGTGCGAGGCGCTGCAACCTCCTCCAAAGAGCGTGTAGTAGGTACTGCAGGGAGATTAATATTTTGTGGGCCAACCTATACATCATTTTTAAAAAAATTTACTTTGTGGAAGTCTAAGCAAAGGACAAGTCGCAGTGTTCGGTTTATGAAAATGAGAAATGCTTACCAATGTGTCAATCTACGTTCTCTTCCAGGTACAGTGATTGGGACGGTAGAAGAATTGGCACTCCAAGATAAATTTTGAATCCTGAAATAAAATAATGTAAAATGTATTTATAACAGAATGGTGTCATTTGAAAAATTCTATAATTTTCTAGCAACTTTGCGATTTTTTTTTTTTTTTTTTTTTTTTACTGTTTATAGACTTTACCTATGGTAATAAGCAAATATCGCTGCTTAAGATTATCAAGTTTAGGGTATATTTTCATTGTATTAAAGTAAATTATCAGTTTGTGATTGATGACTGGAAAATAAAAACAGTTGTCTTCAAACTAACACTATCAATGAACCAGAAAATTTTTCTTTTATACAGATCTTTTTTGTATTAAGCTGTTACTCGTGCATAAGTTTCCCTTTGTTTCCTACGGATTTCAGTTCTCGAAAAGTTATTCAGCTTAATTTTTCATTTTATCCAAACGTCAATATTTGTTTTCTAAGGAAAACAGACAGTGAACCAAACTTTAAGTATTGCGTAATAGAGAAACATGCGTGATTCAGGAAAATGGAAGCATTAAGTTTACTGCTACGTCTACGTCAAGATATATTAATGGAGTATATTGATCCTGTGATGTCACTGAACTATGCCATTCGATACTAACAGTAAACTTTACAAAAGAAGGATTTGGATTATTTCAGTTTATTTAGACGAACCTTTTTTTTTAAATTATTATTTCTAATATTCCTCTGTTAAATGTTAATTTTCGTAACATGGTTTCGAATATTGCATTGCTGTTGCCGAAACCCACATGCAAACAACGTGGCTTCAGCGATATTTTTATTATGTAAGTCTTCCATAGCAATATTTTTCATGTTTCCTCTTCAAACTCTCTAACATTTCTTTTCTAAATACTGTGCTTATCTTTTAAAAATCCCGTATTTAAAAAGAAATTTTCTTCGCTAGAGATTTGAAATTACTGACATTTAAAGATGAGTGTTTTAGAAACAACTATAAATACTAAACGAGAGTCAAAAATACCGTAACATGTTTTTAAAAATATAATTTTACGCATAAGCCATCATAAATCATCTCACATTTCAGTCCTGTTCTGAAGTGATATCGGAAAAATTGTACAAGCAATGCTAGTACAGACGTCAGTCAAATTCTTAAAATGGTAATAAATACCGATTGTGCTTCACATTTAATATGAGCCTGGGTTAATGGGAAGAACGAGGTTAGAATAAATAGATTAAGCCTTCTGAATATGTTCCGTGCAATGAAAATGAAGCCAGGAAAAATCACGATATGACGTTACGACTTATCACGGCCACTGAGTCTAACTTCTGGTTGGTTTTGTTTACATTCTAATCGGTGTACATCATAGAACGTTTATAAGTCTAGCGGTCTAATTTTAATACTTAATACAAATTAATATTTACATAGTATATAGTATTTATTATAGATTATTACATAGCATATAGGTTAAAGTTAAAACATTTGCAGTCACAAAGACTGCAAATGTTTCAAATTTAATCTAGGTATATGAAAATGCGTAAATGGTAACTATAAGATAAATGTATACATGATAAAACCTGGAAGACAAGTTTTATGAAAATTATAGCTAACGCCGTTTTCAAGAGCCTGCGGATGTTGATATTTGCTCTAAAAATCAGTGCAATTTTATTTAACAAGATGCTTCGAGGCTTAACCGTACGCTTTATGGTGGCCATGATAAGTAGTGACGTCATCTTGTTGACATTTTCTTGGCTTCACTTTAGTGACGTCCTGCCTACTCCACCTATTTTAGCCTCCTTGACGGGAAGTATGGAGAATAAAATAAGTATTTAGATAATGAAAGCACTCAAGTAACAAAAATATAAAATGGGCATTTCTAATTATTCTGTTAATTCAGTCGCTAAAAGATTTTTAAATAAATCTCGCAACGGTTAGAATATAGAAAGGGGATTTTTAAAGTATGTAAGATTTAAGTAATCAATAAATGACAATCATAAAATTATAAAAAATTTCTCTGGGTTAATTTTAATATTTTTTTTTCTATTTAAATTTTATCTCTATTTTGAAACGCTTATTTATGAGGTGATTTTTTTATTTGTCACCAATATTGCTGTTGGCAATGGAAGAAGGATTTGGATTATTTCATTATGGCAGAACAACACGAGAGGTAGCTACCTAAAGGAAGGATTATTTTATTTATGCGAGTACGGTAAAGCCTCGAGGGCTATCTGCCTAATGGGAGAGATGCCTTCCTGAGGAACTTTCCATGGGAAACTATCTCGAATACACGTTGCACATGGGAAAACCATGAAAACGTCCGTATAGTCGGCTTGTTTGCGGTATTCAAACCAAACCTCGGACCGAACTACCAGTGTTTAGCGACTTTACCGCTCGGCCACTGGTGGGTCCACCTAAAAGAAGAGATGTGTTCTTAGAGATCTTCTGAAATAAAACTGGCCTATATTCATTTTGCATTCGAGGATACCGCATTGTGAAAATCACCCCTTGAAACTAGTTCTTTCTCCAAGATTTGAACCCTAATCAAACTACCTCTGTTCAGGATTTATTCACTTGATCACAGCTGGGCGTTCTATGAAGACGGAGTAGATAGATTGGTAGATAGTCTTGCGGTATTTGGGAACTCATGAAGCTTATAACCAGATAAGTGTGTTAACATGGAATTATTCAAGAAAGCTTACGGAAATAGATCGGCTGAGTTGTAAAAAGAAAAAAATGAGAAGCACTTAATTAGGGCAGAGTGGACATAATTATTTCTAACTTTGAATGAATACGCAGAGTAGTATTTATATAGCCTACAACAATTAAATTACTTAATTATTTATTAGAAAGCAAAACCAAAAATTGAACGATGCATCAAATTCATTGATGTACACTCTGTATTAAAGAAAAAAGGCGGGGGCAGTTTAATATCTTTCGTTCTATTGGTACGACTATCGAAAATTTAACTTGCGTTTTTCATGTCCTTGAAAGCGCGACTTAGCATATGTATTAGATTTTTATACAGCATTGTTTTAGCATAGGCGTTTGAACACAAAATCTTACTTTTCTGAAATGGCATGCTGAATTTTTTCCATATTTCAATTCGGCAACTCAAATGATTCCAAAGTGTCAAGTTATGTAAAAAGGGTACTAGCAGGTTTTTAACAAATTAGCTCTCAAAGCTTTAGCTCCTAAATGTTAATTGAATTTTGTTATGTGTCTATTAACCAATTTTTTTAATTAAACTTATTTTATAAATTTTTGTTGAACGTTTTGATTAAAACTTGTAAAATTCTTACCATATTCTTGAATGTATTTCTAAGCATACCTGCAAAAATGAGTTTTTTTTTTTTTTTTTGAAAATTTTGCAAGTTCTACGTGAACTTATACAGTGTCGGGTTTTGAAATTTGTCATCTTTGTTTTTATGAATAATAAAGTCAAATAGGGTTTACGAATCTAAAAATAACGACTACGATTAAAGAATATAATATAAAAAAATTTGAAAGAATAAACGAAGCACCTTTTTTATCTCTCGTGCACAATGAAAGTGGAAAGGAAAGTAGGTTACCATAAATTAAGAATTTCGCCAGGTGAATTATTCTCGGCTCAAACTGAAAAAGTGCGCCATGTTTGAATTTCTGGTTAAGATTCGCATCAAACTGATATAAAATTTAATATTTAGACCTAATGTGAGTCGTAAAATCGAAATATGGTAAAAACTCGGAATGTTATTTCAGAAAGGGTCCGATTTTGTGTCAAAATACCTACGTTGGCACAATGCTATACATAAATTTAATACATATCCTAAATTTCGTTTTCGAGACATGAAAAACGCAAGTTAAATTTTATGATTTCCCATTTCTTTCGTGCAGAGTGTAGGTAATGCATTACATAAAAATCACATAATTGAAGAGAAATGGATCGCAGTGTACATTAAGGGAAAAGGTAAAATCTACTCCGTGAAGTTTATATTTTGTGAGAAAATTCTGGTTAATATCATGGTCAGAGCAATTGTCATTTCGCAGCCGCTTTATTCTTCAGAAAAATCTGACTTTCTTGGAAGCAACAGAGATAATACAGTTAAAGTAATGATAAAAATAACAACATATTATTTCTGTGGTTGTTAATAAAAATCCCATTACTATCGAAAGCAGTTTCTATGTAGTATGAATAAAGATTTCATGGCATACCGGATAATATGCCATGAAATCTTTATTGGAACCGGAATCTTTAATAGAAAATGATGTGGTGTGGTGTATATAATTATGGCAAAGCACACTAATGCTATCTGCCTAAGGGGAGGGATGCCTTCGTGGAGGACTTTCTAAGGGAAACTCGTATACACGTTACACATGGGGAAAACCACGAAAACACCCATGCAGCTAGCCCTTTCGCGGGATTCGAGCCTCGGACCGAACTACCAGTGTTCAGCGACTTTACCGCTCGGCCGCTGTTAGGCCTATTGGAGAAAGAAACAAACGAATATGAGATAACTGACAGTACTACAATTTACTTCTTGAGAAAAGAAATTTTATCTTATATTTCTCTAAAAATTTCGAGATAAAAGAAACGAATTCAAATGAATGAAAACTTGCAAAAAATTTCTTCATTTAAAATTCTCCATAAAAATATAAATTCTTCTCGATTCAGTCACTAATCATGCATAATAACCCTTAAATATATATTAAAAATAATCTAATGCTGATTCCACATGACTTCGTAGTACGGCCTATTAAATATTTTTTTAGAACAGCAATAAAATGATATTAAATATTGTTAGCTATTTATTATTAGACTAAATACATATAAAAACTGTTATTATATATGTAGTTGGGTTTCATTATCTGCCAAATGTTTTTTAAATTTGAAAACATGAATATTTTTTTCATTTAAAACACTCCTGTAATCGGAAATGTAGGACTGCGACTAACGATTGTGAAAATAAAGGGTGAGTAAGGTGAAGTGTACAACTAAAATGTTGTAACAGCTTCAAATGCAAAATTTCAACGTCCTACGTCTAATCGTCTTTGAGTTATGCAAAATATATGCTTATATACGTACGTACAAACGTCACGAAACAAACCCATTCTGAATCCCTTTTACAATCGGTTTTGGAAAAAAGATTTTGTTATGTCCATACGTACAGATGTCAAGCAAAAAAAGTCGCCCTAATGGATGTAATGGAGTCCGCCCTAATGGAGACTGTCAAAATGTAAATTTCCTTTGAAATATGATATTTTTTTTCTGCGAGTGCAATACTTCGTACAAGAAGGTAAAAAACTACCGAAATTCTTTACATACTTAATTATGATGCAAAAACAAAGTCATGTAACTCATACATACAACAAAAATTATTCCCATTTATAAAGGAAAATTTTCTCTCATCTTTCCAGAAAGACACAGGGGGGAAGCAGCTTAAATCCGATTATCATTGCTTTCAGTCATAATCTGGAGGTAAGATGTGTTGAGGAGAGAAGAAAATTAACACTTTGCTCAGTACAACTTAGAAATACATAGCATAACATAAGTACTTTTATATCCGAAATGCTTATTTATAAAAGAAAGCGCTGGAAAATATTTATAAAATGTTACAAATATTTCAGAAAAAATTCTGGAGAAATAAGAAATCAAAAACTACTTTTCCCCCAAAATGACTTTACGAGAGAAATTCAAGCTGCTTGGGTTAAACGTGGGGCAAAAAGATGCAAATGGAGTTAATAAAATTCTTTAAAAAAAGTTTTACTTTTTAGTAGATATTATTAATTCTGTATTAACACAATAATTTAATTTATTCTGATTAAAACTCCTCCAACTGTTGTGAACAACACGTAGCGTAGAACTGGCTTTGTTTCTCCTATGTTTATTAATAAAAGAAAATATTTTTGTAAATTTTTATAAATATTTTCAGGATATTTTTTGGAAAATTTGTCGAGAAATAAGAAATCACACGTTTTATCTTTTCCGCGAACTCGGCACTTATAGCTCCCCATTATTCAAAAATTAATTTTGGTTTAAAGAAAAATTCAATAAAGTTAAAAAAAAATCTATTTAAAAATCTTACCTATTAGAAGACATTATTAACTCTGTATCAACATTATCATTTAATTTATTACGTTCATTACATTAGCATTAATTCATTCGGAAAATTTTTCTGTGCCAGCATTATTTTTACATTACTAAAAAAACACTCGGAACTAATGCATAGGAAAATCTTTTTGATGCATTTAATACCTCTTTGTAATAAAAGATATAACCTCAAACACGTTTCCTAAAAGTAAGAATGACGAAATACCGTCTGCTACTTCTCGTCCATACCGAGTTTATCGATTTGGTTTTTGTTTAACATTTGCATTATCGATGGTTTTGCTGACCAATCGTAGGTGGGCATTTAAAGACGTCAAAAGCCGCTCCATTAGTTTGAATTTGTTGCTCAGTTTTAAGCATAGTTACCCTTTCTCAGAATTTTTAATTATTTATAGTTTTCGTTATAACAAAACGCTCTATATTCATATCTTTCTATAACAATAAAATGATACAAAAATAATTCAATTACTTTTTTAGCTTTCCATGGCAAAATATTCTGCTTTTAACGAAGTGATATTTACAAACACTTGTGTGATCGCGATATATCTTGACTTCAATTTACTTTTAATTTTAGATTGTCCAAGTCTCTTTTTTAGAATAGAAATGTATAAATAATGTATCACGATATGCTATTTTTGTAAAAGAAATGCATAATGTTTCTATAGCTGAAATTTATTATAGAAATGTACGCTCATTCTATATAATGTTGTATAATGAAATGTATGTAAGTATAATAAGACATAAACTATCATGTATAGTACAACGTGAAACATGCAGTGTCATCTTTCTATCTTTATAGTAGAGAATGTCGCTCACTCTTTACGGAAATAATTTTGATAACTATTTTTTATGAAAAATGGGCGTATTTCATGCGGTGATTTGCTGCTGTCTGATAGCTTTAATTCTTGGTCATAGCTGTAGCTCGAATTTTCCATAAAATAAACTTTTCTTAGCACCGTCATGTCAATTTTGAACTACACCTCTTAGGTAATTGCCAAAGTCCGTTAAATGTTCTTAGATGGCGTTTGGCTAAGGCTCGTTTAAAAAAAAAAGAAACCGAAAACATTCATAGGAGAAGCGTCAGGTAATTTTTGCCAGGTATTTCATTAAGTGGCACATCTTTTTACTCCTGTTCCTCATTCTTTCTTTGCTAAACAAACTGCAGTGAACTTAGAGGTGTGAGTTGATGCTTTGTCCACATTAAGCTCAACTTGACTGATGTCCTTTTGATGCTCGAATTTCTTCTTCAAAAATTGGTTCTGAAATATTTTGCTGATTGTTCAGTGAATTGCAAAATGTATCTGAAAATTTCAGTGAGTGGTCCCATATATTAAAACCCGCGCTGTTTAGGACGAGAAGCCCGCGCATGCGCATTGAAAGACATGTTAACAAAGGCTCCCTGTAGCGCCAATCACCAAAGTGAAGCTTTTCTTGTACCCTGAGATTAAGCTAACGGAGTCAGTGTGATAACTCATGTCATTACAAAATGGAGCAATGAGTTTACATGAAATTTGGTTCAAATAAAGAAAACGATGACGAAGACACATTGAATGTTAGTGTGAGTGTACGTATCGAAACAGTAAGTAAAATGTGTGAGTTTAAACGCTTTAGAAACGGAAAGAAAGGTGTAAAGGATGAGTAGCATTCGGGTAGACAGTCAACAAACACAAACCCAGACAACATCGAAGGAGTGCGACAGATGCTTGCGAATGATTAGCAGCTATCTTTGATAATAATAGCATAAGATTTGAAAGTAAACAAAGACAGTGTAAAGCCCTATTGTTCACGAATGTTTGAAAAATTTGAAGCTGGTACCGCACATGTTGACAGAAGAGCAGAAGCAAACTCGAATTTAAACATCTGGCGATTTCATCGACATGTCTCAGCGGAATCCGCAGTTTTTTTTATACCACTATTACAGGTGCTACCAATACGATCTGGAAGCCAAGTGACAATCAATAGCATAGTATTCTTCATTTTCCCCGCCTTCCCAAAAACGTCTGTTGGCAAAATTCAAGATTAAGACGACGTTGATTGCCTTTTTCGATAGCAATAAGAACCTGATCCATCATGAGCTTGATCCAACGCGAGGATCGAATTTTCAAGGCTTGATCCATTTCGAGGATCGAACTTGTCATTAAGAGGAAGTTTTGAAACGGCTGGTGGTAAGCATTTGGTGGGTTCGGCAAGAACTGTACGGCATTGGACAGTAGAATTTCCTTTACTTCAAAGCCTGTCCGCACACTGATAATCTTTCCTGCTCAACGCAAGGTGTCAAGGTTCAACACTCTCTTTATTATCCAGATATGGCGTCGGCACCTTTTTGTTTCCCCGGCTTAAATTAATCTTCGTAGACGATATATCTTCTTTTAACATTCCTTATAAGGCTTATACTTTGCAGTCGTTGCGAATATCCAATAACGCGTTACCAGGGGGTTTCGAGCGATTCCACAGTGAGCGTTCGCTGAGAGTTTCCAACAGCATTGTAACCGATGTTAGAAGTGTGTTGTAGCTGACGGTGATTACTTTTAATGCCAATAAAAGTGTTTTGTTTGTAACTCTTGTTTTCTTTATTTTGTGAGACCATTCAAAAACCTTTCAAACCCACTTTGTATTTCTTGCCTTTATTTATTATTTTATTTAAAGTTTTAATTTACCCCGTTGTAACAAAATTCTGCAACTATCATCAATCTCATTGGGATTTTTTTCCTGCACATTGCAAAGCCATTTCGTACGGTCATTTTCATTAGTTATGCAACAGGAAATTCAGTTTTCTTTCATTACAGTCCCTTATATATACCCATGCCTCCTTGAGTTTTAAAAAAATGCCCATTTAATCAACAGCTAGGTGTTTTTGGTAAAATTTTCTCCAATTTTGTTTTCTTTAGGCAGTATTCTTTGGCAAAAGCAAATAAATTTCAGGCTTAAATATCTTTAACTTTTAATCCTCATTAATGATTTTACGTGCAGTGCCAAAAGACAGTCCCATTTCCAGTGCGATGGATCTTTGAGTCGTCGATTTTCTTTTAGAATCAGACTTTACTTTCTTTTTATTTATCCGTATTCGAACGTTCTTAAAATGAGGTTTTAGGGCCACTTTCCATTTTTGCTTTCAGCTACATGAGCTTTCCTTTTCCAATTAAAATATGCCTTTTTTGAATTTAAAATATGCCCTTTTAATGTCAATTGAGACGATGAGCGTATGAAAGTCAGCCTGTCTGTTAGACTGGACGGTCTTTAAGATGTCCATTCTAACTATAGTCCAGTTCAGTCTATCCAGGATTGCTATAATATGTAGATATGCACCTCCTATTTAGGTTATAATCGGCCGTACCAAAAGTATATAAACATATGTATATATATATCCACTCTGTTACTCGGCTCAGTAATCTCAGTTTCTTTATTCTTATATGTTTGTAAATTATGCATTTTTTGCTTTAAAATGATTGAATTATGTTGTTCTTATCTTCGGGTTTAGGTTTTTTGCCTTCAGTAAATCTGCATGCAATATTTTTAGAATTATAAACAATTTAAAAGTTGTAAAAATAAGTGCAGCTAAGCCTACTTATTTTTGCCATGGCGGCCATGTTTGTTTACATCTGAAACAGAAGACTAATAAATTTGTTACCAATCTTGAGAAAGTAAGCTTCGCAAGAACAACAATAACGCCTTATTTTATTATTGCGAATTAAATCATGCTTAATCCATTCTGGAATTTATTCGAGGAAATAAGTGTTTAAGATTTACTTCATAATTTCAACACATATTTTGAGGTTTTACGTATTTTTGCCTTGTCGCGAAGTGAAAACTGAATTAACTGAATCGTCTGTGAAAAACTGCTTCTTTTTTGTTTGTTGTTGTTTGCTTAATTTCTTTTATGCATCGTTTTAGATTTATTATAGTATTTGAATGGAACATGTGGCAATGATTAGATAATTCTTAAGAATTATATAAATGTTGTGCTTTCTGAGTTGAAAAATGAATGGAATGGAACGCTGTTAAGTGAACCTAGGGCCAGAGTGTCGCTATAGTAAGCAGATATAGTGAATTTTAAAGAGTGCATTTATTCTATTGTGGTTTATGCACTATCGACCAAGTAAATTTAATTCGATCCAATAAGTTTTAAAAAATGCAAGAAAAATGCGTATAATTTAATATTCCGTCATGTGGTGTACATATCAGATTTTTTACTGTAGCTTTCGGGTGCTGTGGCCCAAACTGTTGCCCCACAAAACAATATTGAACACATCTATTACATATTTCCAGAGTCATTCTGACTAGAGGGCGCTGTGTTCGTCCCAATAGTCAGTGGCAGGCAGGATTCTAAAGGTGTAGGACGTGGAAGGCAGGGATGCCTAATAATATATCTTTAATTGATTGAAATTCTCATATATTTTCTTGTAAATAAATGTTGTTATTGTTTACAAAAACCTCTTATTATCTCTTAGATGCACCTTTAGTCTCACAGAACCATTAGCTGCAAAATTGGTGCATCTTGCCCACGAATGTGGAATATCAGAAGTAATTAGTCATCATTACTGGATTACATTTCTGAAAAGTTTGGATACTTTACGTATGCTTTTGGATATGCAACATTGCATACTGGACTGTGGAGGTAAGATCTTTTGAACTAACAAATTCTGAGTTAATATGGATAATCTTTCGAAAATAATTGAAAAGAGAAGTAACGTTCGCGCTAGTTTTACTAAACTAGTTAAAAGAGTGCAGAAGCTCGATGAAGCTGCCGAAGACGCAAGTTCATTATCAGAACTACTGGAACTATTAGAAACGAAGGAGCAGATCTTAAAAGCCATGATTTAAAGGTGGAAGCACTCATAGCCGCGGAAATATTTTAAATTGAATTAAAAGCTTCGGAGAATATGATGACAAAATATTGTTCGCTAAGATTAAACTAAAGAGCAAATTAAAGAATTAGCAGCAGAAAATGTTCAGCGGACTTCTTCAGTTCTTAATACATCTAAAGTTTCGGAAAACACCGCTACGGCTTTAAAATTACCAAAGTTAGAAATTTTCGCGATTCTCTGGTGATTGGCAAATTACGGAATTCTTAAACTGTTTGATATTGCAATCGGTTCAACAGTTCACTTACGAAATTGAAAAATTCCAATATTTAAAATCTTTCTTTCTGGTCTGCATAACGTTGTGCGGTTTTGAATAAAGAGGAAAACTATGACTAGTCTTGAGCTTTTAAACAAAGATATGGTAGAAATGATTCTATGATGAATTCTTACATGACTAAATTATTAGCTTAGAACCCGTGAGATGTTCGTCTAATGTTAAGGGTTTGCGTAAATATACGATGAAATAAGTAATATAAGAAATTTGCGTTCTTAAATGTAACGGAGGGTTATATGGGCATTTATGAATCCCAATTTTATTGAAGTTGTTACCACAAGATTTGGTGTTAGATTTTCACCGGAAACTAAACAGGGAAGTAAATTGTGAGGTTTCAGAAATTATTACGTTTTTGAGGAATGAAGTGGAATCTAGGGAAATTGCCGAAACTGTGATGAGCCCCCTAAAAAGTTACGAAACGAAACGATCCTTTTCTCAAAACTATCAAAATTATGAAAGTGGTCAAACTTATCAACAAAAACTATTCGAAGCCTAAAAATATATCAACCGCTTCAGCGTTAAATACACAAATAAAAAATGTTTGTTTTATTCTGTGACGGTCATCACGATTCCGTAAGTTGCATAAAAAAATTGGATGTAGAACAAAAAATAAATAAGCTAAAGATTGAAGGCTAGGATGCTGGTGTTGTTTTAAAAAATATCACATGTCTCGCGAATGTAGGGCAAAATATCGTGTAAAAATTGTTTAAGCAAATTTCGTCATGAGTCAGTTTGTAGAAAAAATAAACCCTGTTAATGCTACGATGAGAGGTTGTGAGAAGCAAGTGGAAAGCGAAACTGGATTTGAATGACTCACAATCTAAATCTAATAAAACCATGCCGAGAAGTATTTCTGTGTCTCATAGTAATGATATGTACCAAAAATAAGCCCTTTTTACAAACACATGTACAGTTTTAGCCTGTTCGGATAAAAAATTGGTCTTATCTAATGTTATTTTAGATAATGGTAGTCATCGAAGTTTTATTTCATCTCGATTAGTTAAAGCATTAAAATTAAAGCCAATACGCTACGAAAGAATAGCTATTTTTGCTTTCGGAGACAAAATGGCACGTGAGAAGGAATACGGTTGACGTTGCGCAATAGGGATCAAAGTTCGAAATCGCACGAGTTAGAAGCTGTCATAACGGAATATATATCTAATTTCTCCTTGAAAATTCCTGATGTATCTATTCGCAATGCGTTGAAGGAAAGAGGTTTGGCTGATTCATTTTCTGGCGACTGTCAGAAGGAAATACTTATCGGATGCGATTCATTTTGGGACGCTGTTTATGACGAGAGAGTAAAGTTAATGAAAACATTACTGCGATAAATTCTTGTTTCGGTTGGTTATTAGCGGGAGTGGAAGGAAGTAATAAATGGACTGATAATTATGAAAATGTATGTTTAGTCATGGACTCTTTTTCCATTTGTGCGATTGAAAAAATTTTGGGAATAGAAGAATTTCAGTCAGACAAACAAAACTTTCTGAATGGGACAATCAATTGATTGAAAAATTTGAAAATTTTTTGGAATTTAATGGGGAAAGGTACGTTTGTAGATTGATGTGGAAGAAAACTTGGGACCTGCAGTTGGGTTGAATTCTAATTATGAGGTTGCGAAAAAGCGTTTTGATTCGTTAAAGCACAAACTAAATAAAAATCAAGAAATTTATGACCAGTATAAACAATTATATCGGATCAGTTAGAATGTAAGATGGAAAAATGTGTTAATGAAGATAAAATTCAGGATATTATTGCCCCACAGAGCGTATTAGGGATGACAAGGAAACAATTCGAGTTAGAATTGTTTATGACTGTAGCAGTAAGGCTAATGAAAATAAGAAATCTCTTAATGAGTCTCTAGAATCGGGAGTAAATCTTTATGCAAATTTATTGACATAATTCTTAAATTTCGAGATATCAAGTGGCATTTTGCGGAGATTTAGAGAAAGCTTTTCTTATGATAGAGATTGCGGAGGAAGATAGAAAATACCTTAAATTTTTGTTGGTTTCCCGAAGAGGTAGGCGATTCAACGAAACTCTCCATTAAATCGTCTCCCATTCGGTTTTAACACTTCGCCATTTTCCTGGCTTGCGTTTTGAAATTTCTATTAAGAAATTTAAGGAACATCATCCAAAATGTTGTGACATGTTAAATTCCTTTTTTATATGTTGATGATCTGTGTTATGGAGCCAATACCTTTCAGGATGTTTATTATTTGACTTCTACGGCAATGAAGATATTGAAAGCAGCAGGATTTCATTTGAGGAAATTAAAAACAAATAATTCGGAATTGTATAAACTTTGGAATGAAAACGGATATGAGGATAGTACTGATTTCGGGCAAGGGACAGGTTTTTTGGGATTGAAGTGGGATCCGATTGAGGATAGAATTAAATCCATTGATGTTAGATTCCATTGATCGAATCACCAAGCGTCACAGGTTTTGAGAGTTATTTCAAAGATATTTGATCCATGCGGACTGATTAGTCCCTTTGTAATCACTGTAAAAATTCTTCTGGAAGAGATGGGGGAACGTGGTCTACAATGGGATGAAGATTTGTCAAGTGACCTACAAAATAAATGGAGAACATGGTGTTCTGAACTTTGTGAACTGAATATCTATTGAAAAAAGGTTTTTTGAGAGTGTAGAAATAAGTGAAGTTTCTCTTCGTGTGTTTTGTGACGCCAGTCCCAAGGCATATTGGGGCTGTTGCGTTCCTAAGGTACGTGAATTACAATGCCAAATCAAGTGAGCTTATAATGTCAAAAAGTAAGGTTGCTCCTTTAAAAACTTTGACTCTGCAAGATTAGAGTTATGGCAGCACTCCTCGCTGCACGTTTAGGAAATTTTTACAAGTCTTTCCTAATTTCGTGAAACAAATTTTCTTTCTGGAGCGACTTTCAAATGTCCTTCATTGGTTGAAAGGATTCTAAACAATGAAACCATTTGTCGCAACAAGTAGCTCAAGTGCAGTCGCTGACCTCTACCGAGTGTTGGAACCATTTGCAGTGGCTCCGATAATCCCGCAGACCTTACTACTAGAGGAGAATCGGCTAGAGGATTCTTACAAGTTCTCTGTGGTGGTCGGCCTGTTTGGTTGTCTAAACCGCTTTACTCATGGCCTCTTTAAGAATCGCTACATCATTTTAATGACATCTGTGATGAACGGGTTATAGTGAAAGAGCGACGGACCGCACTGGTTAATTCCATGGTACCCAGTTCAACTAATGGAAACTTACCTATGTCGTCGTTACTGGACGTTAATGACTTAAGCGAATTAAGTAGATTACTGCGTGGATTAAAAGGTTTGTGCGCAATTCTAAACCTAATTCTACAAAATAAAATGGACCTATGTGTGCTCCAGAACTCGAGCAAGCTTTGCGTTTTTGGATCAATACTCAATTCAAGCATTATAGTACAGAAGTTACCCAACTTCTTTCTAAAGGCACTATCGATAAGAGTTCACGCACATTTAATTTGAATCCTGAGCTTGATGATAACAACTTACTTTGTTTAAAGGGACGTTTACAGTTTTCAAGTAACGATATGCGAGCCAAACATCCTTGGCTTCTTCCATCTAATGATAAATTTGTTGAACTACTTATCTGTGATTCTCATACTATAATGTGCCATTTAGGTGTTGATGCAACGTTAACACATTTACGAGAACAATTCTGGATTGTTAAAAGTCGTCATTTTGTGTAAAAAGTGTTAAATAACTGTTTGATTTGTAGACGATTCAAAGGGAAATTTGGAATGCAGGTGGTTGCCCCTTTACCGCCTGATAGAATTCAAGAGCATCGTGGATTTTGCTGGACCATTTTTTATTCGTGATTTTAATTCAAAGTATTATTTACTTATATTCAGCTGTGCAGTGACAAGAGGTATCCACTTAGAAGTAGTTCTTAACATAAGTGCTGATTCTTTTTGTTAGGATTCGACGATTTGTTTCTGCGAGGATTATTTCCACTTATATCTGATAACACCAAAGCTTTAAAAAAGCAAATAGTGAATGAAAAATGGTGGAATCAGATAGATAATGATCAAGTTAAAATTTGTTGTTCAAAGGTAGTTTGGAATTTTATAGTTGAAAAGTCATGGTGGGGAGGTTTCTGGGAGAGACAGATACAAACGGTAAAACCTGTTTAAAAAATGTTGGACGATCCCCCTCTCTTTGAAGGAATTGGAAACTGTTTTTTCAAGAAATTGAAGTTCTGGTTAATTCCAGGCCTATCACGTATCTGTACAACGAACCCTCAGAACCCTCTCTACTCAGCCCATCCATTTTTTATTGGTAAAAGATTGATGTCTTTTACCTGTAATAAAACATAAAATGAAATTTAAATGTTAATAGGAATTCTTTGGAAAGAAAATAAATATCAGCACACTTTTGAATCACTTCTGGAAAGTGATTCAAAGGTGGAGAAAGGAATATTACTTAATCTAAGATCAGCTTATTTCTCCACAACCAGGTAAAATAGTTTCATTTAAAGTGAATGATATTGTTTTGATTAATGATGAGCGTTATCCCAGAATGTGGATGTGGGAAAAATCTTAAGCTATATCCAGGAAGAGATGGAAAAGTTCGTTCTCTTCTTATTCGACTCCTAAAGGACAAATAAACGCTCAGTACAACTTGTGTATAATTTGGAATTAATCCTAATTGTGTTGTTTAATTGAGTTGCACATGTTAGTTCTATCTGTGTATTAATGATAGTTTAATTGTGCTTATATTTTAAGGCTTGATATTTGAACAATTTTCTTTGGAAGTTGAAAGTGTTATTTGTTTTTTTATGTCAAGTGATTGAATAATTTTGAAGCTTTGTATTTGATATAATATGCTATTTGTATTTTATTCTTGTAATTTTAAATGGTTCCTGAATGTAGATTTAGTTAAAATTCAATGGTAAGTGAACTCAAGCGAGTTCAGGTGGGGAGTATTACACATTTCCCACGTCATTCTGACTAGAATGACCCAATACTCAGTGGCAGGCTGGATACCTAAAGGTGCGGACATGGAAGGCTGAGATGCCTAACAATATATCTCCAACTGTTTGAAATTTCGTATTTTCTGTAAATAATGTTGTTGTTTTTACAAAACCTCTTATTATCTCTTGGATGCACCTTTAGTCTCACAGAACCATTAGATGTAAAAACATCAAAAAGGGAAATGTATAGAGTTCTCTTTACTTTTCATATCTTCGACATATCATATTGTATATGACAATATAGACGACATTTGCTTTGTTTAATGCATATATGACATGTTCTTTGAAGTCAGCTGCTTATCCAAGACGATTCCTAGATATTTGGTAGAGCCCTCTGTTGGAAGAAGTTGATTATCAGTTTGTAAATTAAGCTTGACTGTTGTATCCAGGCTTTTTACTTAGATCAAGATATGTATCGACGATCAAGGTAATTAAGTTTCAGGTGATACTAGTACCTTCCGTCGCCAGGGATAGTAGCTTATTAGCCATTTAATTCCTGCTTGCGAATTTATTTGTTTCACAACAATCCAAGTGCACGTTCGTCGGGACTGTTATTTTCAGACAGGGAGAGAGATTTGAATGATAATATTGGTGTTGATTGAATACGTGTCTACACATTAAGGAAAGTGTATTATACTTTCATATTTTTCAAGATGTTTAGATTAATTTATGTTGTATAGCAACTTAGTTTGCTGCTTAGAAGCAATTTGATATGCATTATGAAATGATTGAAATGTAGGTTTGTTTTTAAAAGAAAAATAATTTTAAAAAAAACTTTAAAATTTTATCATTTTTATAATATATTAACACACAAAAAAAAAAAAAAAAAAAAAAAAAAAGAAAGAAAATTTTCATCAAACAAACACAGCAATCAAATAATAAAAAAATCAGTGAAACTATACAAATAATAAATTACACTTGTACTTAAATATTTTAAAATTTTCTCAAATCGCCTAACACATATTTTAAATTTCCCAAAACGAAATCAAAAATTACAAATATTTGATAAATGATATAAAACATGGCAATGTTCCCAAATTTAAATGCAGAGTCTTTTTTCTGCCTAATCATTTTAGGTAACCTATTTACGTCAAGAACACATTATTGTGCCGTTAATAAAAAATATATTGACAATGATAAATATGTTAAAAAATAATCATTATAGAACTGAGGGAAGTATGGGCTCTAGAACAGGAATTCTCATAGTAAGTAACGCAAAAATCTTGAGGGTGATGTAAATATTTTCAAATTTGACATTTTCTGCCTTTTTACATATTCAAAGTTTATATAACTAGTAATATATTCTTTGTATAATGCTTTTATATTAAAAATATCACAAGATATTCTCTCTTTTTTTAAAATTAATTTCCAGTTTCAACGTCTGAAGCAGGTGCTGTTGTTTTCAGTGGGCGAGCAAAATCATACCTTGCCAAAAACAAAATATTTCCAGACCTCACACTTTAATATTTATTAACATGAGCTTTCCTAGCTAACTATTCTAAAATAAAAGTCAGCACTCTAATAATAATATGTATAGATAACAAATGTTTGTTGCCACATTGTGCTTCATAATTTTCTAATTCGCTTTATTTCAAGTAAATACATAGATTTATTAATAAAATACATTTGAATTTTTGATTGCAGATATCAGGTTATAGATTAGGCAAGCGTTTTGGGATTTCAACCGCGATATGAAAAATTGGACAATGAGTTTTACCTCTATTCTTTTTTAAGATACTTATTTATGTTTTACTAAGCCTCGAAAATTTATCGTAAATAAGCGGCAATTTATGACAAATTAATGTCTTCGTTCAAGAGAAGGCGGTTTTGAAAAATTTAATCTGGGTCATAGAAAAAACAAAAATATGAAAGTTCCTGCTCTAGAATTTAAATTTTTACAGTTTTAAACTTATTTACAGATCATTAGATGTAGCCAAAAATATTGAATTGTAAGCTACATTTAATTCTATATAAATTTTGTTTGTGTTCAAAGTACTTTTGCAACAAACTTTTAATAGCTTTTCTTAAAACAACTGATATTTTATAGCATTTAGATTAACTATATGTATAGAAAATACTGTTATACCAAGAATTCTGTAAGTGTAACATTATATCTTGTTTCCAAGATGTGGTTTTAAAATTTTTTGCTCTTTTTTGCAGCGCTACTTAACTTCTTCGAGGTATATTTGAGTGTGGCATTCGATTTAGCAACGAGTTTCGCTTGAAGTATAGAATACTCAAGTCTGTGTCATCTTTGTCTTCTTCTTCGTCAATAGTTTTCGGCCAGCTAAAAGTTGATAATAACTTTCTTCCAGTTGGATTTTCTTGAGGAAATAATTTTTCATCCACACTTCGGTTCACATCTACAAACAATTTTGGAGGATCAGTATTACTTGTTTCGTTTGTCTCTGTAGATGAAGTGTTTTCCATGGTTGTGCTTTCCGTAATCGTGGTTTCCGGGAGCGGCTTCGTCGTCGTTGTGGCATCCGTCGAAGTCTCGGAAACAGCAGGTGACGTTGATTTGGTTTCTTTCTCTAAAATAAATAATTGAACTTAATTATAAGAGAGTATTTTACTTCTATTTAAATATTGTCATCTTTTTTAATCTTTCATTACATCTTCCAAACAATATTTATGTTAGAAAAAATTAGTGTCACTTTTCCTTAATGAAACTCGGCAACAAACAAACCAGCGCCAAACGATATAATGCCCAGAGAGGATTCTATCTAAGTTTTGATTTAGAAGTCTTAAAAAGATTTTGTACTTGCATTAATTGTACTTGAGTCTAAGATTTCCCTTTTTAGCCATGTAACCTTCTTTTTTGGAATATACTCCTGATATTATTGCTTAATAGGTCAACCTGAAGGTATTTAAAACTTATATATGAGTCTCTTGTAAGTTCTTTTCTACGATGCTTCAATTTTAATGTTTGTGAAGACTTAATTTTGATTTGTATTCTATTTGAGTTAAGCAAACTCTTTAACTTTTTAAATAAAAATTTCCTTCTTACTCTAACTTAGATTCTTTAATAAATCTGTGCTAAATAAAGGATAGTGTACTTAAACGTCTTATGTGTATTAAATGCAAGACATGTCAATTTAAAATTATAATATCAAGTAATCTGATTTGCTGAGCTTCCAGATTTTTTAAAAAGGGATATTTCGAGAGTTTTATAAAAACTGACTTTTCGCTTTGACTGCGATTAATTAATAAAAGCATTTCCTTGTATTAATCTCTAGAATAAATAATCTAAAATTCCGTTCTAATAGGATGGCAGGTTTGCTTGTCGCGCAGGATGGCAGCGTAGTTGATGGAAACTGTACGTGTACGTTGTTGAGCGCAGTTTCAGAATTCTGACAATATGATAAGGTTTGTGAGAGTTAGAAATCAAACGTAATTCATGTTGATGCAAAACCTCTTTCAAGAGTCCAGTGGAAGGGGAGTCAAGAAGCTCGAGCTTTATCCCCTGCAGTTACCTAGATCAGAATTAGGATCTACATAAGGCATTAGCCTCGTTTAAGTTGTATAATCCATCTAATGCAGGCCTTGCAGTCAGCCGCCCTGAATAGTGTAGTACTTAACAGACGCCGACTGTAGCTAGAAACTAAGGATGCGGGTTTGACTGTTGGTAAAGTTTGGATATGCGTGTACTGTCCTTTCTATTTCCATACACATATCAGTCTACCTCAGCAATGCATTTAAAGTAATGTTTTTTTAAAAGACTGCTAAATGACCGATTGGTTCAGCCATTGTCCACAAATGGGTTTGAACACGTATTTGGCAGCAGGGCGGGGAGAATTTCTTGTAGCTAGAGTAATAAATTAATATTGGAATATATTTATCGGTTGACAAGGAGTTTTATACTATTGTATTTCTTTTGTATAACTATTAGAAAAATCGCTTTTTTTATTCTGCTCTAATAAAAAGTAAACTAGGTAAAACTAAAATAACTTTAAAACCTTGTGTGACATACTTTAGTTCTCCGTCCCCTTCAAAACTGTTCTCTTCTACATTTTTTACTTATTCAGTGTTTGCATTATGCTTACGAATGCTTTATAAAAATATTTTAGTTAAATAATAATTAATACCATCTATAATTCAGTATGAATACCTCATGCGTAATCAAAATGGCGATCCTTCACCTCGGATCTGAGCACTGCTTGTAAAAGATTATATCAAAGTGTACAGAAGTAACATTCTCTGACTAATTGCAAATAAAAGAAGTCGAAACTACTTGAACATCACTTTTCACCAATTACAACCTTTCATAGTTTTTACCCTGCCCACTGGAAGTGGACTCTTCAAACAGTTTCACATTCCAGAATTGTGTTGCGGAGGTTTGAAGAACATGCTGATGAATCGCGCGCGGCTGTTATCTTAGCCTCTAAACTCACCGAATCTTCATTACCATGCTATACACCTGAAATGTCATGGTCCGCCAGCTCAGAGCTCGTTAGCAACCTCTTCATAGCAGGCACTCCATGAATTCTGCTCTCAAATTCAATATAGTCTTCCAGAGAACACTTGCGAAGAACTTGTAGAAGCCCTTCCATGGTGGGTTTCAGTTACTTTGTAAGCCAAAACTGGAGCAACGCCTTTGATGGGTGGATATAATGTCTTGAACGATAAGTCTTGGAAGTAATGAAGTAATGAAACTAGCAATGATGTCTTTGTTTCTTCGAGGCACGATGTTTCGATGCATTGTCATGCCAAAACTCGCATTACTCGAAGTGAGACATTTTATTTTCAGTGTTTAAGTGACTCTTCTGTCCCACCATCTCACAATTAAATGCTTCCTGTTTCCATTTCGCCTATTACAAACAAGCAGAAAAGCAGAAAGTTTTGGAAACGTTTTCCATTTTGCACCGCATAGAGATAATTAGGGCAACAGTCTTTTGATGTTCCCAAATATGTAGCTATTGTACAGCCACCTAGCCTCTGTAAGGCCATGTTTCTCACCCAATTCCATTAATTCTTCGATAAACATTGGATAGCGGAGGACGAGGGGCATGAACCTGTTTACCTCTGGTACACGCCAGGATCCCCAGTTCTCCATCACCTGTCACCTGTTTCTTCATCTATCTTTTTTTAACATACATAATTATATCAATTGATACAGTTACAATAGAGTAACAATACTATGTTATATAATATATAACCGTATTCATACACAATAATGCATTGTAACTAAATCATGACGGAGAGCCATAAATGCTGTTTTAATTAGTTATAATGCATTAAATTATAATAATCTCATCTTGCGATTAGATTTTACCTGATTAATTGTGATACCTGGTCAAGAAAGTAAAGCAGTTATTGGGCGATCTACCCGAAATGCACCGCGTACAACAAAGGCAGGAAAAAATGAATCTAGCTATAGTGCATCTAAATACAATAATCTCATATTGTAATTAGAGTTTATCTGATTAATTAGGATATCCGGTTGATAAAGTACAGCCGTTATTGGACAAGCTATCCGAAGTACACCATGCGCGAAAAGGGTTAGAAAAAAAAAGGAAACAAACAAAGAGTGGGGACCCAAATACCAGGGATCGAGTATTTCATGTCTTAGCGACAGGCCATGTCCAAAAAATGTCCGAATAACATTATTGTTGACTTTCTAATCTGGTGAGACGATTTCTGGTCATACAAACTGGATTAAGCGGACGTAAATTAACAAATCTCAATTGAACTCAGCCCTGAGTCCAGCATTTTCGACTGCTTGGGAGATTAGTGTTATGGGTACCAAATACAAAAAATATTAATATTTCAAACCAAAATATGCCTTTATTTAATTATTTAAAAATGTAAATTTGCTGTTGAGAATTGAAATTTTTTTAAACCAACTTCATGCGCTAATACATTTTTCTTTGTTGCAACTGCCAATACCGGAATTATCAAAAATATTGGTAGGGTGAATTATGCTTCACTATAAGTCTCTTGTGAAAAGTAAACTGTAAAAATGAAAGCATTGTTTATTATCACTTCAGAAATGAGATCCAGTAAACTGCACGATTCTATGGTCATCAGCATTAATATGAGATTGTTGGTTATCTCATGGTGCCCTCAGTTGTCATCTGTGTCAAAGCACGTTGTAAATTGTTGCAGCTTATCAAAATTATAAATCAGTAATCAATGTACCCTGATCATGCTGAGCTTCTCAAGTCGTTACCTCAATGAAAATATAGATTTGAAAATATATATACTGAAAAATATACTTGACACTATTTTACTGGATGTCCTGGAACTTTGCCGAAATGTTCATAATAGAATAGTCTTTTCTTTTGAAGAATTTAATGGTTTTGAACACAAGTTGTAATACAACAAGTTGTAATGAAATAATAATGCAAAAACAAAATATCTTATGTGAGCATGATTGCAAAGTAAAATTAAAAGTACTAAAGTATTGGCTTCGTTTGTAAGCACCAGAACTTATGACGGTAATTCTTTCTTTGAGCTGAATAAAACAGTCTTTTCACCCTTCCTACGCCTTGTCACTGATACAGTTTGAACTTAGCGAATAGTCGCTTCACAATTCAAGCAAAGATCTAGCCAACAAATAAAGTTAATTTAGCTAGCAAAAATAAACATTGACTGGTAAAATTTTAGAAGCAATCCAATCCTTAAAAAATTATCAGTTTTAACATATAAATATTCAATTGTCGCATCCCATGCTTCGCACTAGACGATACAATATAGTATTTAATATCTTACCCCTGCTGCTCCATCAACATGTCATCACCCGTGAGAAAAATACGGTAGACGCCTTGCATTAGACTGCTGCCTATGCCTGGGCCTGGGATGAGCCTGATTTTATTCCCAAGCATTTTTGGTTTTTCTAATCTTCAGGTACTTCATTTTATGTCTTTATTACCTACATCACCTATTCCTGAAAATTGGAATGACTTCACTCCGAGACTTAGAATGAAGACTTGGCCGTTTTTATCTTTACTTCATTCCATGTCTATTTCGTTGAAAGTTGTTATCTTTCTTCATTTGGTGTTATAATCTTAACTACGAGTCAGATTCATTACTATGGCTTGGACAGCATTTGTAAAAGACATTCAGATTGATTGCAGAAGCTGCTAGATGCATTTGAATTAAATGATTTAACAGACACTATTCCAGTTGCATGCAGAACACATTTCATTCACGTACATTTTCACACTGTGCTTACCTTTTTAGGCCTCTCTTTGAGCCTTCCAGACGCTATAGCGATTAGAGGAGCCTACTGAGTTACCGAAGGGCCCGAGTTTGAATCCCAGAGAAGGCATGGTTTTGACTGCCCGTTTCCTTATAGGATGCAATGGTGACGGACTATTAGGTGCCTCCACAATAAAATGGCCACCACTTCTGGGCGTAGAATGCCCATTGCTGAATAGGCAACTGTCATCCATTAGAAAAAAAATTCTTTTTCATCAGCTTCGTATTTTTGTTCAATGAAATAAATATTTACATTTTTCATTCTTAATTTTTTTCTATGGTTTATAATTCTTTGTTTTGTACCCAAATTTATTTCTTTAAGCTTATATTGCTCATTTTGAATAAAATCAGAGCTTACTTTTTTAATCCCATGCTAAACCTTTACAGTAATGAACGAATTCATTCATGTTGAACGCACGGTCTACGCAGACTTTATTGATTTTTCTGGCTGAAAATCAACTACCAACGAAGAAGTTAATTCATGTATATTTTATTTGAGACAAACTTTCTTTTTCAACGAGAATTTTCCCTTTCATGTCAGGAAGCTAAAGCATTAGTTTTAGCTTTTATTTACGCTTGCAGATAATGCAACCATTTATATTTTTTAATTACACTTTAATTGCATTTAATACCATTCATTACATTTTAATTCTGAAAATATTAACAACATACTGGCGCAGAGGAAAACTTATAAGTTTTCCTCCAATCTTTCCTAAGATTACGGATACATGAAATACTAGAAGCTCCGCTGAGTGTTACTATTCTTTAAGAAATTTTAATTAATTAGTTAAACTTTTATGGGGATTTGTTTGCTTAGCATTTGTAATTATTTAATACGTTAACATTTTGCAAAATTATTATTTTCATTATTTATTGTCCAAAAGTAAATTTTTAATAATTATCCCTTTGAAGTTTATCATAAATTCTTCCACGAAATATACTGAATGCTATATTTTAAACATTTTAATCACTTACAGCAGGTCACTAAATTGTTTTTATTGAAAACAATTTTCGGAGATATCATTTACAAATTTTAACGGAAAAGTGTTGGTGACATATTTTTATGAAGACATGAAGGTTTTTTAAATTTAATTAAGCTCGTTATCTTACATTCAGATATATTTACTGCTACTATGAATTTTGAGCTGTTATTATTTTCATTAACTCAGTAGTAATTTACATTTTCTTTATAAAATTCTCTTTAAAACTGCTGATAATTATAATTTTTAATACTTTTTATGTTCGTTCTTAGGTTTTTATACACTTTGGTTTAGAAGGTAATTTTTTTATTATCCAAACACTAAGAACATTCTTTTACTCAATTTTTTAAGTTACAACTCTTTTTAATCGCTTCTTTAGTGTTTTCCTGAAAGATTTTGATTTTGTATTGCCGGACTATCTCTTTGGAGATTTTTTTCAATTTTTGAAGATTGGATATTTTATTGCTGATCCGCGATTAATTTTATCTTGCTTTTATAATTTCTCGACTAAATAACTTTTGCTGCAATTGAATAAATTCTATTTTCCTTTTCACGATAAAATATCATTGTTTAATCTTTGATAATAAAGAGTTAATTAAATAAATTAATTTTAAAATAAAGTTTATTGACGTTTTATTTTATTATTATATTTTATTTTTTGTAACGGTTGTTAATTATTTATTTATAATTTTTTTAATGATAAAAGATTTCAATGAGGTTACTAATCATGGTTTTATCTGAAAACGTTTTGTTTCTATGTTCTTAATAAACGCCATCAGCTTAAATTTTGAAACAAGGAATTCGACCTCGGTTGTTCCATTAAGGGCTAGTTGCATGGCTATCGTCTTTTCCAGTAAGTATATAAACTAGTTTTTTAAAAGTCCTCATATGGCCCGTCCCCTTGCATTATTTTGCGTGCTCTCCATAATCAACTTACACCGAAACTAAATTTTAATCAAGATACATTTCCTGAACTTTTTAATTCAAAGACATTTTGTGAATAATAGTAGTAGGGAAAATTTTTTATGGTAGTAGTGGATAACTATTGTTTCTTATGGCTTGTATATATGAATATTCAGCATATAAATGCAAAAACTTTAACCAAGTCGTGTAAAGAGATTCTAAAATGTCATTTAAAATTGCTTTCTGAAACAAAACCTATAGAATTATTTCTACTGAATATTTTTTCTCATAAAACGTTGAAAGAAACTAATCTAAAATAGATAAACTTGATATTTTATTGCAATAAATATTTTTCTAAACTTAACTAAAAGAACAGAAAAAAATGATTTTTCTAAACCATATGAACCTAATTTATGATTATAATTATTTTATAAATTTAACAATTTTTTAGTGATATTAATTATTTTAAAGACATCGAGTTGTTAGTTCCAATTTCAGTTAAGGTGTATCAAAACAGAATGCATAAATAAACAAAAGGGGATTAAAAACAGGGAATGATATTAGTGGTTAAAATTAGCTTCATTTGTTTCTTCATTTATATATATTATTAGTATTCATACAGTCATTATGTCTTATGATAAAAGGATTTTATTTTTAGTGTGTTGCAAAATTAAATTTTTAACATAAAACAAAATAAGATAAACGAAAACACATTCGAAGGAAGCATGGTTAAAATTGTTTCATTTGAAAAATAAAACTTCATTGCAAGTTAGAATTTTATGGATTAAACAAAACATTACATCTTTGTATTAAAGAACAAATTATAGCTTGTAGCCAGTTGTAAAGAATTAATCTGGAAGTATTTATGAATATCGTACATTTCAGTTTGGACTTTGGGTCATTTAATATCATTCAACAAATTCTTTGCCTTTAATTCAGCTTTTTAAAACGCTATTTAGAATTTTTAAAAAATCGAATGGAAATTAGCAAATACTCGATTCACTTTTTCCTCAAGTATAATCAATAAACATTCACTAATATATCTGCAATGTTTCCTGTTTTACAATCCTTCTTAAACGAAAATTTGCTAATTTACAATCGGTATTTACACTCTAAATAATGAAACAACTTATAAACTAACAAGTTTTAAAAACCCGAACTGTTTACGTCTAGATAACAGAATATCAACCATATACCGTATTTATCCTCTTTTAAAATTGCATCAAATTCTCCTCTGGGCATGCGCAGATTGCGAAATTCGTTTAACATTGATCAACTAAATGTACAGTTTGCCATTGCGCGTCCCCTGTATGGGCTACAGCTAACAAAACAAAATAATTAAATGTAAATGTACAATACTTCAAAATAATATCCTCAGATTCATAGTAAATGCTCCATGATTTGTCAGAAATTCCCCAATTCATAATGACCTACATATCCAGACAATACATAAACAGGTATTAATCAACACTCATAATTTTTCGAAAGCATCAGGAATTCACCTTACAGAGCTATTCAAGAATTACTTAATTACAACCCTACAATAGAAAGTGTTGTTAAAGGATCTTGTACAATATATCACAGTGCTTCTTGATGTTCATGGTAAATATGTAAGTAGTTTCTTTCGTGTTTTACCATTACTTGACAAAGCAGGATTTGGATTTTTATTTTCTGGCAAAGCAGGATATGGACTTTGCGTGTTTTCTACGTTTTATTTGTTTAATCAACTTATTTGATTATTTACTGTATTTTAAAATACTTTGTGTGTTTGATCAAAGATATAACTAGTAAAGTGTTGTGAATTAAAGATTACATACTTTTTGGGATAAAAGCAACTCCAACTATTACGATATCATCTCCTATCAACGTTGTTATCGTACACAGCATTTGGGGGGTGGGACAGTTTTGTTTTATGCTAGAGCTTTGTAACAGTTATCTTTTCACCATTTCACAATAAATATATTTACCTCTTTTTAAGCAAAATACGGTTTAAATATAACCTGATTATTCCTTCCATTGTTAATCGGGAACTAGCAGTATACAGAAAGAAGGGAACGAGCTGTAGAAAAAGTGCATAAAGCATTTTATAGAAGGATTCTGATAATAAGCGGCTTAAAATAGGATGGGAACTTGAGTGCAATTATTTGCTTAAGACGCGGTGTTACTGGAATTAAAAAAAAATTATAACCATATATATATATAACAGAAACTTCGAAAAATAACCATTCCCTTAATAACGATATAAATGTTCAGATTTTTTTATGTAAAACTTTTGACGGCTTTTTATAGTTTTTGGCATTTTAAATGAGTCATGTGTGTAAAAGGAATTTCAGAAAGCACTCCACGTTAGGGTACATCAGCGAGTGCTATGGTATCTAACATTGCCCTCGGCGACAGAAGGAGGTCCGGTTTTTCCTGATCTGGCTCTTTTGGCTTTGTTTCGATAATTTTCTGTTCTCCAGGTGCTACAAACCAGGACTTTTTACTCTTGTTCTCATTGTTTTTCTCACCAGATAAAGACGATGGCACAGTTGTAGACGGCTCCTCAGTTGTTGACGGTTCTGTAACAGTAACTTCGGTTGTATTAGTATTATTCAGTGTCGTTTCTGTTATAGGTTCAAGAGTTGTTGTCAAATCTGGTCCTTTCCCTCCACCACCTGAAAATAATAAAATAAAAGTTTTTATTTACATACCCTTTAAATTAACAGGTACAATGCTTTCTCATTATAACGAACATGGACTTAATGGTTTGGTTTATTTGATTTTAAAAACGATTTGTTTATTTAATTACGGAAAAGCACTCGAGGGCTATCTGCCTAAGGGTAGGGATGCCTTCGTGGAAGACTTTCTAAGGACAACTAGCTCGTATACACGTCACACATGTGGAAACCACGAAAATGCCCCGGACCAGAAATAAATCTACGATATAAGGCAATCAGCATTATCTTGAAAATAAATACAAAAAAAAAGACTTAGGAGGGGAGATCTTTTCTATTGAAGGACAAGTAAGTCCCAAACATTTTCTCTGTAGTGATACTTTTGTTAACGTGATACGTCTAGCGAAAAATATAATTTATTCCTTATCAGCTCATTTTAAATGGGATAAAAGTTTTCCAAATACAAAGAATATGTCTTAAATGAAGAAGGAAATGAAATGAACATATTAATTTTTTTATTAACAGTACTTACATTGAAAATCAGAATGCTGTTATAAGAACTAAGATCAACATATTTAGTTTAACAGTGGCCAATAGGCAATGTTGAAGTATATACATTTCTGGAGTAAGAATTAATCATAAAATTAAGCACAGAAATAATCGTGTGTTCGAAGCAGATTTTAGTCAAGACCATATCGATTTCGAGGCAAAAGTACAAATCCCATTTCATCAGGAGCAAAACATTCGCAGCGAGAGGAAAGCCATAGTTATACACTGACTACCAATTAGTATTTGGACACCTATGCAAATGATATCTGGGTCCTAAGGTATTTCACGGACTCCGCGGTATATATCGTGTGGGAACAGCATGGCTTTAGTCGCATGCAAGATGCCTTGCCTCGGAGCTCTCTGATTTCGAGAAGATATAATTGGTACACAAATGTGGCCGATCCTTAAGGGACATATCAGCGATCTGAAGTACCCAAAATCGACTGGCTATGTTGCTAAGAGTGGAAGTGTGATTGTCGGAACGTGCCCCGCTCGCAGACCAACAAACTGGGAGATAGAGATCGACGAGTGCGTCAGAGAAATTCGGAAAGAACCGACCCAACCGATGGCCCTCATCCGCGAGGAGTTTCAACAGGTATCCGAGAGTATTGTTTCAATAATACCATCGTAATGAAACATCTGCTTGTTTTCTGTCGTGGCTGCCCATAAGCCCTTGATCACAAAGTCAACAGCGCTGCTCGTTAATGTGGTGCAAACACATCGAAAGCAACGTAGATCAGTGGAAAACGGGTTCTTTGAAGTGACGAATCAAGGTTCACCCTTTACCGTTCGGATGGCAGGGTCTTGGTCTGACGTCTACCTGGAGAACGTCTCCTGCCAGAATGCATTGTGCCAACAGTCAAGTTCGCCGGGATGAAATTATGGTCTGGGGGCTTTTCCTGGTGTGGGCTGGGACCTTGGTCCCATCATGGTAAGCTCAACTCCGATGCCTAATGACTATTTTGGATGACAATGTGCTTCCTACGTTGTGGCATTTTTACGGTTGGACCCCTGTTACTTTCAGGACGACAATGCCAGTTGTCATGTTTCGACGTTAACCAAGGCTTGGTTGGTTGAAAGTTCATCGAATGGTTGGCCTGCCAGAGTCCAGACCTGAAACCCTATCGAGAACCTCTGGACAAGTTGCATCGCCGAATTCAGGGTGCACTACCCTGCAAAATCTGAAGAATTTCTATGTCTTTCCAAAGCAGGTGGAAGAAAAACCAATAGCTGTCATACAAAGACTTGTGGAAAGATGCCCGGAGGGTCCACGCTGTAATTACCTATCGTGGAGCTCTACACTACTGATTTTGAATAAAGTTAGTTTTTTCTTTTTTAGCACAGGTGTCCAAATACTTATTGGTAGTCAGTGTATTTATACTAAAAAGGAATAAAGAGAACGAGAATGTAGGCCCATCTATCAGTTAAACACAAGGCTACTGCTTTCTCTAACTTTTATTTTTCTTTGATGCGTTTCCTTTCTGTTTTGAGAAGAAAAGTTTCGCGCGTGTTGTTCTATAAAGGAAAATATCTCAATCAAGAACGCAGTTGAACTCCAACTGTCTGGACTTAATTTATTCAGAGCTCTTGTTATCGAGATCACTTATTCTTGCTTTTTCTGCACGTAAAATTTAATATTTTGTCGGTTTTAAGAATATAAAAAGCTAATGTAGTACGAAAAAGACGTAATGTATAATACAAGAAATTCTTAAATAAATTCCTTTGGTAGGGAAAACATCGCGGATTAACGTCGAAAACAACACAAGGGAAATCGTCGTATAAAATATCTTGGAAGGGAAAAAACATTTTGAGCTCTAAAACATCGTGATATTAAAAAAACGGTGCAAAAACTTTTAAAACATTGTGTTACAAAATATTCCGTTAAAAAAACGTACCTACAAATCATCGCGCAAGGATAAACAGCAGACATGCTGACAGACTTTCTGACTAGAAACATTTTTAATGAATTTTCGTGTAATGAATAGCACAAGAAGAACTAAGTAATATTTTTACTTCTATACTTCATATTTTTGGAACAAAAAATAATTTTTTTGCCGGAAAGGCAAGAAGGGAACCTAAGCATTCAAAATTAGTAAAAATTAATGTTACGTACAGCAGTTGATAGAATTTTAAACTTAGGCCTCTTTCTCGGCACTTACTTGTTATCGCAACCACCTTGGTAGAAGTCGCCAAATTTTTAAAAATCGCCAAACTCTGGCAACCATTCGCATAGCAGTTCTTTAGGGAACCATATCCGTTATAAGTTGTAAACTGAAAGATCACCAAACCACGTTCCGCTTCTCCAAAATATAGCCAAAGTGCCCCAAGGTAGTTGCGCTAATAACGCAAGTACCTCTTTTCTTTTTTACACCACATATTCTCGTGAAAATATACTAAACGAAGTTAATTAAATAATGTCTTTTATTTCTTATCAACATAAGTGTAAAATTCTATTAATTGTTACACGTAGCATTAACTTTTACTAATTTTCAGATTTTGAGCATTTAAGTCACCTTTTTGCTTTTTCATCAAAATGTATTAGTTAGTACAAAAATATGAAATGTAAAATTAAAAATATGACTTATTTCTTCTTATATTCACAAATCGTTGCACAAAAATTCTCTGAAGCTGTCTTACCATTGGTGGCACGCCATTTTGGGAGATTTACGGGTTCGAATACGTACTCAAAGCATGACAGTTAAGAAGGAACAGAGTGATTCGCTGAGAATACTATCCATAACAGAAATTAAAATATATATCAAACAAATTATGCAAATTTGTATCAGTCTCTAATGAACAGCCCATACACAATCTTTCTTAAATGTGGAAGCATTCCGTCCGGACAAGTATCCGTGCACTCAGACACCGTGCAATATTTAAAGATAACTCAAAACACGCTATGCTGTTTTAAAAGAACTTGAAATAATCAAATGGATTTCGTTACAAAAATGATACGTTTGTGATCGTCTCTTATCTTACAGGTCTTATCTTACAGGTCTTATCTTTCAGTACATGTTGCTACTTGCCGTGAATATCGCACGTGAAATGATAAAATGTAAAGTGAAATGAGTTATTACGGATACCTTAATTTCGATTTTGAAAATTTGGTAAAATATACTTCCATTACTACTTGGTAAATTTGTTCTTACTTGATAAAATATACTTACATTTGAATTTTAAGGAGAAAAAAAGGAATACTAAATCCCAGACCTCGAGATTTAATCAATTTCTACTTTGGCAAAGATAAGAATTGTATTATTGAAAGCAGTAGTGGTCAGATATGAAGCCGAAGAGTCTTAGTTCAGAACAGTCTTAGTTAAGCAGATCGCATAACATCTTTTTAACCATGGAGTCCCAAGCCTTCGGAGTCATTTTTTTCTTTTCGCTGATCAGCTCCAATATATTTTTACAGAAAAAAAAGTCTGAAATATAGTTCGCAGTGGTACTATTTTATTATATATTAGATTATAAAAAATGGTACCAAAAATATTTTATTAGCCATTTAAAAAAAAAAATGTGTCCTTCCCGAAGGCGTGCCTTTCTCAGCAGATAACCTTTATATGCTTTACCGTATCCAAGCAAATAAACAGGTACCAATTTTTTTTTTAATTATACCTTTAAGGTGGCTTTCTTCCCTAAAATTCAAAGTTTGTTTCCTCGCTTAGCTATAACAGAAGTAATATGATTTTCTATTTCTGTAATGCTGTAAAGAAAATTAAAGATAACTAAGAACTAAATTTACATTAAAATGCAATTAGGAAGTAAATGATCTTCAGAATTAGCAATAAGACTATAAATTTTTCTTCCGCTAATTGTGACTCAAAATGATATTTCTATAAATTCTATCAAACTTGACGCAAAACAGAGAACATTAAATGCTTCTTTCTATTTATTTATTTTTTAAGTTCTTGTACAAAGTGTCAGTGCATTTCGCACGTGGTATGAAAGTACGTGTCATTACGTTTCATTCGTGTTTCGCACGTAATGTGAGTTTGTTTATATTCACACTGTATGATATTCTTCAATTGCTATACTCTACTCTGTCGGGAATTTTATAATTGATATACTTCTTTTTTTAATTTTAATATGCATCTGAAAGCTTAAAAAAGCTTAAAAACCTAACTTGCACAATCAGAGATTAGCCAGACTAAGAAAGTTAAAATTATAAATGACGGTTTTCAATATAGTACGTTGCTTAACGTTCTGCACAACTGTGGTAAAGCCACCGAAAGCAATCTGCGTGAAAAAAAAAAATTATTGCATTCTAATAAAAAAAAAGTCTCATATTCATAACCACATAAAGAAAACTATGCTGTTATGAAGGTAATATAAATTACCCCGTTTAGCAGCGTTCGTCGGACTAATTATTACGTACCTGGTTTACGGTTATTGATGACTATTATTGATATTACTAAACAGAAAGATAAAACGAAAAGCAAAGATGATAAGATGATAAGCTTCTGCTCTAGTCCCGTTCTTGAACTCCACCAACCCCTGTAGAAGAACAAATTATAAATTATTTCACGGATTTATGTTTACATAGTATTAGTTTCTATAGGCTAAAATGCTCTTGTAATGAAAAACGAATCTTGCTAACATTCAAAACATTAATAAAGCAAAAAATCAAACTAACAGATTAATTTTCAAAGTAATTAATAAAGATCAATTGTAAATTGGTATTATTTCGTAATTACTAATTAATCAACCATAAATAATTATTATTTGGTAGTTATAAATTGGTACTATTTAGTGGTTATAAATTAATTAGTTGTAAGCTGTTATTCGTTTTGATAATATCTAAATAAATTAAAAGTAATTTTAATTATGAGTTAGTATATCTTTATATAAATAATACTTTATTATAAATAAATATTGTAATAATTATACTTTATTATAATAAATATTGTTTCATGATTTCATTTATTTGCATTTGCAATATGAATAAATGAAACTTTTAATCACTAAGGTCGTGTTAGTTCTAAATAGGTTATAAATAATTTATTAATTAAAACATATTCTTTAGATTGCTATTTGGAAATAGTTTTAGCTCTAAGTTTCTACTTTAATTGTGCATTATTTATGTCTGAAATTTGACGCATACTTTAGAATCAATCTTGCTAACCACGTAGTTTGCATACATGTTTACCTACAGCCTACCAAGAAGAAATTCTTCGAAGTAGAAATAAGCAGACAAACCAAGCCAAACAATCAAAAAGGAATATTCAACTTGATTTGATTCAATTTGAAATTCAATCTTAAAGCCTTACAGATGATATGCATTTAAATTAAACTTTAACACTTACTTATCAGATTCATGGAATATGCAATAAAAATCAAATCTACATCTTTCATCATGAAAAAAAGCTTTCACAGAAGCTGTACATTTACCCAACTGCAAATATCACACCAAATGCATCATTTTTCTATAATGTAGCGGATACGGTTATTGAAGTTCAAATGAACGTCATAAAATCTTATAAATGTAGAATAAGAGTATTTTAAATGTAAAAATTAAAATAAATTATTGCAAGAAAAATTAAAAAAGAATGTAAAAGAACAAGAAAGAAGAGGAATCCAATCAATGTGGACATGGTCAGGAGGTGTGTCGAACTTAATTACAGTTCCCCTTACAAAAACAAAATCCATGCTTTTCTGTATCCAGAATTAGCTGATGCACCATTTCGATATATTTTTTTAAATCTTATTCGTCCGAGAATTCCGGTCCTCCTCAAAGCGAAGGAAAATGGCAAAAATACAAATTAAAATCATTAAAGCGAATACGGTTAACTCTTTGAGGAACAGGAAAAAGCAATTAACATTTTTAGCAAAACTCTTGTTTTATTTACTATATCAGCACGTTACAATGAAATTATTTGCGACAATTACACGTATTTTGTCCAAGACGCGTGAAAAAATGACAACTTTTGATGGTTAGTGTCAGCGACCACCGCCCACAGAACACATCCCTCCAAAACAGTCTCTATGGTACTCATGGAAACAGTTGTTCTTTTTCATCAGTTGTTCTTTTTCAAGAGTGCAACTTTGCATGTGCTGCATTCCCACCCTATTCTTACAGGCTTTTTTCTTGGTGCTGCAGAGTGCACATCGTCGTGATGTTGTCTTCGATGGTTGATTTCTTGAAGACGAATTCCTGCGCCAACTACTGGCTTATGTTTCTTGATTGAAATAACTGTTTTTTTTTTTCATCCTTGACGACCGAATTTTGGATTCCTAGCTACTATCGTATTCGCCAATAAAGACTGATATACCTTTATGGGGATATTGTACCATGTCTCTAGCTGTTTATGTATAATAAATGCACTCACAACACAACAATCGAGAAAATGAAAAAATAGTCTATGCCACCACTTTTTGTACTTCCAATCTATTTCATAATCAACTTTCAGACGATCAAAATTGTCAGCAGAATTCCTATGCTTATTATAGTCATGCAGAATTTTTGGGCACGGAATATTTACTTTGCTTCCTTTCTTGTGCGTTCTTGTAACACTGATGACTTCACTGAGTTGCAATGGAACTTCAGAAACGGTCAGTCTTGAAAACCACTCACACACGTGAGTAAGACGTTTAATAGAAAAGGTGGTTACTTGTAGGCAATCACCGCCCTTCAAAGAGTTAAGAACCAGGTACTAAATCTGCACTCCTTCCGTCACTGATTACTGATAAAAATCAGCTCTTATTCACATTCCCAGTTGTGTCAGATACATTGTTGATTCAATTTACTGCATGACTATAAGTATTATGGTATAGGATATATAATTATTCTAAGAATACTATCTCAAAAAATGGAAAACACAAAGCTGATAGGAAACAAAGGACAATGTCAAATTGTCATCCTCATTTTGAGTACTAACCAGAATAAAATCTAGTCTCAATTTCTAACAAAACATTCGCCTGTTATTTTGTGAGATGACTAGAAAACTGTCTAGAAATCATATGTTTAGTACCATCTGCAATTAGGCCTAAATACTCCCAACGGAATCAAAATTAAAATCCACCTCTTTGAAATTCAGTCTCATAGTGATATATCTGGTGGTTGATGAGGAAGCATCACTAGTTTTATTTCTAAGAACTGCTGCCGCCTCAGGCATTCTGGCTTGATGGTTTTGGTTAAACAATTCGGCCTTTCTTTGCCCAAGTGTAATCGTCTGGATCAAATATTTTTCCTGTCTTTCCAAAGCATTGCAACGAAGTATCTCATAGTCAGTCCGACTTTGAAGAGACACATTCTTAATGCCTAGTCCGTTTCATGAGGAAAAACAATCATTAGCCTATTCTTCACTGCTTTTCCTTTTTCTTGTTTGAGGGTCCTTTATTTGGAGAAATACTGTTTCATCTTAAATTCATAGCTGTAAATTGAAGTCATTGTTATGATCTGGGCCATTGCCTCTTTAGATGGCATTCGTAAATTGATGAACATATTTTAATAACAAGACCAACCAGAAGATTTCTTGTCATCATACAGGACATGGATCAAAGCATAAATGGAAAAGAAGACTAGCTTCATAGATAAGATCTTCGATAATTCGGCTAAAGTTTCAAAATGTGTTTTCTTTGTTTTCTTTTGCATCTTAATGCTGATAATACTTAAGATGCAAACATAAACAAGCCTAATTTTGATTATTAATTAACTTAAAATAAGACATAAAGAAGCCTAATTTTGCTTATTTATTAATTAATACAAGCCGTAAACAAGTCTAATTTCTTTAACATTGCCTCTTAATGCGTAAGATACAGATATAAACGAGCTAAACATAATATAATACTAACTAAAGAAAAAAAAGGATAACTAGAAATACAAAATAATTATATCGTGTAAATAAAAATAACTGGAACAAATCTGAATAATTTTAAGTAAACAGACTGCATAACCAAACATATCTGAAAGTATCAATGATCAATGGTTTATGGTGATGGATCTAAAAGTAAATGGTAATTTCGATAACGAGTTACTGATAAACTTCCAACCGATTTATGCCGAATGAAAAGTACATTTTACAGTGCTATATTTATAAATTTAAAAGAGCAGGCTACCTTAAGTGTAATAAAGCAAAAAATTATTAATTATTTTGCAGCTTAATTTTGCCTGAACTTGTAAAAGCTGCTATTCCTATTCAAAGATGCAAAACAAATTCTTCTCTCTGAAAAAGGTGATTTCGTGCCAGTCCTTCGTGAAAATCGCAAAACTGATAGTTAATATAAAGCTGAATTTTGAGTAAATTTAAATTTCAAATTGACATGTTTTCTTCCTATATACATTATTAATTCGTTTGTAGCCTAATTTTGCCTGAACTGTAAGCCTGTAAGCATTACTCCTTAAAAATAATCCTAGCTTCTTAGCCTTTTTAGCAACGGAAATATTTATTTAAGATTTAAAAACTCTGCACGTTTAAGGTTACTATGCTGTGTTATAATTATAATTCAAAATTTTCAAATCAACAACTTCATTTTTGATTACAGTTCTCCGCCAGGGAACAATGTATGCATGGAAAAAAACAATGTATGCATGTAGCTACAAAAATAAAAACCTCCATTTTGATTCTTGATTTCTAATGTAAAATACGTATTTCTGATATGTTTTCGGGGGTGTTTTTCCATCATTCTATGGTATTATTGCACCAAGTTCGAATTAAAAAGCTAAATATTTTTTACAGTTTCTTTAAGTGAGAAAGCTTTACTTTGATCATAAAATTATTTATTTTGTTGCTGTTTTATGGTCCTCATACATTAAAGTCTTTATAGGCCTCATACACATAAAAGTTTCATGCTTTGCACTGGCTCAATGCACATACACTATATAATGCCCTTTTTAAATCCATGGAACAATGCTACAAGGAGATAGTTTATTCCAAATGGTCACGATGGAAGTATGGTAGCGATCTTCCTGCTATAGCTTCGAGCTAAATCTTATCTCCAATCTGTAGGCCTCTTAGAGTGGCAAGTCAGGGTAAAGAAGAAATCTTAAATATTATTTATATAAGGTATTTCTTCCGCCTTCTTCCGCCTTCTTAGCGTGCCCTCGTAGTGTGATGGTCTGCACACTGGGCGAGTATTCCAGAGGTCCGTGGTTCGATTTCCGGTGGAGGCGTTGCTCATTTTTCATCTCTCCTGCTCCAAAAAAAAAAAAAAAACACCTAATGTCTCTACATCTTTGACAAAGACGTTCCGAAAGGAGAGTATTAAAGTAGATAATCCTGTCAGTTTGATGAAGTAATTTAACATGAAGCCAGCTCTGGAAGTGAATAATTTGTTAACCTTTTAGCTAAGCGCAGAAATTTCATGAAAACAAACAAACATTATCATCAATTTGTCCTCCACAGTGAATCTAAACACAAGCTTTGGTTATTTTATATCGGTGTTTGTGTTCGTGTTAATTTAGAACGGTACTTAGAATGCAGTTATGTACCTTGCAATAATTCGCTTTGACCGACCTACAGTTTAATAAACGAAATTTAAGTAGAAAATGGTAGATA